CAGCATGCGAGTCATTCATGATTTGAAATGCAATCAAGCATTTTAGTTTTAAAATAAAATAACATGAGCCTTGAATAATTAGCTTAAACAATAAATAAACCGTTCCATTTCGGAAATTGCATTCACGAACAAACAAATGCGACTGTTTTTAGTCTTTACTGTAATAAAGGCTTTATACTTTTTTTTTTACAACAGACTCTCTGGTAGGCTTATAATTTATTTTGTGTTGTTTCCATTGTTCCAAACTGTCAGAAAAAATATATTGTAATCTATAGAGCACCTGTTTGGCACACATAATATGCACGCAGCGCTTGCTCCTTACCTTATTTTTCTTGATCTCCAGTATTTTCCACAACTAGTCAAATTTATTCCACACATCGGACTTTCCCTTTATCTCCTGAGCAACCAGTAAACATTCCCCATTTTGAGTTTATTTGTCACATCCTCTGCATCCATTTTGCTGTCACGTGTTAAGGTGTTCAGAGTTTGTTATAACCATTTTATTGATGTGATGCTATAGGTCAAGCCCTATTGTGTCCTATTCAGACGGGATTAGTTTTACTGGGGGAGGTTGGGTAATGTAATTATGTGCATTAGCACAAAACACCACTTGTAATTTTAGTCCCTTCCGAATCTGCCATGGCAGTAATTTTTACATGGCAGGAGAGTAACTAGGGGCTGCGCATAAGCTATATATGAATGGCCTACATGTATTAACTTTCACAGTGAATGCTTTTGTTTATGTTTTGAGCGTATGAATTTAATATTGGCAGATGCATCAGTAAAACATATTGAGCCTACTTAATGCAACCCTTGCTGTTAAATAGATCGCAAAGCAGCATACAACTGACCTAAATGTTTGGAAATGCTAAATTAACTTTCTCATCCATAGCCTAAACACGCATCTCAAGTGCAATTGCACTGTTTAGCTCACATCTGAAGGCTGGGGGGCATTTAGGACATACTGCAGATTGCTATAATATCCTAATGATTATGATCACACTTACTCAATTCAAATATTATGGCGACACTATACCAAAGATGGTTTGGTATGGTTTAGAAACTTGGGAACCAAGCTCGAGTTCAGTCTGGCCCTATCACCTGGACATGAATAAAAACCTCCAAGCTTCCATCATAAATGTCAATTTATTGAGGAAAAAAAAAAAGAATTACAGGTGCCAGTTCGGAAAAAACGAATCCCGTCCGAATCGTCCTCTGGAATAACGGACATTCTGGAGTAATAATTACATAACCAACGTTCTCTAGTAGTACTAGTCCCATGCGAATAGGTCTTTGGTCACGTGCATGTGATTATTCACGTAAAGATAGCAAGAGTTGAAGGAATAGGTAATGTTTTTCCTAAACAAATGAGGGATTTAGGGAACAGAACTTTTCTGTCAGAAATGGCTGTAATTATGTTGCAGCTTCAGCAACACGGACAGCGCGATTAACACTTTTATGTTCTGTGGTGGTCGCTGCAGCAGGGAGGAGAGAGAGACAACGGGTGCTAGTCACAGTCACTCGCTGTCTTTTTTTTTTTATTTTTATTTTTTAAACAGAGCAGCAAATCTGAGCCCGGCCCGGCACAATCAAGTCAATTGTTAGTCGGACTTCCTCTAGTAACTTGTGTGTAGTAATTATTTAGTCAAACAGTGTGCTTAAAGCATCAGACAAGCTCAGTGCATATACAGTGAGGGGAAAAAGTATTTGATCCCCTGCTGATTTTGTACGTTTGCCCACTGACAAAGACATGATCAGTCTATAATTTTAATGGTAGGTTTATTTGAACAGTGAGAGACAGAATAACAACAAAATAATCAAGAAAAACATGTCCAAAATGTTATACATTGATTTGCATTTTAATGAGGGAAATAAGTATTTGACCCCCTCTCAATCAGAAAGATTTCTGGCTCCCAGGTGTCTTTTTTACAGGTAACGAGCTGAGATTAGGAGCACACTCTTAAAGGGAGTGCTCCTAATCTCAGCTTGTTACCTGTATAAAAGACACCTGTCCACAGAAGCAATCAATCAATCAGATTCCAAACTCTCCACCATGGCCAAGACCAAAGAGCTCTCCAAGGATGTCAGGGACAAGATTGTAGACCTACACAAGGCTGGAATGGGCTACAAAACCATCGCCAAGCAGCTTGGTGAGAAGGTGACAACAGTTGGTGCGATTATTCGCAAATGGAAGAAACACAAAAGAACTGTCAATCTCCCTCGGCCTGGGGCTCCATGCAAGATCTCACCTCGTGGAGTTGCAATGATCATGAGAACGGTGAGGAATCAGCCCAGAACTACACGGGAGGATCTTGTCAATGATCTCAAGGCAGCTGGGACCATAATCACCAAGAAAACAATTGGTAACACACTACGCCGTGAAGGACTGAAATCCTGCAGCGCCCGCAAGGTCCCCCTGCTCAAGAAAGCACATATACAGCCCCGTCTGAAGTTTGTCAATGAACATCTGAATGATTCAGATGAGAACTGGGTGAAAGTGTTGTGGTCAGATGAGACCAAAATCGAGCTCTTTGGCATCAACTCAACTCGCCGTGTTTGGAGGAGGAGGAATGCTGCCTATGACCCCAAGAACACCATCCCCACCGTCAAACATGGAGGTGGAAACATTATGCTTTGGGGGTGTTTTTCTGCTAAGGGGACAGGACAACTTCACCGCATCAAAGGGACGATGTACGGGGTCATGTACCGTCAAATCTTGGGTGAGAACCTCCTTCCCTCAGCCAGGGCATTGAAAATGGGTCGTGGATGGGTATTCCAGCATGACAATGACCCAAAACACACGGCCAAGGCAACAAAGGAGTGGCTCAAGAAGAAGCACATTAAGGTCCTGGAGTGGCCTAGCCAGTCTCCAGACCTTAATCCCATAGAAAATCTGTGGAGGGAGCTGAAGGTTTGAGTTGCCAAACGTCAGCCTCGAAACCTTAATGACTTGGAGAAGATCTGCAAAGAGGAGTGGGACAAAATCCCTCCTGAGATGTGTGCAAACCTGGTGGCCAACTACAAGAAATGTCTGACCTCTGTAATTCCAACAAAGGTTTTGCCACCAAGTACTAAATCATGTTTTGCAGAGGGGTCAAATACTTATTTCCCTCATTAAAATGCAAATCAATTTATAACATTTTTTACATGCGTTTTTCTTGATTTTTTTGTTGTTATTCTGTCTCTCACTGTTCAAATAAACCTACCATTAAAATTATAGACTGATCATGTCTTTGTCAGTGGGCAAACGTACAAAATCAGCAGGGGATCAAATACTTTTTTCCCTCACTGTAGTTGATTTGATTGAAACACATAGGAAGTGTCAATATATGGTTTTAGTCGGGGACAGCCCTAGTTTCCTTTATTTTGGCAGTTACCTGTACAAGTTCATACAATCAGGTACGTCTAGTTGAAAACAGCATCACACAAAGTAAATCAGATAGAAAGTGTTAATACACAAAAAATAAATATTTTAACAGGGAGTTATTTTATTAGAAATGTCAAAAATAACACAAGGCAGATATGATATGAGATCCAGAGAAGAGGGAGGGCAGCTTTAATACCCTGCAAATCTGTCTGTATCGTGGAGCATGTTTGTACCAGTCTGTATAGTACAGATGTAGGATCTTAATTTGAGCCAGTTTGCTACAGCAGGAAAATAATCCAGCAGAAAAAAGGAAATGTAAATTATGTGGATTATAATTAATGGCCATTTTTGTAGGGGTTGATACATTTTTTTGTAAGGGAAAAGTCTGAAATTTCAAAGTGCAAATTACAAACTTCAGAAGCCTTTTTAAACCTCAAATACACTACACTAGTTAAATGTCATGCATTGTAGGAATGTTAATCTGCAACAGGGTGATCAAATTATGATCCAACATCTGTACTAGGCAGGGTTTTGTACCACAATGAGTGATATGAATGACTAACATGAATTAGATAGCACACACTAAAGGTCTGAAAATAACCTATTATTCTGTGGCATATGCAGGGAGAAGAACAGAAAACACTTGGCTCTAATTAAATTAAGTTGTATTGGATTCTCCAAGCTTTACCAACCGACGATACGACACCCACCTGTTCTCTTTCTGTAGCCTGCAGCAATGACAGCTCTGACTGACTGGACGATAATATTATACATTTCTCTGTTTGATAAATATTTTTTTTTATAGAAACACAAGACAGAAAATATCATATAAAGCCCAGATGCTGTGTTGTTGTAGATAAACTAGACGTATTGCCATTGAAGCATCAAAATAAAACATCCAATAAAATGTCTCCAACTGGATGTTGGGTTAGTTAGTGTTCTGAGGGGAAAGTACATGTACATAAATATCAGACTCATCTTACGATTCATATACTGATCCAGGACCAAACATTTAAGCTAGTAGTCAACAACTGATGTTTTATTTTGTTTGTTCTTTTTACAATCACTGACCACCGACTAGTCGCATAAAAAGGCTGTACTGCAGATCATTTTCTGTACTTCGTCACTTTCCTGTACAAAGCTCTTTGTTTTCAATATAAAAAGGGAAAACATTTTTAGTCATTTAGCAGACGCTCTTATCTGTCCAGCGACTTACAGTTAGTGAGTGCATACATTTTCATACTGGCCCCCCGTGGGAAACGAACCCACAACCCTGGCGTTGCAAGCGCCATGCTCTACCAACTGAGCTACAGGGGACTCTTTTGGTTGTTGACTTTCCCATGTATAGTATGAGTTGACTACTGTTGAGCAAACTTGGGTTCATATAGTATTTGTTTTCTTCCAAATACTTTAAGCGTTTGATTGAGCCTGTCTCGAGTGCCAGATGGGAGGGGTTTGCTTTTGGGTCTATTCCATTGGCTTTATTGCGCCAGACAAGCTCAATCAAGTGCAGATTAAGTCCTTGAAAGAAAACAAATATAATCTGAACCCAGGTGTGCTGTTGAGTGGATGATGAGGCGGAACAATGGTCTGTGATGCTGATGCTCAGTGGTTACTATGGCGTCTGTCTCAGTCAGGCAGCACTGGACACAGCCAGCTTCTTCAGGTGGTCCATGAACACCTGTAGACTGACGTCATCTGTCAGGATGGGGGCTCCCGACTCCTACACACAGAGAGGACAAGAGTGGAATTCAGTTATATAATCTTGGAAAGTAGTTACACCCTAGAGCAGGGTTCTTCAATTCCGGTCCTGGAGGGCCGAGACACCCCTGTTTTTCATCCTCTCCTTCTAATCAGGGGCTAATTCAGACCTGGGACACCAGGTGAGTGCAATTAACTACCAGGTAGAAATAAAAAACAGAAGTGTTTCGGCCCTCCAGGAATGGAATTGAAGAACCCTGCCCTAGAGGCTCCTCAGAGAAGGAATTTCATAAAAATAATGAAACATTAAATAAAATTAATAAAACTTTACTAAATATATTAATGTCATCAAATAATTGATTAAAACACACTGTTTTGCAAAGAAGGTCTACAGTAGACTCAACAGCACTCTGTAGGGTAGCACCATAGTGTAGCATGAGGACAGGTTCTCAGTTCTCACCCCGTTCCATAGACTTACACAGTAATTATGACAACTTCCGGAGGACGTCCTCCAACCTATCACAGCTCTTATAGGATGAACTGACATGTTGTCCACCCAATCAAAGGATCAGAGAATGAATCTAGTTCTGAAAGCAAAAGCTACATCTAGCTAGCACTGCAGTGCATAAAATGTAGTGAGTAGTTGACTCAAAGAGAGAGAAAGACAATAGTCTAACAGTTTTGAACAAACTAATTTCTTCAAAAATGAAGGAGAAGCAAGAGTGAGAGAGATAGCTATATTTTTTTTTACTTATTTAGCTAACAAATGCAGCTAGCTAGTTTAGCCTACTCAAACACCCGGCTCAAACTGAGAGGGATGCTATGTTAGCTAGCTGGCTATGGCTATCCAACACTGGAACTCTTCCAAGTCAAGGTAAGCTTTTGGTTTTATTAATTTATTGCCACCAGGGCCCACCGGTGTAACTGCTAAACTGCTTGCTGACTGTACACTGTACTGCATGATTGTAGCTAGCGGGTTTACTAATGCGTTAGTTATAGTAGCTATGTTGACTATGACGTTAGCTAATACGGTGACAATGATGTAGACTGTGTATAGCAATAAGCGGTTATGATACGAAGGTTTGGCTTGGAAAGGTTTTCTCGCCTGGTCATAGACAGCTGATGTGTTGTACACTGAACTCCACAAGTGAAGGGAAAAGATGAGAGGAGGAGAGTGCGTAGATATAAGAAGGAATTATACAACGCGCAAAGTGATCATAATGTTTGTATGTGGCTGCTATGAAAGTAAACTGTGTTTGCGCATGATCAGGGGTGTATTCGTTCTGCCGATTCTTAAACAAAAGCAAACTGAATTAAATGGAGATAAACATACCTCAATTTGTCCAATAGAAACTCTCGTTTGCAACTGTTGGACTAATAATTACACCCTAGATCAACTAGATGCAGGCAATAGTGTGCAAGGCGGTATTGAATGCGTCACTGTCTGTCACCTTGATTACTCAAAATGTTATCTCGACCTGTGCAATTACGTTGTAAACTTTAATTCATAGACTAGGTTGTAGCAACCTCTTGATCATCCGGTACAGGAACAATCTGAGTATCATGTAGTAGCCTAAACCTACCGATGTTACATTGAGCCGGGTGAATGTAATATGAATGACAGTCATCCAATATGCTGTAATAGAAATAAGGCCACGCTCCCCCCAACAACAAAAACGGCACCGACCGAAGTCACACCTTCATTCTCCACTAAAAAATGTAAGATGACTACACTAATTTGTGCAGACTTTACCTGCTCGTGTAAAAGAAACTGACAACAAGTAGGAGTTGTAGAAAAATTATTAGTCAAGAACAGGAGTAGGATTGTGTGCATCTCAGTTGGTGTGACTGTCCATGTAATAATTATCCCGAAAGGTTTCACAGGTCCACTACTCTATGTGTCTCCTCTAATAAGCAGTAGTAGCAGCTGTAAGCCATGACAAACAGGTACAGGGACTCTCTCTCTCTCCAGCTACATAATGACTTTCATTACGACATTAAGCTGAGTCAGGCTGAACCACAGTGGACCCTACGCTCCTCCAAGATCAACAGTCATTATTGCACACACAACTTGCTTATCCTGTACATACAGTGGGGGAAAAAAGTATTTAGTCAGCCACCAATTGTGCAAGTTCTCCCACTTAAAAAGATGAGAGAGGCCTGTAATTTTCATCATAGGTACACGTCAACTATGACAGACAAAATGAGGAAAAAAAATTCAGAAAATCACATTGTATGATTTGTTATGAATTTATTTGCAAATTATGGTGGAAAATAAGTATTTGGTCAATAACAAAAGTTTCTCAATACTTTGTTATATACCCTTTGTTGGCAATGACACAGGTCAAACGTTTTCTGTAAGTCTTCACAAGGTTTTCACACACTGTTGCTGGTATTTTGGCCCATTCCTCCATGCAGATCTCCTCTAGAGCAGTGATGTTTTGGGGCTGTCGCTGGGCAACACGGACTTTCAACTCCCTCCAAAGATGTTCTATGGGGTTGAGATCTGGAGACTGGCTAGGCCACTCCAGGACCTTGAAATGCTTCTTACGAAGCCACTCCTTCGTTGCCCGGGCGGTGTGTTTGGGATCATTGTCATGCTGAAAGACCCAGCCACGTTTCATCTTCAATGCCCTTGCTGATGGAAGGAGGTTTTCACTCAAAATCTCACGATACATGGCCCCATTCATTCTTTCCTTTACACGGATCAGTCGTCCTGGTCCCATTGCAGAAAAACAGCCCCAAAGCATGATGTTTCCACCCCCATGATTCACAGTAGGTATGGTGTTCTTTGGATGCAACTCAGCATTCTTTGTCCTCCAAACACGACGAGTTGAGTTTTTACCAAAAAGTTATATTTTGGTTTCATCTGACCATATGACATTCTCCCAATCCTCTTCTGGATCATCCAAATGCACTCTAGCAAACTTCAGACGGGCCTGGACATGTACTGGCTTAAGCAGGGGGACACGTCTGGCACTGCAGGATTTGAGTCCCTGGCAACGTAGTGTGTTACTGATGGTAGGCTTTGTTACTTTGGTCCCAGCTCTCTACAGGTCATTCACTAGGTCCCCCCGTGTGGTTCTGGGATTTTTGCTCACCGTTCTTGTGATCATTTTGACCCCACGGGGTGAGATCTTGCGTGAAGCCCCAGATCGAGGGAGATTATCAGTGATCTTGTATGTCTTCCATTTCCTAATAATTGCTCCCACAGTTGATTTCTTCAAACCAAGCTGCTTACCTATTGCAGATTCAGTCTTCCCAGCCTGGTGCAGGTCTACAATTTTGTTTCTGGTGTCCTTTGACAGCTCTTTGGTCTTGGCCATAGTGGAGTTTGGAGTGTGACTGTTTGAGGTTGTGGACAGGTGTCTTTTATACTGATAACAAGTTCAAACAGGTGCCATTAATACAGGTAACGGGTGGAGGACAGAGGAGCCTCTTAAAGAAGAAGTTACAAGTCTGTGAGAGCCAGAAATCTTGCTTGTTTGTAGGTGACCAAATACTTATTTTCCACCATAATTTGCAAATAAATTCATTAAAAATCCTACAATGTGATTTTCTGTAAAAAAAAAATCTCAATTTGTCTGTCATAGTTGACGTGTACCTATGATGAAAATTACAGGCCTCTCTCATCTTTTTAAGTGGGAGAACTTGCACAATTGATGGCTGACTAAATACTTTTTTTCCCCACTGTAATACAATACTAAAAACACCATCCTTAGCAGTATGTCCTTTTTATTAATAGTATCTTCTCTAGTTCCTGGGAAAATCAGAATAGAAAATAGGCAGTAGAAGTCTTACCTGGCCCCATGCATACATGTTGTTGTGGGTTTGTGATGGGTTAACTTTAGATAGCAGGAAACGAGCCTAGAACACAACAAGAACATCAATACAGGAAGTTGAATAGACTTGACAGTTGACATACACTCGCTAAAATGTATGTACCTGTGATCCACCAAACTCTGTGTCTATGTATCGGGGCATAGGGAAGCGGCTGTGGAGGATCTCCTGGGCGTCGTCCGCTGGAGCCTGCAGCAGGTGGCGGAAGTTCTCGTACTCTGGCATCTCCTGGTAGCCTGCCTTACGCCACTGAGACACAGTCTGATGGATGGACATAGAGAAAGGGTTAGAGAGAGAAAGAAAGGCCAGTTAGAGTTGTCCTGAAGACATGAAGAATTACATGTAGACGTTTACAGATCTGAGAAATAAAGAGAAGTCTGTTTAGGAGCAGATTGCTATTTAAGTAATGTCACACAAAACCAATCAACGACAATTGATTTATTTTTATTTTCTAAACAATACAAAACATACACATACAAATGACAGCATAAAAACGCACACAAACATCAACGACATCACACCTGCCCAGACCCACCTGCTCACACCCCTATCTCCTGCGCCCGCATCACTCTACGCCACATGGCCTCAAACTGCACCATTTTGTTTCTCTCCGTCGTCCAAGCACTTTCAACATTTAGATAATAAAGCATTTGACCTTTCCATTGTGTTAACGATGGAAGATTGGTTGATTTCCCATTTTTAAGTATAACTTTTTAAAAGATGATTGAGGAGAAAAGTATCGCCCAACCCAACTCTATGCACCCTCATATGCCATGTCTTGAAATATGCAGACAGACAGATTTACATTGTAATACTTCTGACAGCCAACTTTCTAACTCCGCCCATAACTTTTTTACTTTATAGCATTCCCAGAAGGCATGGATTTTTGAGTCATTGTTAGTTTTACACTTAAGACATGACTCTGCCGTTGTGCTGTAGAATTTGTGAATTTTGTCGCTTGTATAATACATTCTATACATTAGTTTATACTGGATTAAGCATACAATTCCGTTAACTGTAATTTCATTAGTTTTGTTCCAACATTCCCTCCATCTTGTGCCAATATCAGTTATTTTTAAGTCATGGTTCCAATAGTTTATATTTTTTTCTAAAATGGTTGTCAGTTGGATAGGCTCTCTGCAAGGTTTTGTATACCTTACCTATCATATGAATATCGTTTTCTGACTCAAATAGAATTCCCTCAAGATTGCTCTGATGTCCAAAAGATTTCAAATCTAGATTTCGTGATATTAAACTTTTAAGTTGCATGTATTTGAAAATATCTCCATTGGTCAGTCCAAAATTGCTTTTTAATTCTGTAATGGAAATAAATGGATTTCCTATTACCAAGTCCTTTATGGTTTCTATGCCGTGAGTTTTCCAAGGAGGTTGTTCCACAGGGTTGTGTTTTTAGGGAGGGATATTGGTTCTAGTAGAATACGCTTCATTTTCATCCATATTGTTATAGTGTTCTTAACATTGAAGTTAATGTTCTTAGCTTTATCCTTTGAAAATAGACAAGTGAAAAGATTCTGGGGATGCGCATCTTCAATATGTAGCCATGGTTCCTCTTTAGTGCATTTAACTAAGTGTCGCAAGTAAAAGCCTTGGATGGTGAGTTGATACAATTCCAAGTCTGAAAGGTTAAAACCACCCTCAGATTTAGGAAGATGTAAAACTTTCCTTTTTATTCTATGAGTTTTATTTGCCCATATAAAGTCTGTTATGACTGAGTATACTTTTTTAAAAGAATATCTTCGGTGGGGTAATTGGTATTACCGAGAATAAATATCAAACCTTTTGGAGCCATGCCATTTTGAAGAGGTTTATTCTACCTGTAAGATTTATTGTTCCATTTAATAAGATCTGCTTTCATATTGATAAGTAATGGGATTAAGTGATCTTTATATATTTGTTGTTTGTTGTCACTTATTAAGCATACTAAGTATTTTATATTTTTTGTGTTAGATCATGAGTTATTCTTTTTCTTTTTCCTATTGCCATTTTTTCGTTATTTTCCACGTGAATTTCATATCCTGAAAATATTTTTAGCAAGGTGGGTATTGCGTTTTCAATATTGGTCAGGTATATCAGGAGATCATCTGCAAATAAGTTTAGTTTATATTAATGTTCACCAAATACTGATACCTGTTATGTTTGGGTCCTGTCTAATTCTTTCCGCAAGTGGTTCAATTGTCAGTGCAAACAGGAGGGGGAAGAGAAGACATCCCTGTCTTGTGCCCCTTTCTAAAGCAATTTCATCAGATAATGTATACTGAACAAAAATATAAACGCAACATGCAACAATTTCAATGGTTTTACTGAGTTACAGTTCATATAAGGAAATCAGTCAATTGAAAAATTAATTAGGCCCTAATCTATGGATTTCACATGACTGGGCAGGGGCGCAGCCATGGGTGGGCCTGGGAGGGTGTCACGGATTCTGCCGAGGCTGCCCCTCCTCCTTGCTCGGGCAGGCTTCGGCGTTCGTCGTCACAGGAATATTAGCTGCTGCCGATCTATGTTCTATGTTTTTATGTTCTACCTGTTGTCTGATTGTCACACACCTGTTTCCCATCATGTAATTACTCCTTCCCTATTTAACCCGGTGGCTCCCATTGTGTTTTGTGCGTGTTTGTTTTTTCGTTTCGTGTGTCGTTTGGTGAGTGGGTTTGTTCCTCCCTGTGTGGAGGTATTTTGTATTGGTTTCTTTACTTATTCAGTAAAGTACGTTTTCATTGAGTTCTGTGTCCTGCGCCTGACTTTGATCCACCGCATTACACTGACACTCGTGACAGAAACACGCACCAGTATGGAGTCAGGAGGTACAGCCAGTCAGTCCGGATCGATGGATGAACGCGTCCAACGACAGGAGAGCATGATCCAGGCTCTCTGCACCGCTATGGAGAGAGTGGTTAACACTATGGACCGATGGGAGAGAGGTGGCTTTCCTACACCTCCAATCACTCAACCATCCATACCACTGTCCACCCCTTCGCCACCTGGGTCCAGTGGGATTCGGCTCTCGCTCCCGAGGGCATATGACGGTACACCAGCCGGGTGTCAGGGTTTTCTTCTCTAGGTAGAGCTCTACCTGGCAACCATTCACCCGGCGCCCTCGGGATACAAGAGCGTGTCCGCCCTCATCTCCTGTCTGTCGGGGAAGGCGTTCGAGTGGGCAAACGCCGAGTGGGGAGGAATTGACGCTACATCTGTCCGCTACAAGGATTTTACCCGCCAGACCCGGCGGGCGAGCGTCTGTTCCACCTAAGACAGGAGAGGAGGAGCGCCCAGGATTTTGCGCTGCAGTTCAGGACTCTGGCAGCCAGCGCAGGATGGAATGAGAGGGCCCTGATCGACCACTATCGATGCAGCCTAAGGGAGGACGTTCGTCGGGAACTGGGCTGCAGGGATACCAACCTCAACCTGGACCAACTGGTGGAGATGTCCATCAGGCTGGATAACCTGTTGGAAACCCGCGGACGTTCTGATCAGGGCCCGTCCATCTCATCCCCCAGCACCTCCGTCCCTACCCCCATGGAGCTCGGAGGTGCTGCGCTTAGGGAGACCAGGAGAGGGCCCGTCCCCTGTACCAACTGTGGCCGCAGAGGACACACTGCTGGTCGGTGCTGGGGAGGGTTCGCAGGGAGTCGAGGCAGTAGGCAGAGCACTGGTCGACCATCTCAGGTGAGTAAGCACCCGACTCACCCAGAGCTCCCTGTTGGTCATCTGTGTATTGAGGTTGTTTTCCCAGAGTTTTCTCCACATTCCCAGCATAAGGCGCCAGTAGAATCAGGCGCAGCTGGGAATTTTATTGATTGTCAGTATTCACTTAGTTTAGGGATTCCCACTGTTCGTGTTGATGTGCCCTTCCCTGTACATGCATTAGATAGTCGCCCGTTAGGGTCAGGCCTAATCAGGGAGATCACCGCACCACTCTTAATGAGGACGCAGGGGGGTCATGAGGAGAGGATTAGTCTCTATCTGATTGATTCTCCTGCGTATCCTGTGGTGTTGGGACTTCCCTGGTTAACCACTCATGACCCCACTATTTCATGGCAACAGAGGGCTCTCAAGGGATGGTCCAGTCAGTGCTCAGGGAGGTGTGTAGGGGTTTCCTTAGGGGCTACTACGGTGGAGAGTCCAAACCAGGTCTCCACAATGCACATTCCTTCCGAGTATGCCGATTTGGCTCTTGCCTTCAGTAAAAAGAGGGCGACTAAATTACCACCCCATCGTCCGGGGGATTGTGCGATAAATCTCCAGTTGGGCGCTGCACTTCCCCGGAGTCACGTGTACCCTCTGTCACAGGAGGAGAAGGCGGCTATGGAAACATATGTCTCCGAATCTCTGAGACAGGGATACATTCGGCCTTCCACTTCACCTGTTTCCTCAAGTTACTTTTTCGTGAAGAAGAAGGATGGTGGGTTACGCCCGTGCATTGATTACCGTGGTATTAATCAGATCACCGTCAAGTACAGCTATCCATTACCTCTGATAGCTTGTATGACGGAGTCATTGCACGGGGCGCGCTTCTTCACGAAATTGGATCTCAGGAGCGGGTACAACCTGGTGCGTATCCGGGAGGGAGATGAGTGGAAGACAGCATTCAGTACTACCTCAGGACACTATGGGTACCTCGTCATGCCATACGGGTTGATGAATGCTCCATCAGTCTTCCAATCCTATGTCGATGAGATTTTCAGGGATCTGCACGGACAGGGTGTAGTGGTGTATATTGATGACATTCTCATATACTCCGCTACACGGGTCGAGCATGTGTCCCTGGTGCGTAAAGTGCTTGGACGACTGTTGAAGCATGACCTGTATGCCAAGGCGGAGAAATGCCTGTTCTTCCAGGAGTCCATCTCCTTCCTAGGGTACCACATGTCCGCGTCTGGGGTGAAGATGGAGAGTGACCGCATTTCGGCCATGCGTAATTGGTCGACTCCAACCACGGTGAAGGAGGTGCAGCGATTTTTGGGGTTTGCCAATTACTACCGGAGGTTTATCCGGGGCTTTGGTCAGGTAGCGGCTCCCATTACCTCGTTGCTGAAGGGGGGACCGGTGCGTCTGCGGTGGTCAGCTGTGGCGGACAGGGCGTTCAGTCATCTGAAGAACCTGTTTACCTCGGCTCCAGTGCTGGCCCATCCGGATCCCTCCTTGGCTTTCACGGTTGAGGTGGACGCGTCGGAGGCTGGGATAGGTGCTGTACTTTCCCAGCGCTCGGGCACACCACTCAAGCTCCGCCCCTGTGCATTATTTTCGAAGAAGCTCAGCCTGGCGGAGTGCAACTATGATGTGGGGTACCGGGAGCTGTTGGCTGTGGTCCAAGCCCTCATTTTGACTGACCACCGCAATCTGGAGTACATCCGGGCGGCGAGAAGATTAAACCCTCGCCAGGCAAGGTGGTCCATGTTTCTCGCCCGTTTGGTTTTCACCCTTTCTTACAGGCCAGGTTCCCAGAACGCTAAGGCAGATGCTCTGTCCCGACTGTATGACACGGAGGAGAGTTCCGTGGAGCCCACTCCCATACTTCCGGCGTCGTGTCTGGTGGCACCGGTGGTGTGGGAGGTGGATGCGGACATCAAGCGGGCGTTGCATAACGCACCCACTCCTCCCCAGTGTCCAGAGGGTCATGTGTACATCCCGCTGGAGGTCCGCGATCGTTTGATCTATTGGGCTCACACGTCACCCTCCTCTGGTCATCCTGGCATCGGTCGGACAGTGCATTGTCTTAGTGGGAAGTACTGGTGGACCACCTTAGCTAAGGATGTGAGGGTTTATGTTTCCTCCCGCTCGGTGTACGCCCAGTGTAAGGCTCCTAGACACCTGCCCAGAGGGAAATTGCAACCCCTACCCGTTCCACAACGACCGTGGTCCCACCTATCGGTGGATTTCGTGACGGATCTTCCCCCCTCACAAGGGAACACCACAATCCTGGTCGTTGTGGATCGGTTTTCTAAGTCCTGTTGCCTCATTCCTCTGCCCGGTCTCCCTACGGCCCTACAGACTGCCGAGGCCCTATTTACACACGTCTTCCGGCACTATGGGGTACCGGAGGATATAGTGTCTGATCGGGGTTCCCAGTTCACCTCGAGAGTCTGGAGGGCGTTCTTGGAACGTCTGGGAGTCTCGGTCAGCCTGACCTCAGGGTTCCACCCCGAAAGTAACGGGCAGGTGGAGAGAGTCAACCAGGAGGTGGGTAGGTTTCTGAGGTCGTATTTCCAGGACCGGCAGGGGGAGTGATCGGTTTTCCTCCCCTGGGCAGAGATGGCCCAAAACTCACTCCGCCACTCCTCCACTAACCTTACTCCATTCCAGTGTGCATTAGGTTATCAGCCGGTTCTGGCACCTTGGCATCAGAGCCAGATCGAGGTACCTGCGGTGGATGAATGGTTTCGGCGCTCGCAGGAGACCTGGAACGCTGCCCATGTGCGCCTGCAACGGGCCATCGGGCGGCAAAAGGCGAGCGCCGACCGCCACCACAGTGAGGCTCAGGTGTATGCACCGGGGGACCGGGTCTGGCTCTCGACCCGAAACCTGCCCCTTCGCCTGCCCTGCCGGAAGCTGAGTTGGCGGTTTGTGGGGCCATTCAAAGTCCTGAGGAGATTGAACGAGGTATGTTATAGGTTACAGCTTCCTCCTGAGTATCGTATTAACCCCTCGTTCCATGTGTCTCTCCTCAGGCCGGTGGTAGCTGGTCCACTCCAGGAGTCTGAGTTACGGGAGGTTCCTCCGCCCCCACTGGACATCGAGGGGGCACCGGCGTACTCGGTCCGTTCCATCTTAGATTTGAGGCGTCGGGTGGGAGGCCTGCAGTATCTCGTGGAGTGAGAGGGGTACGGTCCGGAGGAACGGTGCTGGATCCCTAGGAGGGACATCCTCGATCCCTCCATGTTGAGGGATTTCCACCGCAGTCATCCGACTCGCCCCGCACCGCGTCCTCCTGGCCGTCCCCGAGGCCGGTGTCGATGCACGGCTGGAGCCGCGCGTCGGGGGATACTGTCACGGATTCTACCGAGGCTGCCCCTCCTTGCTCGGGCAGGCTTCGGCGTTCGTCGTCACCGGAATACTAGCTGCTGCAGATCTATGTTCTATGTTTCTATGTTCTACCTGTTGTTGTCTGATTGTCACACACCTGTTTCCCATCATGTAATTACTCCTTCCCTATTTAACCCGGTGGCTCCCATTGTGTTTTGTGCTTGTTTTTTTTTTTTCCCCGTGTGTCGTTTGGTGAGCGGGTTTGTTCCTCCCTGTGTGGAGGTATTTTGTATTGGTTTCTTTACTTATTCAGTAAAGTAAGTTTTCATTGAGTTCAGTGTCCTGCGCCTGACTTCGATCCATCGCATTACACTGACACTCGTGACAGAGGGCATAGGCCCACCCACTGGGGAGCCAAGCTCAGCCAATCAGAATTAGTTTTACCCCAACGAAAAAGCCTTGCGTTCCTATTTTTTGGTTTTGTTTCGCACTGTTCGTGGTAGGTGTACTTGATTCAGCAGCCCTAGCACCAGGAAGGCAAAGTATTCTCATTTTGAACCATTTCATGTGTCTGAAGATTGAACTCCGCCTACCCGGCAGGCCCAGAGATCAAATCAAGGGCACCTATAGGCCTACCGCTGGCCAATCAGACAGCTCAGATCACCGTGTCTGCACAGTTTCTACGCGCCATAGACTGTAAAAGGAAGCCTCAAATGCACAGAAAAGTTGATAATATGAGATTTTTTAACTTTTAAAACCATGACTAGAGAGAGACTCAATAAATACCGCAGAGCTACTGTATTTTTTTGTTGTGTTTTTGTTGTTGTTGTATTTTACCCCCAATTTCAATCGTCTCATCGCTGAAACTCCCCAACGGGCTCGGGAGGCAAAGGTCAAGTCATGCAACCTCCGAAACACGACCCACCAAACCGCGCTTCTTAACAACCGCCCGCTTAACCCGGAAGCCAGCCGCACCAATGTGTAGGAGGAAACACCGTTCACCTGACAACCGAGGTCAGCCTGCAGGCGCCCGGCCCACCACAAGGAGTCACTAGAGCGCGATGAGCCAAGTAAAGCCCCCCCGGGCCAAACCCTCCCTTAACCCGGAAAACGCTGGGCCAATTGTGCGCCGCCCTATGGGACCCCGATCACATAAATAATGCAATTCGCCATCAGTCGGAAGACTGTGTCCCCTTTTCTCAGCGGAGAGAGGAGAATTTTGACTGAGAAAGTGATCTTGACTCAGATAAGGTTCGTGACCACTGGTGTAGGATGAAGGGGAGGAGACAGGTTAAAGAAGGATTTTTAAGCGGTGAGACATGGATTGTGTATGTATGCCATTCATAGGGTGAATGGGCAAGACAAAATATTTAAGTGCCTTTTGAACGGGGTATGGTAGTAGGTGCCAGGCGCACCGGTTTGAGTGTGTCAAGAACTACAACGCTGCTGGGTTTTTTCACTCTCAACAGTTTCCCGTGTGTATCAAAATGGTCCACCACCCAAAGGACATCCAGCCAACTTGACACAACTGTGGGAAGCATTGGAGTCAACATGGGCCAGCATCCCTGTGGAACGCTTTCGACACCTTATAGGAGTCCATGCCCCAACGAATTGAGGCTATTCTGAGGGCAGAAGAGGGTGCAACTCAATATTAGGAAGGTGTTCCTAATGTTTTGTACACTCAATGTATTCTTGTTTTTTAGCGTATTGTATTAAACTGAAACATGTTCATGTATTTCTTTGTAAGTGTCTATTTAAAAAAAAAATGTTTGATATGTATCAAGTCTGGTAAGACTTTTGCGATTCTATTGCTTATGAGCTTTGTTATTATTTTATAGTCACAATTTATTTAAAAAACGTATGGGTCTGTAATCAGCAGGAGACACTCCAGATTTTCCAGGTTTTAATATAACTGAAATAACTGTTTGATACATGGAACTAGGAAGCACTGAATTCAGTGAGGTGTGTTGTCATTTGTGTAAATAGGGGGGCTACTTTGCCTCAAAATGTTAAATAAAATGATATGGGAAAGCCATCCATTTCTGGTGCTTTTCTCGGTGCACATGTTTTAACAGTGTCTAATATTTCTTTTTGGGTGATCTCTGTTTTTAGTGATTATTTTTTGTCTGCTGATAATTGCTTCAGAGTTGTTAAGTCTAAAGGCGTCAGCATGCTTCAGTTCGGATGGCGGCTAGCCGATCCGAACTAGAGTGCTCGCAGACTTCCTTAAAAGACATTCGCTTGAAAAAAGATAAAAAAGCCACATTTATTGTTTGACCATTTAGAGAGACTGTAGCCAGTATACACTTCCTAAAAATAGTCAGAATTCATCTAAGATAACTCAAGAAATCTGTCATTGATTTTGACGTTTTCGCCGAAGAGATCTTAGTCGTGCAATTTGACACCGAACTAAGATGTTTGGTGCAGTATTTCTTAATGAGAAAATTTGCAGGAAAACGAGTTGTCTCTCATTGAATGACAACAAAGACTTTACTGAAGAATCCCTACTGTTGACCAATCACCGACGAAGGGGCGTAGATTTCGGCTACTGACTTCGGCTTGCCTCAAGAAAACAAATTGTGTGCATGAACAACCGAAAAAATACCTTACTGACGTCCAAATCGTCACCAAATGTCGTCATAATATATGCACAAACTTTCTCGAACTGTTTCGGCTGAGAAGCAAGCGGATGCCTTAAGAAGGCTGTAGGATCAATCCAACTATTGTTTAATTCTGATTTATATAGATTTTCATTGAAGCTTTTAAAATTGTCATTAATCGCGTTGGTTCTAATTAACACATTTGTATCTTTATCTTTTTAAATTATAACTGGTTTGGCATGTATTTGTTTTGTGAGGGCTGCGAGATGTTTACCAGGTTTATTTGCCATTAAGTATTATGCTTTATTTGAGTTTAACCTGTAGTTGTTGGCTCACTTAAAAAGTAAAAGATCATATTCCTGCTTAAGTTCAGAAACATTATTTTATTCTTTACCTTGTAAAGATTTTTTAATGTTTTTTTTTCTAAAATAGTGATATATTTTTCTTAAATTTTAATTTCTAAATCAGATAAAATTTTTGGCGAGTATGAGATTATCTTTCCCCTAATGAGTATGTAGTATGCTTATTGGTCATAGTATGTATATAGTTAGTATGCCAAATGTTCCCGGATGTCGTACTACATTCGCCAAAATAACAAGTGTACAAACAGTGGACACTATTTCCATGCTTTTAGGGCCCATAATACAATTCTTCAGAAAATGGGTGTGGCTTCACAACGTTTTCTAATTTGAGGAACATTTCGGAAAATATGCAGCGAAGTCCGACGAGAGCAGATACAAATTCATTGCTTTAACTAATTATGACAAATGTTAAGAAAATGTTGAGCAATGTAATAAAGTAATGACTTTTCAAATAAGTTACATTACACGTTATGTTGGCTGACAATTTGTTAGCTTCGCTATCCTTACGAACCGCATAGCATATCATTACAGCAGTATGTATCAGTATGTTAGCTAGCTACCTAACGTTAAAATGGCTACTAATACATCGAACTTGCCAGTATATTAACAATATGCTAACTACCCAAGGGTGTGTTCGTAAATTCAGTCTGGAGTGCCAGAGTGCACTCTGGGCGTTCGTAAATTCAGAGCATTGTCAGATTGTCAGTTCATAAATTCAGAGCGTTTTTGCTCTCGGAGCGTTCAGAGCGCACACTGGACGCTCTGGCCGAGGAGTAGGGTTGATCCGAGCGTTCTGACCTCACAACGGCAGTCAAGCACCCAAGCTAACTGGCTAACGTTGGCTAGCTTGCGAAACGAATGGACCGGCCGTGGATTTTGATCTCCCTTCCTCCCGTGTCCTCAAAATGTTTATTTTGGTCTGATAGTTCCACAGTTAGAAGATTACAATGCGAGGGTATTTAGCGTTCTTCTGTTTCACGCCGATCCTATGGCGTTGTTCCAGATCTTCTGGTGGTATAGCCCTGTCAAGTTCCTCTGATTTCAGTTTGACCACGTAGCTGGAAGGGTCTCCTTTTTCCTCGTCTTCCGGTAAGGACAATATACTCATGTTGTTTGATTTCAATAGGAAACCCAGGTGGCAAATTTCCACTGAGGATGTACCCCCCCAAAAAGCCTGGGACATGGCCTCAGTGGACCTCTCCTGACTTGCGGCTAAGGTAAGGCCATTGGGGCTTTAAGGGGCTGCATTTACATAACAATAGCTAACTGTGAACATGGGTTTTACATCTTCAGTGGTTAACACCTTCTCACAAAGCAACTGTTTTGACTATGCAGAGGTTGTTGATTCTGCTCTTCACAAGTCCTCAGTGTCAGCCCTATTGAAACACAATTTCCATAATATAACTTCAGGGTGAATGCACTAGTGCAGGGTTCCCCAACTGGTGGCCCGCGGGTGATTTTATTTGGCCCCCAAGTTTTCTGAGCAAAAATAAATAAATACAACAAAAATAATTATAATAAAATAAATTAAACGTTTTTATTGTAATTTTTAAGGGTTGATCCGAGTGTTCTGTCCTAACAACAGCAGCCAAGCACCCAAGCTAACTGACTAACGTTGGCTAGCTTGCTAGCTACTTCCAGACACAAATGAGAGAACAGCTCACTCTGACCATTTTACTGGCCCTAGCAGAGCTGGTTAGGCAGTTTTTATTTTATCCAGAGTGTTGGCGACGGCGACTGCAACTGTGCTGCTGGCAACAATTTAATGACGCTTTTTTGCCAACGTTTACTGACACCGGCCATATTCAACGGGTGTTGAGCGTTCGAAAATTGATCAATTATTCTGCGCTCTAGCACACTCAGACGAGAGTGCTCTGAAATCGGAGTAGATAGCCAGAGCGAATTTACCAGCTACGTCTATCAACAGCTGTCGTGTCGCAGTGACATCATGAACATTCTATTGAAATGGATACTTGCATAGTGGAGTCTTTTGTTAAGACATGTAGCTAGCTAGCTAAACAATGAACCATCATCCCAACTCATGATGTTACTACCCTGCATGAATCTGCAGGTAGCTAACCAACCAGGCTCAATGTTAGCTAGCTAACATTAGGCTATAACTAGCAAAGCAAATGGCTCTGAGATATGAATAATATTACTACACATCATACATGTAACGTTAGCTAGCTGACCTAACAACAGCAGTCAAGCACCCAAGCTAACTGGCTAACGTTGGCTAGCTTGCTAGCTACTTCCAGACATACAAATGTAAGCAAGGTTTGAAATGATTATGTTTTAGTCAAATATTATATCTGTTTGGGCTACTTGCAGTCTACAATTATTTGTAGTTATGTTCCCTGACCACCCACTCAAGAAAAAAATTGGCCCGCGGCTGAATCTAGTTGATGATCCCTGCACTAGTGCAACACTGGTATTATTATTTATTATTTATTATTTACAGTCCCCACTGCTCCCTAATCTATTCAGAAATGTCAAACAAGGACAATAGTATCTGGCTGCAACCTGAAATGAAATCAATCTAGTGTTACATAGAACAGGGATCATCAACTAGATTCAGCCACGGGACGATTTTTTTCTTGAGGGGATGGTCAGGGTGCCGGAACATAATACAAAATAATTTGTAGACTGCAAATTGACCGCAAGAAGGACAAACAGATAATGTATTTTTTTTAATTATTTTTTTGTCATTTAGCAGACGCTCTTATCCAGAGCGACTTACAGTTAGTGAGTGTATACATTTTTATAAATTTTTTCATTCTGTCCCCCCGTGGGAATCGAACCCACAACCCTGGCGTTGCAAACGCCATGCTCTACCAACTGAGCTACATCCCTGCCGGCCATTCCCTCCCCTACCCTGGACGACGCTGGGCATACGATCACATCTCTCTATTATGCATGGGAATACTTTGGAACAGATTTCCAAAACCAAAATAACTTGGTCTAATGTGCTGGTGTTTTTACAGTCTTTTATGTCCAACAATAATTTTCATTTTTTTTTCTCAGAAAACTTGCGGGCGGCCAAATACAATCACCCGTGGGCCAAATTTGTCATGCGGGCCACCAGTTGGGAACCCTGCGATAGAATCACCTGATAGATAGAGCTGCCTCTCTCTGAGTGTAAAGAGATCGTAGCTGTGTGAGTGGTGAGATCATTAGGAAAGTCATGTTTTGATGGAGTCTGTTAGTGGGTATGTTGATTATGATTGGATGACTGATGATGAACATACCTCTCCATGATAGATGAGGATCTGGAAGAAGGTGTCCATGAGAAGGATGCGATCAGGAAGGATACTGCTACTGTCCAGCAACACAGGCTAGGAGGAGAAAATAAGAAACACAGTTTTACATTTAAACCACATTTAAACTATACTATAGGCAGGATACTGAACACAGGCTACAAGGCGAGAAAAGCGACACCGTCTTAAACCACTGCCCTCTAAACAAAATGGCATCCTTCTAATGCAGCTCCAGTCAATAATGCTGTTACATGATTAAACCAGGTTTGTTGAAGATAGAGCGGGGGGGGCAGTTTAATCCCAGACACTGATAGGAATGTCACAATATTGCCTTTTTCCTTTCCAAAACAAACTCTCAATGTCACAACACACCAACTCCAATCTCAGGTACAAAGAAATACAAAGATGGACGATCTTGACAGACAGGTAGTAGTATATCTTGTATCTTTTATAGTGTGTTGGCCGTTTTAAAAGGCCACAAACAGCGCAGATAGAGTGGTTCTGCTTATACGTTACGCCATCTGCTTTACAAGGGGCACAGAGATGAGAAGAAGATTACTCTTTCAATGTTTAACAGGCAGGAGTAGAAAGAATGAAAAGTCAGAGCCGGTGGAAACATTAGAACTGCATCCCAAATGGCACCCTATTCCCTATATAGTGCACTAGGGTCAAAACTAGTGCAGTATAGGGAATAGGGTGCCATTTGAGAGGTAGCCTAGGTCTCTGCTAATCTAAAAAATAAACACCTGAAGTGCTGCGTCTCCTGGTTACATGCATTACAGCTGATACAGAGCCAGTTTCACTGTTAAAATTACTAAGGTTAAGTCCCAAAAGGCAGTCCCAAAAGGCACCCTATTTCCAAGGTAGTGCACTATTTTTGACTAGAACCCCATTGGCCCTGGTCAAAAGTAGTGCACAATATAGGGAATAGGGATCCATTTGTGACACAGATATGGTTAAATAACTTACCCTTTTCAGAGAGGTGTGTACTACGCTGTCTGTCTGTAAGGTGTTAAAAACCACACTGTTGATATCTGCACTGAAAGAAGCTCTGGTCTGGAACACACTACTGTACTCACACATGCTACACTAATTAACCACAAGGTTATCTGTAATAAAATAACCGGGGCATTTGTGCACTCTCTGTTGACCTGGGCAACACAGCTATGCCTGCAGAATGTGAGTGGGAGGAAGGTGGGAGAGTCAGAGAGATTGAGGTCTTCACAAGGCATCCATGATTTACGTTTATAAAGAAGAAGGAAAGCTAATTTTTCAATGGAAAAATTAGTCTGTGTCTGTGTTTGTGTGTGTCTGTGTGTGTATATGTTTGTGTGCGTGTCTGTGTGCGTGTCTGTGTGCGTGTCTGTCTGTGTGTGTGTGTCTGTATATGTGTCTGTGTATGCTTGTGCGTGTCTGTGTGTGTGTGTGTGTGTGTGTGTGTGTGTGTGTGTGTCAGTCTGTGTGGGTGTGTGTGTGTGTGTGTGTTTGGTCTTACCTCTGGGGGCCCGTTGAAGGAGTAGGCATAGAGAATGGGTTGTATCATGATCAGAGACTGGGTCAGGTCCTGACGCATGAACTGGTGTCTGTAGTAAGAGCTCTCATCTGGACTGTTGTTGAACACTTGCAGGAAGGGAGACCTTCTCAGGTGGAACATAAACTGAGGGACAAAGGAAAAGCAGAGAGATGTTTTAAAAAGCATTCCATCATGCTGCCAAAGCTATAATGTGCATTTTAAAATAGTCTTTATGCTAAGCACGAAACACTACTTAAAAAAAATATTTTAGCGGTAAGATATTTATCATACATCTGTTTACTAGCTATAACTGTGTTGTTCCACTAAAGAGCCAATCAGCCATTCAGCACATGATCACTTACCTGGGGATAGAGAGAAAAGGTTTCTGAGAAGCGGAAGGAGTTGGGATCATCCTTATTATAATCTCCAAACTTCTGACACTGGAAAGGAGAGAGAAAAAGCCAATTCAAAGTTGCCCATGTAACACGAGACCAACCAGAAAGTCCTGCCTGCAACTGAGTCTACACTTATCTATAAAATGCCACGTCACACTTCATCACACTATTTCAGCATGCCTGCTAGCCTGAAATTGGTACTTTCACTGGTTAGCAGTAGGAAATAATGATATTGTTGCATTTCAACATCTCAATGTTTAAAAATCCTGGTCCATTTATGAAGGCTCTGGGGATGGGGCTGATAGAATATGTGAGGGGATGAGAAAATAAAGCAGCCCCCTCCCTTGACCCCTGCCAATCTTCCATGTCATAAGGCTCTGGCCAAAAGTAGAGCACTATAAAGGGAATAGGGTGCCATTTGGGACGCAAGCACTGAGAATACGAGTGAGAATACTATCTTACCAGTCGGATGAGCTGTCTGTCCAGCCAGCGCAGCACGTCGGGGCCCTCCTCGGTCTCAGCACGGTACACAGCCAGTCTGGCCATCAGGATGGCTGAGGCCTCCTGGTCAAATGATGCTGCAATGCTCTGGATCTGGGTCCCTGCATCTGCCCAGCTGAGAGAGAGGGGGGGAGGGACAGAGAGCGAGGGGGGAGGGACAGAGAGAGAGGCGGGAGGGAGAGAGAGAGACAGAGACAGAGAGAGGAGAGAGAAACAACCTGCATAAGCATTGCATATCATTTGACACAAAAACACTTTTGTTTATTTCACAGTTGTAAGGTTCTCCGTTATAAGGCAAGTGATACTACCAACACGAATCGGTACTATAGTTAGTACGGATACATGAGTTAAATAAGGGATATTATGTCAGATGTTTTGTTCTGGTTGCTTTGGCATTGAAAAGCCCTTAGTCACCCCATACTATAAGTCAAAGTAAATTGAACTGATCTTTTAATAACAGCCTGGGGCTCTGCTTATCTATAAAAAATTCCACTCGCCACTGCCCTGTCACATGTCCAACATTGTATAAACACAGGTCTCATAAGGTAAAATTCAATAACAAACATGAACTGCAACATTGATCAAACCCCATACTGAGAGCTATATTACTGCTCAGCCAGAATCTACATAAATACACATTTAACACTAACAACCAAGATCATCTCCTCCTCTGATCACAACACACAACAAACACACTTTGCCCTCTCTCCCTATCGCGTTGCTATGGAAACAAGGTGAGCTTGCAGATGCAGTTACATAGTGGAATGAAAAGTGGTAGATAAACCTTAAAGTCTGTAGTTACTCTGAAAAGAAGATGTGAATGATGAATCAAATCCAGATTCATATGTTTGTATTTTTATAAGTTTTAATGTGAAGTGAGCTAAATATGCAATGTGTGTGTGTATTTACTTTCTGGCGGTGGTGGTGACTCGGATGCGTTTCTGTCCACTGGAGTGTTGGTACTGGGTGACGTACTGGACCCCCCCGCGGCCCCCCTGGGGTATAGGTGCATTATGCTGTGTTGAGAGGAGACAAGAACTGTTGGTTATCTGATTATGAATGTGCACATGTTATAAAAACACCAAGATATGATACCAATAAATTCCCCATCTAACTAGGCTAATATAAGTGGGTGGTGCCTGTGAGTTTTATTCAAATGGTTTGCCCTGTACAAACACACACACATAACTGCTACTGCCTTATGGACAACTTATGGACAATTGGGTGATATGAGGGGGCTTAATAATTTATAATAATTCATTCATAATGAATGATTGGGAGCTTAGATCGAATTAGAGGCATGCGTCTTACCAATAACCCCAACAACACTCCAGAGTCAAATGGCTCATTAACTGTGCTGCAGCCATTAGAGTGGAGGAGAGGATATTGGATCTCAAGCTTCTGTTTACACAGGCAGAGCATCTCTCTCCCTCTCTCACGCTCACTCCTCAAAATTCTCGTGCTTGAAAGTGGGTTGTTCTAGACTGTTTCTCTCTCCCTTCCTCACTCTTGATAGATAGTGCATAGTAAGAAGCAAGCTAAGCCCTTGTACTGAACACCACAGGGCGGCCAGTCAGCCAGACAGTCAGCCAACCAGTCAGTCCACCAGTCAGCCAGACAGTCAGCCAGACAGCCAGTCAGTCAGATCTCATGGACTGAAACAGGCGAGAGGAGAGTGAGCAGCCAGCCAACACAGGGAGGACTTCTCTTCCACCAGGAGGCCATGAGGATGCAGCCGGTGGCCCTGGTCTATGCAGCTCTGATGGTGGTCTCCAGTCTGTGCTCTGTGTGTGGTAACGTGGTTCTACTACTGGTGGTTCTGCTCAACAAGGAGCTCCGCACCGAAACCTGGGCGCTGACCCTGAGCTTCTGCCTGAGTGACCTGGCCCTGGGTCTCTCCACCATTCCCTTCGGAGTCCATAACAGCCTGTTCAGGCCGCAGGGCTACCCCAGCGACGGGCCCCTCTGCCAGGGCAGCGCCTTCCTCTACCTGCTCCTTCAGTTGGCCTCCATCCACTCCCTGACCTGGGCCACCATCGACAAGTTTACAGAGATCTGCTTCGCCCTGAGCTACACCACCATCTGCACATCCAGGAGGATCAGGGTGGTGCTGGTCCTGGTGTGGCTCTACTGCCTGATCAACGCAGCCTTGCCACTGCTGGGCTTCGGCAGCTACACCTACAGCAGCACCAGGTTCCTGTGTGGCCCCAGCTTCCAGCCAGACTACAGGGGCTTCAGTATGCTCTTCATCATGGTCGGGATCATAGCACCCATACTCATTATGTGCTCCATGTATGCGTACATTGTGTATATTGCGAGGAAACAGGTGCGGCGGGGGACGTTCGTTTGCAACGACCAGCACTGTTTTTATGTCCCTGCTAATAACTACTTCAGGAGCTCCATAGTGATGGTGGCAACTGTGGGTGAGTCTCATTGGTGGTTAAACTTGTGAATAGTACAGTGAAGCTATCGATTTGTTTATGTAATTTATTTCAAACAAAGCAAGGCATAAGCCTTTGATATAACAATTTGATATACTCTGAGCACCGAGCAGATAGACACAGAATAAAAGCCTTTTATGTAAGGACAAATGCAAATAAGATTTCAAGGTCCATCAGTGGCTGTTATTAAATACATTTTTCTGTAGGCTACATTTGTAACCGGTGAAATTCAGTCTTCTTCAATTTGTTAATATTAATGTGCTACAATACCATTACATGCATCACAATAAGGCTCATTGTTATGGAGTCTCGCAAATATATAAATATACTAAATAGAATTCTTGTAATGTTACCGTAATTAGTCTAATAACTGCCTGTCTATTTCTCCATAAATATACTTTTCTATCATAATTACTCTAATAATCTCCTGTCTAAATTCTCTCCATTGTCAGTGTGCTTGCTGGTGTGCTGGCTGCCTTACATCTCCACCTGTTTCTATGAGACGTTTAGTGGCTATGACCCGCCAGCAGCAGCCTCAGCCGTGGCTACCTGGCTCGTCCTCCTCACCTCCGCTCTCAACCCATGGATCAACTCCATGACACAGACGTAAGCAATAGCCAACAACTGCTCCCCGGGCACCAATGACATGGACGTTGATTAAGGCAGCCCCTTGCACCTCTCTGATTCAGAGGGGTTGGGTTAAATGCGGAAGACACATTTCAGTTAAATGCATTCAGTTGTGCAACTGACTAGGTATCCCCTTTCCACTTCCCCTTAATAGCCCCAAACAAACAGTCATTCAGACAATATACAGTAATTTCAATGCTGTGTCTCAAGAAGAATAAGGCTCAATCTTATGAAGCTGTTATACCTCAATATAAAGCCCCTCAATATCCTTGTGGTCCATCAATGGCCACATGAACCCAAAGTCAGAGGGAATTGAGAAGTGATCAACTCCATGATTCAGATGTAAGGGATAGCCAATAGGGCTGGGACATCACGATACGATATTATCACCATACTTAGGTGCCGATACGATATGTATTGCGATTCTCACGATTCTATATGTATTGCGATTCGATACTGTGATTTGATGTTCCAAACATATTGTAGGGCGTTCACTCACTGCTCTAGAATGTAGTGAAATACGGGTAAATTGAACAGGGTGCTACTAAATGTTTTCTTTAGCCTATGCCATTATGAATCACATACAATAAATCATTAGATTGTTCTCTACAATATTACAACCTTAATAAGCTTGTACTTAACAGTGTTGATGAAATAAGAACGTTTGTTGTGACCGTTGCTAGTTTAGACCGCTCAGCTCTTGGTTGTATCTCTTCCATATTTTGCTGTTGGGAGGTGGTAACATTTGAAGGTGTTTCCGTGTGTTGGACCAATCAAAATCAATTTGATACCCTCGTCATTTTCATCTCCAAATCCGTGGCTTTCTATTCCTCTAACCTCAGTCAACAGGTTTTTATAAAGTTTTGCAAATGTATTAAAAATAAAAAAACAGAAATACCTTATTTACATAAGTATTCAGCCCCTTTTCTATGAGACTCGAAATTGAGCTCAGGTAAATCCGGTTTCCATTGATCATCCTTGAGATGTTTCTACAACTTGATTGAGTCCACCTGTGGTAAATTCTATTGATTGGACAAGATTTGGAAAGACACACACCTGTCTATATGACAGTGCATGTCTGAGCAAAAAGGAATTGTTCGTAGAGTTCCGAGACAGGATTGTGTCGAGGCACAGATCTGGGGAAGGGTACCAACATATTTATGCAGCATTGAAGGTACCCAAGAACACAGTGGCCTCCATCATTCTTAAATGGAAAATGTTTGGAACCACCAAGTATCTTCCAAAAGCTGGCCCCCCGGCCAAACTGAGCAATCGGGCGAGAAGGGCCTTAGTCAGGGAGGTGACCAAGAACCTAATGGTCACTCTAACAGAGCTCTAGAGTTCCTCTGTGGAGATGGGAGAACCTTCCAGAAGGACAACCATCTCTGCAGCACTCCACCAATCAGGCCTTTATGGTAGAGTGGCCAGACGGAAGCCACTCCTCAGTAAAAGGCACACGACAGCCTGCTTGGAGTTTGCCAAAAGGCACCTAAAGACTCTCAGAACATGAGAAACAAGATTGTCTGGTCTGATGAAACCAAGATTGAACTCTTTGGCCTGAATGCCAAGCGTCACGTCTGGAGGAAACCTGGCATCATCCCTACGGTGAAGCATGGTGGTGGCAACATCATAAATGTGGGGATGTTTGTCAGCGGCAGGGATTGGGAGACTAGTCAGGATCGAGGCAAAGATTAACGGAGCAAAGTACAGAGAGATCCTTGATGAAAACCTGCTCCAGAGCGCTCAGGACCTTAGGCTGGGGTGAAGATTCACCCTCCAACAAGACAACGACCCTAAGCACACAGCCAAGATGATGCAGGAGTGGCTTCGGGACAAGTCTCTGAATGTCCTTGAGTGGCCCAGCCAGAGCCCGGACTTGAACCCGATTGAACATCTCTGGAGAGACCTGAAAATAGCTGTGCAGCAACACTCCCCATCCAACCTAACAGAGCTTGAGAGGATCTGAAGAGAAGAATGGGAGAAACTCCCCAAATACAGGTGTCCCAAGCTTGTAGCGTCATACCTAAGAAGACCCGATGCTGTAATCGCTGCCACAGGTGCTTCAACAAAGTACTGAGTAAAGGGTCTGAATACTTATGTAAATGTTATTTTTCAGTTTTTTATTTGTAATAAATGTGCAATAATTTCTAAAAGCCTGTTTTTGCTTTATCATTATGGGGTATTGTGTGTAGATTAATGAGGGAAAAAAACAATTTAATCAATTTTAGAATAAGGCTGTAACGTAACAAAATGTGGAAAAAGTCAAGGAGTCTGAATAATTTCCGAAGGCACTGTATATTATTTAGTAGGCCTATATGTAAAGACAAGATGACATTAAGAATAGTCTGATGAGTGACAATACTATCACTTGTGAATGATGTATTTATTATCACTTGTGAACGATGCCCAGTGTGTGCAGTAAATCAAGAAACAGCGCACGCCTTTTCTTTGGCGACTTTTTCAAATCATAGTCGCACACCTCATGTAGCCTAGCCCATAGGCCTATATGTTTGATACGTTTTGTATCACAACTAAAGCGGCCTAATAACTTCTTTAAATGAAGCACATTAATCCGCTTTACAACCGGTGTAGAGCCTAACTGGCATACACTGGATGACATGGGTCCCATTATGCCTGGCAAAAACCAAACACTGCATTCCACAGTAAGAGCATCATACCAACGGTCAAGCATGGGGATGGTTTCGGAATGCTTTGCTGCCTCAGGACCTGGATGATTTGCCTTAATAGAAGCAACCATGAATTCTGCTCTGTGTCAGAGAATTCTACAGAAGAATGTCAGGCCATCCGTCTGAGCTTAAGCTAAAGCGCAGCTGGGTCATGCAGCAAGACAATGATCCATAACACACAATCAAGTCTACATGAAAATGGCTAAAAAGCAACACATTTGTAGTTTTGGAATGGCCTAGTCAAAGTCTAGACCTAATCCCAATTGAGATGTTGTGGCAGGACTTGAAAAAAGCAGTTAATGCTTGAAAACCCACAAATGTCACTGAGTTACAGCAGTTCTGCAGGGAAGAGTGGGCCAAAATTCCTCCACAGCGACGTGAGAGACTGATCAACAACTACAGGAAGCGTTTGGTTGGAGTCATTGCAGCTAAAGGTGGCACAACCAGTTATTGAGTGTAAGGGGGCAATTACTTTTTCACACAGGGGCATTGGGTGTTGCATAACTTTGTTTATGGAATAAATGAAATAAGTATGTAATTGTTGTGTTATTTGTTCACTCAGGTTCCCTTTATCTAATATTAGGTTTTGGTTGAAGATCTGATAACATTCAGTATCAAAAATATGCAAAAGTAGAGAAAATTAGAAGGGGGGCAAATACTTTTTCACAGCACTGTATATAATATTTCTACAAATCAATACTTGGAGTCAAAAATATTGAGATAATAGCATCCAAAATAATAATATGTAACTGTATTGATTTTTCCCACCACATCACTAATAGCCAATAGCCCAAACAGTCATTCAATAATATAGTGAGTAGTTCTCTCTCTCATTCAACAAATATAAAGACTTCTCCAACTTCCCCCACATCTCAAGAACAAGGCTCAATCTTGTACAGATGATATGAAGGTCCCTCAATAGGCACTTGAAACAAATTCTGATGGAATTGAGAAGCTAGCTCCAGTACATTTCGAAATAACGGCTGCTGTGAGGGGGAAAAGCTGAGCACTTGAGATTATGAAATTAGCTTCTCAGTGTTGGAGCAGAGCTGTGGAGCCGATGAGGCGCTTGGTTATTTTTTTTTTTTCTCTCTCTCTCTCTCTCTCTCTCTCTCTCTCTCTCTCTCTCTCTCTCTCACTCTCTCTCACTCTCTCTCACTCTCTCTCACTCTCTCTCTCTCTCTCTCTCTCTCTCTCTCTCTCTCGCTCTCTCTCTCGCTCTCTCTCTCGCTCTCGCGCTCTCTCTCTCCTCTCTCTCTCCTCTCTCTCTCTCCTCTCTCTCCTCTCTCTCCTCCCTCCCTCTCAGGCGCTACAGAGCGGCTCTGCGGAAAAGCCTGAATAAAATACGACAGCTGTTCCAGCGCCCTCTGAAGAACTGCCGCCCACAGAGCACCGCCATCCAACTGGATATAGTGAGCCAAGATAACAACTTCTCCAACCCATCACTCTTGTCAGAAACCAACTCCAAAACAGGGTCACCAGAGGCCAAGTCCATGTCAGAGGTGACTATGGAGGATCATAAAGACACTATACTGGACCAGGACTCTGTCACCATGGAGCAGTCTGGAAAACTAGCCTGACTACAGACTCAAATACACACTTGATTTTATGAATCCCAGGACTCCCTGGAAAACAGTGGCAATTGTTACTGAATGGACAATCCTGGCTAAAAATATACAAATGAATTAATGAAATTAAATACAATACAGGTTGGGACTAAACACCAGAGAAGGACCATATGAAGGATCATTCTAGTATGACCAATGGGATGTCATTGTGACACTTATGTCTTAAGTGGATCTACACAACAAGACTGTCATATCAGCGATCCTATCTGTTCTGTTTCTGACTAAAAAAAAGGTTAGCTTGCAATGCACATTGTACAGTCACTCAGGGGCATTGGACCATTATCTGTTTGAACTACAATGTTGAACTACAATGTTTGAACTAGATTGCAGACTGTACATATACAAACATCACTATCTGTCCAAATGTGTTCTTCCTCAATGAATATACCTATGGCAACACTGCCTATCTAAAATCATTTAAATGTAATCTTTCAGTTTTGTATAACTGGGTTAAAATGAATGTGACCATCTCATTTACATTTATAGATCCATCTTATACTACTGTATGTTTTATAAAGATGCCATAGTGGTTTCATATACGAGCACACCATCTGGTGGCATAGTGATGCTGATGCACCTCTATCCAGTACCTCTGAACAGCCAAGTACAGTCGTGGTCAAAAGTTTTGAGAATGACACAAGTATTGGTCTTCACAATGTTTGCTGCTTCAGTGTTTTTAGATATTTTTGTCAGATGTTACTATGGTATACTGAAGTATAACTACAAGCATTCCATAAGTGTCAAAGGCTTTTACTGACAATTACATGATGTTTATGCAAAGAGTCAATATTTGCAGTGTTGACCCTTCTTTTTCAAGACCTCTGCAATCCGCCCTGGCATGCTGTCAATTAACTTCTGGGCCACATCCTGACTGATGGCAGCCCATTCTTGCATAATCAATGCTTGGAGTTTGTCAGAATTTGTGGGTTTTTGTTTGTCCACCCGCCTCTTGAGGATCGACCACAAGTTCTCAATGGGATTAAGGTCTGGGGAGTTTCCTGGCCATTGACCCAAAATGTCGATGTTTTGTTCCCGAGCCACTTAGTTATCACTTTTGCCTTATGGCAAGGTGCTCCATCATTCTGGAAAAGGCATTGTTCGTTACCAAACTGTTCTTGGATGGTTGGGAGAAGTTGCTCTCGGAGGATGTGTTGGTACCATTCTTTATTCATGGCTGTGTTCTTAGGCAGAATTGTGAGTGAGCCCATTCCCTTGGCTGAGAAGCAACCCCACACATGAATGGTCTCAGGATGCTTTACTGTTGGCATGACACAGGACTGATGGTAGCGCTCACCTTGTCTTCTCCGGACAAGCTTTTTTACGGATGCCCCAAACAATCGGAAAGGGGATTCATCAGAGAAAATGACTTTACCCCAGTCCTCAGCAGTCCAATCCCTTTATCTTTTGCAGAATATCAGTCTGTCCATGATGTTTTTCCTGGAGAGAAGTGGCTTCCTCGTTGCCCTTCTTGACACCAGGCCATCCTCCAAAAGTCTTCGCCTCACTGTGCGTGCAGATGCACTCACACCTGCCTGCTGCCATTCCTAAGCAAGATCTGCACTGGTGGTGCCCTGATCCCGCAGCTGAATCAACTTTAGGAGACGGTCCTGGCGCTTGCTGAACTTTCTTGGGCGCCCTGAAGCCTTCTTCACAACAATTGAACCTCTCTCCTTGAAGTTCTTGATGATCCGATAAATGGTTGATTTAGGTGCAATCTTACTAGCAGCAATATCCTTGCCTGTGAAGCCCTTTTTGTGCAAAGCAATGATGACGGCATGTGTTTCCTTGCAGGTAACCATGGTTAACAGAGGAAGAACAATGATTTCAAGCACCACCCTCTCTTTAAAGCTTCCAGTCTGTTATTCTAACTCAATCAGCATGACAGAGTGATCTCCAGCCTTGTCCTCGTCAACACTCTCACCTGTGTTAACGACAGAATCACTGACATGATGTCAGCTGGTCCTTTTGTGGCAGGGCTGAAATGCAGTGGAAATGTTTTTTGGGGATTAAGTTCATTTTCATGGCAAAGAGGGACTTTGCAATTAATTGCAATTCCTCTGATCACTCTTCATAACATTCTGGAGTATATGCAAATTGCCATCATAAAAACTGAGGCAGGAGACTTTGTGAAAATTTATATTTGTGTCATTCTCAAAACTTTTGACCACAACTGTACAGCAGTGGAAGAGATCATTATGGAACAGCTAGTTCACCTCTGGTGGTGCAATCAAATTATCTGAGTCTTTGGAACAAGTGGAACATTGCTCTGTGGATCGCCTAATCTCAGATTACTGTGATATAAAAATGACTACTCAGCAACCTTGACAATCAAAAGCTTTTAGTTTCTGATCGCAATATAACACAAAATACGGCAGTTATTGCCAAAAGTAGCTTAGTGATCACAATCCAGAGAGTGTAATATGAAGGCATACCTGATTGACCACCTCAAAGTACACTGCCAGAGTGGTGTTATGGTCAAGACCACATATCTTCCATTGAGAGGTGCCCCCTGTTCCAATTTCCTTTAAGGAAACAAACAGAAGGGATCAGAATCAGAATTACATTATTCTAGAAGGGATCAGAATCAGAATGACATTGTTCTAGAACGGATCAGAAACAGAACAACGTTGTTACATCTCCTTCGGCAGAGATTCAGGACACACACTATTCTGGATTAACAACTGCAGTTACAAAAGGGTCGACCGGTCAAAAGTACTATATTAGGTCACTGTTCTATGTATTTGACATGGACTCACATTTTCAGACACACACGGTCCTTTGGCATTTAATGACACACATGGCCCGATGGCTCCTGAAATCTTGATCTCTCGAGACGTCTGAAATGAAGGAGGACAGATGATATTGGAACATATTAGCAGTTTGTGCACAATTATATTTGGTAAAAGGCAAAGTTAAGAAATCTGATATTTCACATAGTTTTATGGATAGAATCAACTATCCATGAGAGCATGTCGCTCTGTTCCAATATCCACACTTACACACTACGTAGAAGCAATGTATTGGGTATGTGTGGATATTGTAACAGTGGCTGCATCTAAAATGACACCCTATTCCTTAAGAGTGTACTACTAGTACACTATATTGGTAAAAGGGTACTATTTCAGACAGCCAGTCTGTGCAATGGCTCTACCTTTATCTCCAGGGTGCCAGCGAAGGCCATCTTGAAGGCTCCAGCCACATCTTTGGTGAAGACCCTCTGGAAGGTTTGTTTGAATAGGGAGGTGTTGAAAGAGTCTGCCATCACCATGTAGCCTCTGCAAAACAGATATACTCATATGAGTTCAACTATACAGTGGGGGAAAAAAGTATTTAGTCAGCCACCAATTGTGCAAGTTCTCCCACTTATAAAGATGAGAGAGGCCTGTAATTTCCATCATAGGTACACGTCAACTATGACAGACAAAATGAGGGAAAAAAATCCATTAAATCACATTGTAGGATTTTTAATGAATTTATTTGCAAATTATGGTGGAAAATAAGTATTTGGTCAATACCAAAAGTTTCTCAATACTTTGTTATATACCCTTTGTTGGCAATGACACAGGTCAAACGTTTTCTGTAAGTCTTCACAAGGTTTTCACACACTGTTGCTGGTATTTTGGCCCATTCCTCCATGCAGATCTCCTCTAGAGCAGTGATGTTTTGGGGCTGTCGCTGGGCAACACGGACTTTCAACTCCCTCCAAAGATTTTCTATGGGGTTGAGATCTGGAGACTGGCTAGGCCACTCCAGGACCTTGAAATGCTTCTTACGAAGCCACTCCTTCGTTGCCCGAGCGGTGTGTTTGGGATCATTGTCATGCTGAAAGACCCAGCCACGTTTCATCTTCAATGCCCTTGCTGATGGAAGGAGGTTTTTACTCAAAATCTCACGATACATGGTCCCATTCATTCTTTCCTTTACACGGATCAGTCGTCCTGGTCCCTTTGCAGAAAAACAGCCCCAAAGCATGATGTTTCCACTCCCATGCTTCACAGTAGGTATGGTGTTCTTTGGATGCAACTCAGCATTCTTTGTTCTCCAAACACGACGAGTTGAGTTTTTACCAAAAAGATATATTTTGGTTTCATCTGACCATATGACATTTTCCCAATCCTCTTCTGGATCATCCAAATGCAACTTCAGACGGGCCTGGACATGTACTGGCTTAAGCAGGGGGACACGTCTGGCACTGCAGGATTTTAGTCCCTGGCGGCGTAGTGTGTTACTGATGGTAGGCTTTGTTACTTTGGTCCCAGCTCTCTGCAGGTCATTCACTAGGTCCCCCCGTGTGGTTCTGGGATTTTTGCTCACCGTTCTTGTGATCATTTTGACCCCACGGGGTGAGATCTTGCGTGGAGCCCCAGATCGAGGGAGATTATCAGTGGTCTTGTATGTCTTCCATTTCCTAATAATTGCTCCCACAGTTGATTTCTTCAAACCAAGCTGCTTACCTATTGCAGATTCAGTCTTCCCAGCCTGGTGCAGGTCTACAATTTTGTTTCTGGTGTCCTTTGACAGCTCTTTGGTCTTGGCCATAGTGGAGTTTGGAGTGTGACTGTTTGAGGTTGTGGACAGGTGTCTTTTATACTGATAACAAGTTCAAACAGGTGCCATTAATACAGGTAACGAGTGGAGGACAGAGGAGCCTCTTAAAGAAGAAGTTACAGGTCTGTGAGAGCCAGAAATCTTGCTTGTTTGAAGGTGACCAAATACTTATTTTCCACCATAATTTGCAAATAAATTCATTAAAAATCCTACAATGTGATTTTCTGGATTTTCTTTTCTCAATTTGTCTGTCATAGTTGACGTGTACCTATGATGGAAATTACAGGCCTCTCTCATCTTTTTAAGTGGGAGAACTTGCACAATTGGTGGCTGACTAAATACTTTTCCCCCCCACTGTACATAGGGTGAATCTCAGAAGTCTCTCCTCGCCTCCTCCTCTCTCCTCGCCTCCTCCTCTCTCCTCGCCTTCCTTCTCTTCCTCAAAGCCTCAGAGGAGAGCATTGGAGGAGAAAATAAGAGGACAAACTCTCCTCTTACTATGGGAGGAGCCAGAGAGATTGACATATGTGTGTGTTCTGCGTATCAAATGGCATTTTGTTCCCTATATAGTGCACTACTTTTGACCAGAGCTCTGTAGGCCCTAGTCAAAAGTAGTGAACTATATAGGGAGCCATTCTGGACGCAACTTGTGTGTTCACCAGACAGACAGAGCATCCTCACCCAGTGTGATTGGAACAACACTTCATCTCCAGCAGTCCGGTCTGGTCCAGAGCGCAGGCATAGATGTCTATGATGTGGCCGTTGGTGGAGGCACGGCTCGCCAATGCCTCGTAATGCTGAAAATGAAGGAAAGGGTTTTACCCCAACTTCATACAGAATAAAAACAGGATCCAATATCAGGGTTTTTTCTGGATCAGAAAGGGGCTTAGGTGGTGTGTAAGGCAGGGGGCGTGCCACTACGCTCACTGCGCGAGGCTGAATTTTAGAGGCCTCCCATCTTGGTGGTGTAGAGATGTTTTTCAATTTTTAAGCCAATTTCCTGCAATTCTACAAATGTCTTCATGGAGCTGAGAGAAATGTTTACAGTTTTAAAAGGACATTTCCTGCAATTCTACACATTTTACCATGGATCCGAGAGATAATGTTGCAGTTTCAAAGCTAATTTACATAGATTCTACATATTCTGCCATGAAGCTGAGATAACATTTATCAGTTTTAAAGCTAATTTCCTGCAATTCTATTCATTTTGCCATGGCTAATGCTGTGTTCTTTTTCTCAAACATAATAACAAAATAAATTCTGCTAAATTCATTGTTTGAGGAATTTTTAATTCTAATTAACTTTCTAGCTTTTATGGTTATTGTTAGTTCTCAAATATTATATTATAAAAAAATATGTATATATATATACACACACCACCAGTCAAAAGTTTTAGAACATCTACTCATGCAAGGGTTTTTCTTTATTTTTACTATTTTCTACATTGTAGAATAATAGTGAAGACATCAGAACTATGAAATAACACATATGGAATCATGTAGTAACGAAAAATTTGTTAAACAAATCTAAATATATTTTATATTTGAGATTCTTCAAATAGCCACCCTTTGTCTTGATGACAGCTTTGCACACTCTTGGCATTCTCTCAACCAGCTTCACCTGGAATGCTTTTCCAACAGTCTTGAAGGAGTTCCCACATATACTGAGCACTTGTTGGCTGCTTTTCCTTCCCTCTGCGGTCCGACTCATCCCAAACCGTCTCAATTTGAAATGTCTTTCCTTCTTAATGCGTTAGAGCCAACCAGTTGTGTTGTGACAAGGTAGCGGGGGGTATACAGAAGATAGCCCTATTTGGTAAAAGACCAAGTCCATATTATGGCAAAAACAGCTCAAATAAGCAAAGAGAAACGACAGTCCATTATTACTTTAAGACATGAAGGTCAGTCAATACGGAAAATTTCAAGAACTTTGAAAGTGCAGTCGCAAAAACCATCAAGCACTATGATGAAACTGGCTCTCATGAGGACTGCCACAGGAATGGAAGACCTAGAGTTACCTCTGATGTAGAAGATAAGTTAATTAGAGTTACCAGCCTCAGAAATTGCAGCCCAAATAAATGCTTCACAGAGTTCTATTAACAGACATCTCAACATCAACTGTTCAGAGGAGACTGTGCGAATCAGGCCTTCATGGACAAATTGCTGCAAAGAAACCACTACTAAAGGACACCAATAATAAGTAGAGACTTGCTTGGGCCAAGAAACACGAGCAATGGACATTAGACCGGTGGAAATGTGTCCTTTGGTCTGGAGTAGAAATTGGAGATTTTTGGTTCCAACCGCCGTGTCTTTGTGAGACGCAGTGTGGGTGAACGGATGATCTCCCCATGTGTATTTCCCACCATAAATCATGGAGGAGGAGGTGTGATGGTGCTTTGCTGGTGACACTGTCTGTGATTTATTTAGAATTCAAGGCACACTTAACCAGCATGGCTACCACAGCATTCTGCATTGATATGCCATCTTGTTTGGGCTTAGTGGGACTATCATTTGTTTTTCAACAGGACAATGACCCAACACACATCCAGGCTGTGTAAGGGCTATTTTACCAAGAAGGAGAGTGATGGAGTGCTGCATCAGATGACCTGGCCTCCACAATTCCCCGACCTCAACCAAATTGAGATGGTTTGGGATGAGTCGGACCGCAGAGTGAAGGAAAAGCAGCCAACAAGTGCTCAGCATATGTGGGAACTCCTTCAAGACTGTTGGAAAAGCATTCCAGGTGAAGCTGGTTGAGAGAATGCCAAGAGTGTGCAAAGCTGTCATCAAGGCAAAGGGTGGCTATTTGAAGAATCTCAAATTTAAAATATATTTAGATTTGTTTAACACTTTTTTGGTTACTACATGATTCCATATGTGTCATTTCATAGTTTTGATGTCTTCACTTTTATTCTACAATGTAGAAAATAGTAAAAATAAAGAAAAACCCTTTAATGAGTAGGTGTTATAAAACTTTTGACCGGTAGTGTATATATATATATTTTTTTACATGGTTTGGATTTAGGCGGCCCGAAAAAACGCTTAGGAGGCCCCCCCCCCCCAAGGATCTCAAGGGCAGAAAATCCCTTAATATAATATATAGAAAAAGGTATTGCCTGTTTGTATTTTTGTTATGCTAAAACACACATCTAGCCATTAACTGGTTGTCTCACTTTAATGTGCTGTAACACACTACTTCATCACCATTCACAGACAGTGGCAACAGACCTGAAAAAAGTTCAGATCATGGTAAACCCATCTACAGTGGGGGGAAAAAGTATTTAGTCAGCCACCAATTGTGCAAGTTCTCCCACTTAAAGATGAGAGAGGCCTGTAATTTTCATCATAGGTACACGTCAACTATGACAGATAAAATGAGAAAGAATAATCCAGAAAATCAAATTGTAGGATTTTTAATGAATTTATTTGCAAATTATGGTGTAAAATAAGTATTTGGTCAATAACAAAAGTTTCTCAATACTTTGTTATATACCCTTTGTTGGCAATGACACAGGTCAAACGTTTTCTGTAAGTCTTCACAAGGTTTTCACACACTGTTTCTGGTATTTTGGCCCATTCCTCCATGCAGATCTCCTCTAGAGCAGTGATGTTTTGGGGCTGTCGTTGGGCAACACGGACTTTCAACTCCCTCCAAAGATTTTCAATGGGGTTGAGATCTGGAGACTGGCTGGGCCACTCCAGGACCTTGAAATGCTTCTTACGAAGCCACTCCTTCGTTGCCCGGGCGGTGTGTTTGGGATCACTGTCATGCTGAAAGACCCAGCCACGTTTCATCTTCAATGCCCTTGCTGATGGAAGGAGGTTTTCACTCAAAATCTCACAATACATGGCCCCATTCATTCTTTCCTTTACACGGATCAGTCGTCCTGGTCCCTTTGCAGAAAAACAGCCCCAAAGCATGATGTTTCCACCCCCATGCTTCACAGTAGGTATGGTGTTCTTTGGATGCAACTCAGCATTCTTTGTCCTCCAAACACGACAAGTTGAGTTTTTTTTGGTTTCATCTGACCATATGACATTCTCCCAATCCTCTTCTGGATCATCCAAATGCACTCTAGCAAACTTCAGACGGGCCTGGACATGTACTGGCTTAAGCAGGGGGACACGTCTGGCACTGCAGGATTTGAGTCCCTGGCGGCGTAGTGTGTTACTGATGGTAGGCTTTGTTACTTTGGTCCCAGCTCTCTGCAGGTCATTCACTAGGTCCCCCCGTGTGGTTCTGGGATTTTTGCTCACCGTTCTTGTGATCATTTTGACCCCACGGGGTGAGATCTTGCGTGGAGCCCCAGATCGAGGGAGATTATCAGTGGTCTTGTATGTCTTCCATTTCCTAATAATTGCTCCCACAGTTGATTTCTTCAAACCAAGCTGCTTACCTATTGCAGATTCAGTCTTCCCAGCCTGGTGCAGGTCTACAATTTTGTTTCTGGTGTCCTTTGACAGCTCTTTGATCTTGGCCATAGTGGAGTTTGGAGTGTGACTGTTTGAGGTTGTGGACAGGTGTCTTTTATACTGATAACAAGTTCAAACAGGTGCCATTAATACAGGTAACGGGTGGAGGACAGAGGAGCCTCTTAAAGAAGAAGTTACAGGTCTGTGAGAGCCAGAAATCTTGCTTGTTTGAAGGTGACCAAATACTTATTTTCCACCATAATTTGCAAATAAATTCATAAAAAATCCTACAATATGATTTTCTGGATTTTTTTTTCTCAATTTGTCTGTCATAGTTGACATGTACCTATGATGAAAATTACAGGCCTCTCTCATCTTTTTAAGTGGGAGAACTTGCACAATTGGTGGCTGACTAAATACTTTTTTTCCCCCACTGTAAATAACAGGCAAAGTGAACAGTCAAAGGTTGACCCAAAACGTACTTTGGTCCCCTTTTTCATGAACTTGGCGTTGTCCTTCTCAATGTCGTGCCAGGATCGAATAGGGGTCTTTAGCTCATCTCCTACCACCATGCCTGGGCCCTGAGTGGCTGGTCCACCGATGAAGGTCATGATGCGTGCCCCAGTGTTAGGGAAGGTGCACTGGAAGGAGAATGGATGGTGGAAAAAAAGGGACATTTTATTACAAAACATTTCTATGAAGCTGAGTAAACAATCCTGCCCCATTCCACGGCGTAATAGGTTTATACATCTTACAAATCCCACTTCATACAGAGGAACACAGGGAAATATGAATTTGAAGTAGTGTGTGGGGGCTGATCAGACGAAACGGTAATATTAAAAATATGTACCATTATATTCCAATGACAAATATGAACAGACCTGGTTTTAAATAGTATTTAAAATCTTTCAAACACTTTGAAAGCTCTTGCTTGAGTCTGCCTAGGATGCCAGATAACTATTATATTGGTGCCATTGTGCCAGGAAAAATCTATTAATCAAGCCAAAGTATTTGAAAGATTTAAAATACTATTTGAACCCAGGTCTGCAGTGAGGCAGTATATATGTATGTCCAGGTCTAACCTCCAGCAAGCCAACAGCGATGGACATGGCCGACCCTAACGAGCGGAGGGGCCGTTTGCCCTGAGTGACAGGCCAGGGATCCCTCTGGAGCTCTCCAAGCAGGTCTGTCAGGTTCATGTCAATCTTCTGGACAGGCTGTAGGAATCTAGGCAACACAAGAAAATTGAAATAAGTCCTAACATTATACTTATTTTGTGTACGTACTGCCAATGCATTGGTGTGCGGCTGTATGTGTATTTTTTTCTTATGCATTCAATAAATCAATAAATCAGTCAAGTCAACCAATCTACAGACCACAATCAAAAAGGTACTATACTGAACAAAAATATAAATGCAACATCCAACAATTTCAATGATTTGACTGAGTTACAGTTCACATAAGGAAATAAGTCAATTTAAATTAATAAATTAGGCCCTAATCTATCGATTTCACATGACTGGGCAGGGGCGCAGCCATGGGTGGGCCTGGGAGGGCATAAGCCCCACTGGGGAGCCAGGCTCAGCCAATCAGAATATGTTTTTCCCCACAAAAGGGCTTTATTACAGACACAAAATACTCCTCATAAGCTGTCCAGGTTGCTGGTCTCAAACGATTCCACAGGTGAAGAAGCCGGATGTGGAGGTCCTGGGCTGGCGTGGTTACATGTGGTCTGAGGTTTTGAGGCCTGTTGGACGTACTGCCAAATTCTCTAAAACTACGTTGGAGGCGGCTTATGGTAGAGAAATTAACATTCAATTCTCTGGCAACAGCTCTGGTGGACATTCCTGCAGTCAGCATGTCAATTGTACGCTCCCTCAAAACATGAGACATCTGTGGCATTGTGTTGTGTGACAAAACTGCACATTCTAGAGTGGCCTTTTAGTTTCCCCAGCTCAAGGTGCACCTGTGTAATGATCCTGCGGTTTAATCAGCTTCTTGATATGCCACACCTGTTAGGTGGATGGATTATCTTGGCAAAGGAGAAATGCTCAATAACAGGGATGTAACTAAATGTGCGCACAAACTTTGAGAGAAATAAGCTTTTCATGGTCTGAAAAATGTCTGGTATCTTTTATTTCAGCTCATGAAACCAACACTTTACATGTTGCGTTTATATTTTTGTTCAGTATACAATGTCTATACAATGCTGTAGACTGTATCTTTGTAGAGTGGTTTACCTGTTGGAGAGGGGGGGCTGTGGAGCTTGTGGTCCCCGTCCTGCCTGTGCAGCAGTGGGTTTGGTCAAGCCCAGCATCTCCTGCAGCTGCTTGGCGTTAAGGTCTTTGGTTCCTCTGAAGACGTAGCTCTTGGAGATGCCATCGCAGCCCAGCTCATGGACTTGGATCATGCGTCCGAAGGTGATGAGGCCCACCAGGGCCGCAGGAGGCAGCAAGGACAGGGACATCTGTAAGGACTCCTTCAGGGCCTGCAGGTCTTCATCCTCCATGCAGGTGTCCACCACGTACAGGAAGACCAGAGGCATCTGGGGACCTCTCTGCAGGGTAAAGAGAGAGAACCTGGTCAACTATCCTATTGCATAAAACAGTGAAAGGATGCTAGAATCCAACAGATGAGTGACGGTTTCATTTTCACCTCTCTGTGGGGGCCAGGGGGATAGTAAACTCATTTTAAGGTGGACTAATAAAAAAGGACAAAATGGTTTTCAAGTAAAATGAACAAGGTGTGTGAGATATCCATCATAGGCCTTGTTTTAATGTACTATATGAAAACGAAATAACACACATTTGTAGGAAAGATGAGATCTGATCTGAATGCTGTTGAACACTACTATAAAACGGATCAAATTGAGATAAATCAAAATACTGTATAACAATTCGAGAATCCAGCATCGATCAAATAGAAACCTTACCTGGACAACATATTCAATGGTGGAGAACTGTGGCAGCAGCTCAGCTGGCTGGTTGACCTCTGATATCCCAGCATAGGTAGGTGGAAACTGATTTCTCTGATAGCAGAAGTTGCAAGCCCACAGTTTGGCTCCGTAATCCACTTGGCTAGGTTGAGAGTGTAAGAATATTTGAAGATAAATACACAACGCAGAGGACTAAAGGTCAAGAGGGAATTAACGATCAATGGAAATAGTTGTTTTTCAGTTCAACATTGTTTAGAATCTGTGTAGGGGTTCCAACCAGGGACTCAGCTACATGTGGCAAGTTCTCATTGGTCCAAATTGTCTATACATTGAGCCTGAAACAGGATACTTGGGGGTTTGGCCATTGGCCCAATTGTATTGCAAGGAATTCTAATTGGTCAGCCACATGCTAGGCTTGAGGCTATAAACTACATCCTGTCTCTTTGTTCAGTGGAGAAACATTGAGGACAGGGAAGAATGAACATCTACCATCTACTTTCCAGCATAACAACTATGATTTGTTCTCTTTTAATAAATACATTTTTCTCCCTCTGATTTGATTTGGGGTCTGTGTTATTGAAGAATAACATCAACTGCTAACAAGACACAAATTGATAAGAGTGGTACAAATCTGTGAGAGAATGACCACACAGTTAAGGGACCATTCCATGGTAACAGAATTACGCTTTGACTCATATTTTTCAACAATAAACATTGATTTCTAAGTTTAACAAACAATACAACTCCATGCACAAGGACTACGAAGAAAAATGTACACAGAAAAATTCACAAACACATTTACTGGAAGAACTGTGCAGATGCAAAGTTTGGTAACGGAATTACGGTAAAATGTCCCTCCATTTTTTATGCGACCCACGTTTTCCAAAAGCTCTTAAATATCTGCTCTGAATTACGATTCAAAGATGTCTGCAGAAAGAATGGGGTGTCAGCTATGGCATGACACATTGAGTTTGAAAAAATATACATTATTTTGGTTATTCAACTAGTAGGTGAAGTGGGTTGACATCCGGTAATAGAATTACAGTAACCGAAAGACATCATGGTTCCCTGATCTGTACTATACAGAAATGCATAATTATGGATATGAATATCCTTCTCTTCATGGTGATGTATCCTGAATAGGTACACAAAAAGGTAGAAATATGCAATATCCTTCTTTTGCATATTTGGGTATTATTCTACACACTGGCTATTATTGTAATGAGCTCATCCCCCAAACAAGACCACATCAGCCCCCCGCGGCCCAAGGTTTTCGAACCACTGTCAGAAAGAGCCGGGAGAGGTGACATTAAATGGAGAGAAAAGAGAGAGAGCGGCAGAGAGAGAGGGAGGGAAGGGTTGTACAGACTCTTTTCACAGTCTTGCTTTGACAACCAGACGACAGAAAGAGAAGAAAAAAACTGTTATGAGCTGAACACAACAGTCTGCCAGTGGAAGGGAGGACAGTAGCAGGTGACCCTATGAGCTGAACATAACAGTCTGCCAGTGGAAGGGAGGACAGTAGCAGGTGACCCTATGAGCTGAACATAACAGTATGCCAGTGGAAGTGAGGACAGTAGCAGGTGACCTAACTGTGGTTTGTGACTACTATGATTTCCCATTGTAGCTAATTCAATTGCAGTAATTCCGTTACTGATTTGGTAACAGAATTACGAGTTTTAATCAATTAATAATTCATAAACAAACTTTGATTTCAGTAAAAACACTATAACTAAATTGGTAGGTCTACCTTTACTTGTTACTTCTGTGAACTTTCATTATCCTCCCTCCTCACGAGGGATAGAAATTAGGAAATATCTTAAAGATGTGGGTTTTTGGTAACGGAATTACAAAGCACAAGGCAATGTTTCTTAATCTTACAGAAGGCAAATAATTTATCCAAAACTAAATATAAGAGTTGATATCAGTTGGGAGGGGTCTTTACTTCAACATTATTGTGTTTTGATGTATTTCTAATACCTTTTAAGACTTTCTGGTAGACCCCTTTTCTTTATTTTTGACCAGAAATCAAAGCCTTTGCTTATTCCACATTTTTATATGCCTTAATTTCTCAAACATATAGACTCTTAGCTTTCATTTGAAACCCAATTTGACATGCTCCTATGAACTTCACATGTTGGTGGTCATGGGTCCTTTTAGATGGAAATGCCCCCAGGCTACAATTATTTAAACAGTACATGTGAACCTTCTGAAGACTGAGGATATGTGCAAATCACCTGATTACAGTTAGGCTACAAATTGAGGAGTAGGCTATAAGTCATGAATGAGGAAAAATAGAATAGGGCAGGGGTCTCCAACCTTTTCTAGCATGAGTGCTAATTTTACAAAATGAAACTTTGTGACCTACTCATTTTTGTCTAGCTTTTAAATTGGCGCTTTCTTCTCCTCTCCTCTACAACTCTTCCCCGGGTTCTTAGTGCACTACTTTCTATTGTACACTATGTTTTCTGTCAATATACAGTACCAGTCAAAAGGTTGGACACACATACTCATTCCAGAGTTTTTCTTTATTTTTACTATTTTCTACATTGTAGAATAATAGTGAAGACATAAAAACTATGTAATAACACATATGGAATCATGTAGTAACCAAAAAAGTGTTCAACAAATCAAAATATATTTTAGATTTCAGATTCTTCCAAGTATAATATAATAATATATAAATAATATAATATGCCATTTCGCAGACGCTTTTATCCAAAGCGACTTACAGTCATGTGTGCATACATTTTTACGTATGGGTGGTCCCGGGGATCAAACCCACTACCCTGGCGTTACAAGCGCCATGCTCTACCAATTGAGCTACAGAGGACCACAGAAGTAGCCACCCTTTGCCTTGATGACAGCTTTGCACACTCTTGGCATTCTCTCAACCACCTTCATGAGGTAGTCACCTGGAGTGCATTTCAATTAACAGGCGTGCCTTGTTAAAAGTTAATTTGTGGAATTTCTTTCCTTCTTAATGCATTTGAGACAATTAGTTGTGTTGTGACAAGGTAGGGGTGGTATACAGAAGATAGCCCTATTTGGTAAAAGTCCATATTACGGCAAGAACAGCTCAAATAAGCAAAGAGAAACGACAGTCCATCATTACTTTAAGACATGAAGGTCAGTCAATTCGGAACATTTCAAGAACTTTGAAAGTGCAGTCGCAAAAACCATAAAGCGCTATGATGAAACTGGCTCTCATGAGGACTGCCACATGAATGGATTTTTGGCTCCAACCGCCGTGTCTTTGTGAGACGCAGAGTAGGTGAACAGATGATCTACGCATGTGTGGTTCCCACCGTGAAGCATGGAGGAGGAGGTGTGATGGTGCTTTACTGGTGACACTGTCTGTGATTTATTTAGAATTCAAGGCACACTTAACCAACATGGCTACCACAGCATTCTGCAGCGATACGCCATCCCATCTGGTTTGCGCTTAGTGGGACTATCATTTGTTTTTCAACAGGACAATGACCCAACACCTCCAGGCTGTGTAAGGGCTATTTGACCAAGAAAGAGAGTGATGGAGTGCTGCATCAGATGACCTGGCCTCCACAATCACCTGACCTCAACCCAATTGAGATGGTTTTGGATGAGTTGGACCGCAGAGTGAAGGAAAAGCAGCCAACAAGTGCTCAGCATACGTGGAAACTCCTTCAAGACTGTTGGAAAAGCATTCCAGGTGAAGCTGGTTGAGAGAATGCCAAGAGTGTGCAAAGCTGTCATCAAGGCAAAGGGTGGCTATTTGAAGAATCTAAAATATATTTGTATTTGTTTAACTCTTTTTGGGTTACTACATGATTCCATATGTGTTATTTCATAGTATTGATGTCTTCACTATTAATCTAAAATGTAGAAAATGGTAAAAATAAAGAAAAACCCTTGAATGAGTAGGTGTGTCCAAACTTTTGACTGGTACTGTACCAGGTAAAATAATGATTAATTAAAAAAACTCTAAGGGGGCCCTATAAAATCTGTGTTTTTTTCTCCCCAAATGATGCTCTCAGTTTTATTTTTCCTGGTTTTAGATTTAATTTATTTCACTCTCAAAATTACAATTGTTCTTAGAGAAAAAACAAAATTGGATGTTCCGAGTCGATGTCAATGCTTAAATCACATGAGAAGGGGGTCTGGAAAAAAACAATTCCCCTTTAATTGCGCATCTAGTGTGTCATCTAATGTGCCGTCTAGCGATGGTTCTGTACTGCTGCTGCTCACTTCATGGCAAGGTTTGCAAATAACAAATAGATACAAATGATATATTTACTCATGATATACTTTTGCCAGGGAAGCCTACTTTGCATTTAACATTTAATTGAGAAGGTTTTGGGGAAAGTTTTTCTGTCAACCCACAAGACGGTTATCACATCAACTGCTAGTGATGGGCATTCCGAGTATTTTCTGTGAGCCGGATCATTTGGCTCCCAAACGGCTCTTGGGAGCCAAATTTTACAGACTAAAGAAATTAGTGTGGAACAGAATGAGGCACTCTCCTCACTATATTGTTTCTGCACTGAGGAATTACCATCTTCAGAGAATGTTTTTATAATTTATCTGCAGATAATCGATGTCTGGAGCTCAAAAAGCAATAGAAAAAGTATGCAAATCAGGGATTTGGTCCCCGACGTTCACCAAAAAGAGCCGTTCAAAAAGAGCAGTTCGTTCGCGAACGACCCATCCCTACTGGCTACACCTGGAGTGATAGACAAACGCCTGCACTACACAGACAGAAAGGGACAATATTGCTGGAAATTAATTGGCAGATATTGGCTTTATAAGCCAATAGTGGCTAACCAGTGGTGGGATAATGTCAATGTTGCGTTGGTTAGATAGTAGCTGGGAGTTTTTGGTGTCTTGATACTTGGTAGATTTGTTTATGACAGTTTGTTTATGACAAAATTGCATGTACTTTCAGAATTGCTTGGCAAGCTACTCATAGGTGGTCTGCGAGCTACTGGTAGCTAGTGATCGACCTGTTGGAGACCCCTGGAATAGGGAATGCTGCTTTGTTCCAGTGAAAAATACAAAAGATTTGGAGCACAATCACCAAAATGTACAAGGCATTTATACACTCAGTGGCCAGTTTATTAGGAAAGCCACCCTGTTCACAAAAATAGTTAGCTCCTACAGATAATGAGTCGCGTGGCCGTGGCTTGCTATATAAAGCAGACAGGCATCCAGTTACTGTTTGATTGAACGTTAGAATGGGCAAAACGAGTGACCTAAACGAATTTGAGCGTGGAATGATCGTCGATGCCAGGCGCGCTGGTTCCAATATCTCAGAAACGGCCGGCCTCCTGGGCTTTTTACGCACGACAGTCTCTAGGGTTTACCGAGAATGGTGCGACAAACAAAAAACATCCATTCAGCGGCAGTCCTGTGGGCGAAAACAGCTCGTTGATGAGAGAGGTCTAAGGAGAATGGCAAGAATCGTGCAAGCTAACAGGTGGGCCACAAACAGGCAAATAACAGCGGCAAACGACAGGCGTGTGCAGAACGGCATCTCAGAACGCACAGTCGGTCCTTGTCACGGATGGGCTATTGCAGCAGATGATCACACCGGGTTCCACTCCTATCAGCTAAAAACAAGAAGAAGCAACTCCAGTGGGCACGCAATCACCAAAACTGGACAATTGAGGAGTGGAGAAACATTGCCTGGTCCGACGAATCCCGGTTCCTGTTGTTGATGGCAGAGTCAGGATTTGGTATAAGCAGCATGAGTCCATGGCCCCATCCTGCCTGGTGTCAATGGTACAGGCTGGTGGTGGTGGTGTAATGGTGTGGGGAATGTTTTCCTGGCACACATTAGATCCCTTGATACCAATTGAGCAACGTTTCCATGCCCCGAATAATTCAGGCTGTTCTGGAGCCAAAGGGGGGTGGGGGGGTCCAACCCAGTACTAGATGGGTGTACCTAATAAATGGGCCACCGAGTGTAGTGTATATCTGCTTTATTTGAAACGTGAAAAATACTAAAGTGAAAAAGGATTGTTGTCTCACTTACCAGAGCGGGTTGAGGACAGCGCGGCAGGTCGCCCTGCTACACAGCACAGGCTCATACTGGATGGGGGGCAAGTCTGGGCGCTCCTTCAGGGGGGTGAACAATGAGGCCACGGGGACCACCATGCGGGTGGCCTCCAGACGACTAGAGGGCCAGACGTTCCAGCTGAAACGCACCCCATCACGCTCCTCATTCTGGGCAATAAACTCCGGGAAGGTCGCCATAGCACCCTATGAGAACTACAGACTGAGAAGGAGAGAAAGGAGTGTCTGCGTGTTATAGCAATATAGGCTATACAATTTATGGTCATGATTCCATTTGATATTTCAACATCGCATTAATTATATAATAGTCCACTGCACTGCAATGAGTTGAATGTGTCATATCAATAAACGGGCAGAGAAAATGCAGCCAAATATGATGTAACCTATGCTATGGGAAATTCTGGCTTACTTCTAAATGGGGCAAAAATTGGGTCTAAAAGTCATGGCTAGAACTAGGCTAAAGTACAGAATATGATCCTGACTGTGACCCACTTCTTCACCCACTGTCTGATCAAAGTGTTTAAAATAATTTACTTTGAAAACACACTGAATCTGAATAAAAGTGTATGCATAGTTGTGCTAGCTAGTAGTAAGCTAATTGTATTAAACCATCACTAACCTTTGCCGTCTCCTGATGTCAAAATATTTGAATTGATGAGATTCTATCAGATGCAAATGTTCACAATTCCTTTATAGTTAAAGGTCTTTCAAAATGGAAACACTCACTGTACTGGGCTTTAATCTAGCTAGTTAGGTAGCTGACCTGAATCAATCAAACACAGACACGCGCACTCTACACACACGTACATTGTAATATTGTTGTATGGTGGTATTACACATTTTGTATTGTAGATATGAAGTGGTGTATTAATGTTATATCATGTACTGTTTTATGTGTGATGTAAGTGCCTTAATGTGTTTGGACCCCAGGAAGAGTAGTTGGGATCCATTATAAATACAAATGGTGAATCAATCAACAGGCTTTACAAACGGATGCTGGATTACCAGCAAAGCTATTTTGATTGAATGAACATCCAGTCTCTCTACAACAACATTAGCTAGATACAGTAGCTAACAAGGGCACGCCAAAAACAATTACAATTGTTCAATAGATTTCAGGGGAGAAAATCCCATCCCAAAAAAAGATAGCCAAAGCCAAAAGTAGACACGCTAGCTAACTAAAAGAAATAGTGTTCACCATGTTAGCAACCAGCTAGCTATCTAATTTAGTTACAGATCTAGCGGACCCACCGGCGAATGCCAATGCAATGTGCAAAAAATTAATCGCCCTGCTCGGATAGCTAACCGCCACACTACTGTAACTTGTCAGTTAAGAAACATTACATCCAAAATACATTACGAAATACACATATCCCAAAGATATGTCTTAGTCAATATTTACAGCAAATAGTAGCATATTTGGAATATTTACCTGATATCCTCAGACTGGTTCACTCTGCTACGTACTGTAGCAACAGTGAACAGCGCCCCGCACAACATAGGCTGACAACGTAGCAAACAACATGGCTGCGGAAAGTAATGCCACGTCAAGGTGTCCAATCATAGGGCCTCACCAAAAATAGTTTTAAGGACAGCTTCATGACAGAGTTAACTAGCTTTAATCATATTCTTATTTATTTTCAACAGTACATTTTTTTACCTGTCTGGCTTTGATCCAAACGAGAGAATTACCTAAATAAGACGTTTTGTTTATTGGACTGATAGGAGACTCTTGGTTAAACATTTCCTTTTGAATAAATTAAATATGTGAAGTGCTTAACTTGGCCTGAAATAGATGCCATTACTCATTTTCAGGGCAGGTACTGTTTATATGTAGATGCATAAACTCTGCAATACTTTTGAGCTAATATTCTATAAGAGGTGCTGGTACTCCGCTCCAGTGATCTCCTGCCCAAGTTAAGCACTGTATGTGATCAACACCACATAAATCAACATGAATATCAGTAGTTTTATGCACATTTTCTGCTCACTTTCCTTTGAAATGCAGTGCCCCAACAATAACACGTTTCAATAGTCATAGGTAGCTCATACTAGTACTGTCTATTAAAGTATGTGGTCTAATCTTTGACAAGTTTTATTGATAGACCGATAACTATGATTGACAACTATGACAATCATTGATCTACCAAACTATGAAAGAAAAGAAAACTGGCTTTTTAAAACATTGCAATAAAATTTATTACATTATGACAAAAAAAAATGTCCAACTAATTTCAGCATATCTTTGCAACATCTCCAAATCAGGGTTGTGTTCATTAGGGCACACCGGAAAACATTTTAAATTGTTTTGCAATAAAAAATACAAATAAAACTGTGGGTATCTTATTGGACAAGTCCAAGTAGTGACTCCCGGTTTAAGTTCTTCCTTTTGGTGCTTAATGAACATAACCCAGGACAAGCATCATGATCCCACTATTTAAGCATCTTTTGTGCCTCATTTTCAATTAGTGTAAAATCACAGAACTTATTTTGATTTATCCTGACAAGTAAATAAGCCTCTGCATAGTTTTATACACAAACATCTTAATTAATTATATTACGGAGGCAAAATAACTGTCCTCTCCTTTTTGCTAAATATTCTCCATTCCTTGCTAAATCAAAACTCCTCACACCTTCTCGCTAAATCCAAATGACAACCTTTTATTTAGCTGGGTTCAGGCTCAGTGGTTCACATGTTGTTGAATCCCATCATTCCTTTGGCGTTGCCAGCTGCACCCTGTTGGAACTGTCTCATCATGGACTGGAGACCAGACATTCCACCTGCAGAGGAGACAAACAATAATCAGCGTGTTTCAGGGGGATCAGTTCAACTCTAGAGCAAGGCGGAGAGGCACAGAATCGCTAAACTTCATCCAATAATGAGAGATTATTTGAAGTGCAAGGTGATTTGTAGATCAGAGATTCTGTGCAGCCTATCTCAAACATACACTATATCACATCTATGTCATTACGTTTGGACCGACCATGCTCAAAGTAAAGTAACAAAAGGAAGTTTGGGAAATGTGACATGACTTATTGTAATGGAAGTGAAAGTCAAGCCTACCCATATGGTGGAGAACCCTTGGATCCATCATCTTTGCCATCTGTTGGTTCAACTTAGCCATCTGAGAGGGGTTGACATTCTTGGACATATCACCACCTGCAAACGTGTAAAATTGCAAAAATAATTTAGAGACATAGCCTGTTACTTGATGAACGCAAAATTGTGTAATTGGACCAGTGCTTCCGTTTCAAGGCTGAAAACGTGACTAGGCATGAAATCCTTGCTTCCTCTGTCCTGGTTTCCTCTATTCCTCCCCTCACAGTGCATTGGAGGAGAGGATCCAAGGTCCTTCCCTCATACCTCCTCTAATGCGCTTTGAGAGGGGAGGAGGGAAATGGAGGAAACAAGGACGGAGGAAGCAAGGACTTGACAGCTAGTAATGTTTTAAGATGCATCCAAGAAGTGCATACCTTTGAACAGGCCCTTGATGCCACCCATCTTCTTCACCATCTGGGCGAACTTGGTGTACTGGGTGAGCAGCTCCTGGACATCCCTGGTGGCGACCCCTGAACCCCGCGCCACTCTGGCGATTCGGTTCGGCCCCTTGCTGAAGAGCTTTGCACCGTCTTTGTTGTCAAGTTCTGCAAAAACCAAAGAAAGAAACCACAGTGAGGAAAACATGTACGCATCTTGTATAACCCTTTTGTTTGTCACTTACTGTTGCTTATTGATGAAAGCGGATTACATCTTTACCTTGGTCGTTCATGCTGTCCATAATTGTCATGAGTTTCTTCAACCTGGCCATGGACTCCTGCTCGTTGCCTTTGCTCATGAAGTCTGTTCCGAAGCCTGGGATCATACCCTTGTGACATTAACAGAAGTAAGATTAGCATTGTCATCTTTCAATACATCCCATTCGTGACCAGAACAATGTAAAATATTGTTAGGTAAAACAAGAAGAGGGGATACAGCTGAGATTGTTTCGAAAGGGCGTTGTGCTGAAACGTTGACATTCTTCTTGTTTCATCTATAGTATGTAGCCATATGGGGGACCTTAATTTTTCTCCCTATAGTTATTCTGGTTGCCGCTTACTTACCATGATCTGGCCGAATGGTCCCATCTTCATGATGTTCTGAAACTGCTCGTACATGTCTCGGAGAGTGAACTGACCTGTGGTGCAAATGGTGATTAGAAGAAGCTTAAAAAAACCATACCACATAACAATGTATAACTGTGTTATAGACTGCAGAGCATATGCATACTGTATGTCAATTATGATATGGGGCCTATATTACAAGTATGTCAGCTGATGATCTCATTCTCACCATGTTTCAGCTTGTCAATCAACTCCTCGTTGTCATCCAGCTTGAGTTCATTGACTTTGTCTATCAAACCTTCAATGTCTCCCATGCCTGAGGACAAAATACACACAACTCATTCAATACAGGTTGTACAAAATGGGTAAAACTAAATGTAATGTGACCTCTTATGATGATCCATTATTCAAAAAGGGAAAAAACAGCTTACCCAGTAGCTTGCTGATGAAGGGTTGTGTCTTAAATGGTTCTAAGTCGTCAATGTGTTCTCCAGTACCAATGAAAATGATGGGACTCTTAGTAGCAGCCACTCTATAAAAAGGCAACATGAGTATGAAACATTACCTAACCATCAGGATTATCATTGAGTTAATGAATTCTGCAGTAGTAAGGAAACTCAGTTCACCATTACTTGGATAAGTTGTCGAAGCAAAGAGTGCCATTTACTTACGCACTGAGAGCGCCACCACCTTTGGCGTGACCATCCAGCTTTGTCACTATGACGGACGCAACTTCTACTTTGTCTTTGAAGGCCTTAGCCTGGGCTTCGCAAGCTTGGCCAATGGAGGCATCCATCACGTACACAATGTTGTCGGGTTGCTGGAGGAAATAGAAACATGCATGCACTTTATCTAAAGCAATACAGTGCATTCGGAAAGTATTCAGACCCTTTGACTTTTTCCACATTTTGTTATGTTACAGCCTTACTCTAAAATTGATTAAATTGTTTCCCCCCCCCCCCCTCATCAATCTACCCCATAATGACAAAGCAAAACAGGTTTTCATAAATGTTTGCAAATGTATTACAAATAAAAAACTGAAATATCACATTTACATAAGTATTCAGACTCTTTACTCAGTACTTTGTTGCAGCACCTTTGGCAACGATTACATCCTCGAGTCTTCTTGGGTATGATGCTACAACCTTGGCACACCTGAATTTGGGAAGTTTCTCCCATTCTTCTCAGCAGATCCTCTCAAGCTCTGTCAGCTTGGATGGGGAGCGTCGCTGCACGGCTATTTTCAGGTCACTCCAGAGATGTTCGATCGGGTTAAAGTCCGGGCTCTGGCTGGGCCACTCAAGGTCATTCAGAGACTTGTCCCGAAGCCACTCCTGCATTGTCTTGGCTGTGTGCTTAGGGTCATTGTCCTGTTGGAAGGTGAACCTTCGCCCCAGTCTGAGGTCCTGAGCGCTCTGGAGCAGGTTTTCATCAAGGATCTCTCTGTACTTTGCGCCGTTTATCTTTCCCTCGATCCTGACTAGTCTCCCAGTACCTGCCGCTGAAAAACATCCCCACAGCATGATGCTGCCACCACCATGCTTCACCGTAGGAATGGTGCCAGGTTTCCTCCAGACGTGACGCTTGGCATTCAGGCCAAAGAGTTCAATTTTGGTTTCATCAGATCAGAGAATCTTGTTTCTCATGGTCAGAGTCCGTTAAGTGCCTTTTGGCAAACTCCAAGCGGGCTGTCATGTGCCTTTTACTGAGGAATGTCTCCCGAGTGGCGCAGTGGTCTAAGGCACTGCATCGCAGTGCTAGCTGTGCCACTAGAGATCCTGGTTCGAATCCAGGCTCTGTCGTAGCCGGCCGCGACCGGGAGACCCATGGGGCGGCGCACAATTGGTCCAGGGGAGGGGAGGGAATGGCCGGCAGGGATGTAGCTCAGTTGGTAGAGCATGGCGTTTGCAACGCCAGGGTTGTGGGTTCGAAACCCACGGGGGGCCAGTATGAAAAATAAAACAATGTATGCACTCACTAACTGTAAGTCGCTCTGGATAAGAGCGTCTGCTAAATGACTAAAAAATTTAAAATAAATTGACTTCCGTCTGGCCACTCTACCATAAAGGCCTGATTGGTGGAGTGCTGCAGAGATGGTTTTCCTTCTGGAAGGTTCTCCCTCTGGAGCTCTGTCAGAGTGACCATCAGGTTCTTGGTCACCTCCCTGACCAAGGCCCTTCTCCCCCGATTACTCAGTTTGGCCGGGCGGCCAGCTCTAGGAAGAGTCTTGGTGATTCCAAACTTCTTCCACTTAATTATGATGAGGCAACTGTGTTCTTGGAGATCTTCAATGCTAAAGAAATGTTTTGGTACCCTTCCCCAGATCTGTGCCTCGACACAATCCTGTCTCAGAGCTCTACGGACAATTCCTTCGACCTCATCGCTTAGTTTTTGCTCAGACATGCACTGTCAACCATGGCAACTTATATAGACAGGTGTGTGCCTTTCCAAATCATGTCCAATCAATTGAATTTACCACAGGTAGACTCCAATCAAGTTGTAAAAACATCAAGGATGATCAATGGAAACAGGATGCACCTGAGCTAAATTTTGAGTCTCATAGCGATGGGTCTGAATACTTATGTAAATAAGGTATTTCTGTTAATACATTTGCACAAAAGAATAATAACCTGTTTTCGCTTCGTCATTATGGGGTATTGTGTGTAGATTGAGGAGGAAAAAAATATAAATTGTAATCAATTTTAGAATAAGGCAAATTGTAACAAAATTTGGAAAAAGCCAAGGGGTCTGAATACTTTCCGAATGCACTGTACATTTTATAATGGACTATCAAAAGCTCAGGCTGGCAGAGAGATACAAATGTCCCCAGAGATTATGTTTGCATTAGTTGACTGTATTGATGACATTGAAGGGCCCTGGATGGTTCACAGATTTAAATGATTACAGTGGCGCAAAAATACTACTTACCACTGCATTGGAAACCTGCAACATCTCCTCAAAAAGGGAATCTTCTTGCTTGTGTCGGCCACTGGTATCAACAATGATTATTTCAAAGCTCTCATTTTTGAACTTTTCCACACCTTCCGCAGCTATGACGACAGGGTCCATCTCTGTGTAACTGTGGATTATACAACGTTAGTGTACTGTATGCAGGCAAGGCCCTGCGATAGACTAGCATCCTGTCCAGGGGGTGTATTTACACATCAAGCTGCCAAAGCTTGTGCAAGGCTCCTTACCTTTTACATTAGCATAAAAATCTAATATCACTAAAAAATTACTTGATGAGATGCATCACATACATATGAGAAGCGACCAAATGCAAAGCATACATACCTTCCATAGAATGGAATTCTGGCTTTTGTTGCATTTTGCTTCAACTGATCGAAGGCACCTGCACACACATAAAAAACGGTTGTTGTTGACTTTGTTTGTTTTTTAGCTCATTTTCTTTATTTTGAGGAGGAATATCAAACAGATAGATTTAGAAAATGAAACTTTACCAGCTCTGAAAGTGTCAGCGCATATCAAACAGGTCTTCCACCCTTTTCTTTGGTAGTAGTAGGCCAGCTGTGGAAAAGGGATTCAATACAGTACATTAGTGATGGCATAATATATTTTGGCCAAATGGCCACCTGAATGTCCTTATCTTTAGGCTGAAATCCAGGAATGGCTCACCTTGGAACATGTTGTGGTTTTCCCACTGCCCTGAAGACCCACAAACATGATGACGTTGTTCTTTCCCTTCGTGGGTGTCCAAGCCTTGACCCCTGGATCCACCAGCTGAGAGACAACCACAACAGAAAATCTTAGACACACTCCCATCGCATCAAATGCGACTAACACAGAAACATTGCATCTTTGTAAAATATGTGAAGTGAGAACGTTGGGATGTGCCTCTTCCAACCACACAAGCTTCTTTAAAAGTGTAAACAAGCCATCTGAAAGTCTTCTCCCCCACCCAAAAACCCACATGAAATCTAAACTGATCAGTTGAGTATCCATGTCCGAGGGTAGGCCTTCTAATGTGAAACTAATTATGTATTGAGCTGAGCAATCAAAACCTTTAAATACAGGTAGACTACAGCTGTTGGATCCCTTAGTTCAATTAAGGTAATTGTTTGACGGGAATGACTGGTTTGAAGGTATAGTACATTACCGAAACAGTTTACAAAACACTATTATAATACGTTCAGTTTCACGCCACAATAACTGACTAACAAACAATGACGTAAGAATCGTCAGAGAATGAGACTGACCTTGACGAGCTCCTTGAACACTGAATGCTGGATCATTCTCCTCTTGTTCAGCCCAGAGGCCATCTCCTCCAGGTCAATGGATGATCTGTTGTCAAAGACAGATTACATTAGTAGGATACAGAATTCAGCTTCAGCTACAGTACAATGTGTTCCTGAATAATGTCACTCACTTTACATTTTCTCTGAGCTGCTTCACCAACTTGATGTTGACATCAGCTTCCAGCAGGGCAGCACACACTTCTTTCAGCATGGCATTTAATACCTAGAGAAAGAGAAGACATTATCTATGAGAAATATCATATGTTCTTGCGTGGGTGAAACCTGGCAACATATGTAACTACTATTTAGTTAACAACCACACGTTGCCAAAAGTTGTACAAAAAATAAAAAAAGTCTGATTTGGTACTAGATATACCTCCTCATTGATGATGGTGGCATTGCTCAGTGATCGCAACGCCGAGGTTATTTTTCTTCCCAAATCGGCTAACACCATGTTGGCAGGTCTTGTGGAACCTGGAAAAATTATTTGGATTAGTAAGTTTGGTCATACTACCACTGCCAACTACTATTCCACTTCAATGCTGGATAATAAATGTTATGGAAAGGGACTTACAAAATCAGTTGAGAAATACGGCCTCTTCGGCTTCAATGTTGAGGGCGGACCCCCTTGTCTACACAACTTTCACTGCCACTTATTGGTGATCAAACGTCCGTTGTTGACTTCCAGCTGAGCAGTGAACGAAAACAATGAGTGTAATCTGGAGATTAGTTTAGCAGATAGCCAAGACAACATGGCAGGATTTCTTCAATAATTATTCTACATAAATTAGCTAGAAAAATACCGTAGTTAACAAATACAACACTTGTATGTAAAGAAGACATAATATTGACACGATTCCAATTTGTAAGTCGCTCTGGATAAGAGCGTCTGATAAATGACTTAAATGTAAATGTAAAAATTGCATCGACGCAGCTTTTAAAACTATCTAGCTAGCTAGTTAACGTTAGCATCGACAACTAGACTCGGGCGAGGCCGTGGTTCTCCGAGTATATGATACGAATAACGACAGCATCATAATTTCGATGGATAGCTAGCTATCTAGCTAGTATTTCGACATTTAAAAAACAGTAGCTAGCTACTACATTATCATTATTATAATTATAAAGAAGATCGTTACCTCAGGTTTGCCAACTGGCTTGAAAAATGCAATCAAACGAACGTCATCTCAATCCAAAATATCCCAGAATTCCTATCTACTTCCGGGGTTATGTTTACTTCTTTGTGACGCCTGGATTTTAAGGGCTTCTGAAATGTCCTTTTTCTACTTAGAGTAAACGGTAATTTTATACAACACATGTCCATTTAATTAGCCAAAATCAATATTCAATATATTTCTACAATACAAGTTACATGAAATGAAATAATATATACTAAATTCTCTCAATTTCCCATTGATTTCACCACTACTATTAATAGGGCTCCAATTATCGTGCCTCCTTAAATCTCAAATACGTATCCGGTATTTTCTACACATGCGTTCAATACATTCAAGCGTGAGCAATCGTATGTGGCAAAATATTTGTTGAAATGAACTTTTCAGACGCAAAAAACGAAATCGTACGATTACTCTCCAGAGTAAATTCCAAGGACCTGCCAAGGTTAATTGACTGGATGAAAAACTCTGGTATTTAACCCTGGCATTAGCTATTTTAAGCCTAAATCAACCATGCCATGTTCATGTTGGATAATGATGATTAAACTGAATAACATTAGCTAGTGATTTTGTTTCTTGCAGATGAAGTGGATGATGGATTGGTTGACAATCAAAAGGTGATACTTCAAAGTATTTCAGAGGATCTTAGGACATGTCTTCCTTTGGAGGCTGTGCTCTCCTCCGAGTCCTTGGCTATTCAGAAGGTGGGTTACTGTAATTGCTTTCTTTACACAAGAAACTTCTTTACTCAGGGCCAGATTTACTAGCTGGGTGCTTGTATTTGGTGCAAGGTGTGTGTATTTTATTTTCAGAGAGGAATACAAAAAAATATATACTCACACTTAAAGTTAGACTTTTCAATAATTAAAGGGGTAGTTCACCCAAATTACAAAATGACATCGTTTCCTTACCCTGTAAGCGGTCTATGGACAAGGGATGACAACAATCCATGCTTTGGTTTAGTTTCCCTGGCACTGTTTCCACATGCTAACACGTGTGTGTGGTACAAATCATGGGACTGATATTAGCATTTTTCACACATCATCTCCAAAAAATCCAAAAGTGTCTAAAATTGATTGTGAAGCTCAACAAAGTCACAGATGATTTGAACATGATGTGTGAAAAATGCTAATATCGGTCCCATGACTTGAATGGGATTTGTGCCATAAATGCTAAAATGTTAGCATGTTGAAACCGTGCAAGGGAAACTAAACCAAAGCATGAATTGCTTTCATACCTTGTGCAGAGACTGCTTACAGGGTAAGGAAACCGATGTCATTTTGTAATTTCGGTGAACTATCCCTTTGACTAACAAACGAGTTAACAACTAATTATGTTCATCATCAATTGATTATTCAGACCCAACAGAACCCCCAGCCCACACTGCATGTGGATGCTTTCCTGTATGACGAGGAGACCGTGGATACACTCTGTGAGGAGGGCAAGATGAGCCGCAACTACTGCTTGAACTGTGGCACTCACAGAACAGCTCCCCTGGGTAGGTTTGCTTTACCTGGGCCTCCCGAGTGGCGCAGTGGTCAAAAGCACTGCATCGCAGTGCTAAGGGCGTCACGACAGACCCGGGTTCGAACCCAGGCTGTGTCGCAGCGAGCCATGAGGCGCCGCAGAATTGGCACCGCGTCGTCTGGGTTAGGGGAGGGTTTGGCCAGCCGGGATGTCCTTGTCCCATCGCGCTCTAGTGACTCCTTGTGGCGGGCCGGGTGCATGCACGCTGACTGAGGTCGCCAGCTGTACGGTGTTTCCTCCGCCACATTGGTGCGGCTGGCTTCCGGGTTAAGCGAGCAGTGTGTCAAGAAGCAATGCGGCTTGGCAGGGTCGTGTTTCGGAGGATGCATGACTCTTGACCTTCGCCACTCCCGAGTCAGTACAGGAGTTGCAGCGATGGGACAAGACTAACTACCAATCGGATATCACGAAAAAGGGGTAAAAAGTACAACAAATAAAGGTTTGCTCTGCCTGTTTAATCATTGTACTTGTTCTGAAGGATCATGCCATCTCACCAACAATCCAATTACCCAAAGCCCATCAATAATTATACTGAACAAAAATATAAACGCAGCATGTAAAGTGTTGGTCCCATGTTTCATGAGCTGAAATAAAATATCCCCGAAATGTTCTATATCGTGGAGCTCCGCCCCATAGGGGAGCTCTGCTCCTAATGGTTTACCCTCTGCCCTAAGGCAGCAGCAGCCTGAGACAAAATTATGCACACACCTACAGCCAATAGGAGTACAGGTGTCCCTATAAGAGGGGGTGCCTCCCCTCAATCAGCCTCCCTTTTTCTTCAGCGACTGGATGACTAGACTGAAGAGCCAAGAAGAGACGAAGCACGAAGACTCAGGAGACGAAAACGCCGTTGATATTCCAGTCATCAACGTCGTCTAAATGAGCACACCGGGAGATTTTCCACCCCCAAAAGCTCTTTTCAGAGCTCAGTGCAGATGCACTTCCATGGCGGCCGGTGACCACCACGACTTATGTTTCGTGTGTTTGGGATCCCAGCATGCCAAGGAAGGCGTCTGCAGTCCCCCGAATTGCGCCTCCTGCGCCCTCCTTTCTTTAAAGGAGAGGAAGCAGCGTTGGGCGTTTTTCAGGGAGGACATCCCCCTTGAGGATGTGTTGTCGATACTAGCCTCTGCTTCAGAGGCGTCGTCCGACGGCGCAGACTCGGGGGAAGATGGGGATTTTGAGGAAGGGTCTGGCATTCCAATGGAACAGTCGGACCCCGTCCCTCATACTTTCAAGCCCCCCTTTCCTTTGGAGAGCGAGAGGGCTTGTAGTCCCTATAGCGAAGGGGATACGAGCTCTGAGAGATCAGAAGCTCTCTCTTTCGCTGCAGCCTCTCTGAGAGCGGATTTTCCGGGTCTCATTGAGAGAGCTGCTCAACGGCTGGCAATAGAGCTGCCCCCTCTTCCCTCCGCACCGGAGGTTGATATGATGGAGGGCGGTCCTTATTCCAGGCCAAGGAAGGCGGCAGAGCCAGTGGCTCCTGCCATGCCTTCTTTGGCTAGGTACGTTGGAGGCTCGTGGGAGGCACCTTTAGCGGCGCGTTCGCCTGTAAAAGCGTATCTCCCATTCACGAGAGTGGAAGGAAGGCTTCAGGGTCAGGGAATCCCCAGGTTAGAGAGCGCCATGGCGGCGTATCTCGTACCGGGTTCGAGCCCTTGGCCCTCTTCCAAGAAGGCCACGTTGCCATCCCAGAAGGACCGACTCACAGCGTCGCTGTTAGAGAAGTCTTTTGGGTTGGGAGCCCAAGCTGTAGCAGCAGCTAACAACATTGCCCTCTTGGCGGCCTCTCTGTCCCGTTTAACCACGGGTAAGACAGAGATGGCACCGGAGGAGGTGGAGGAGGCGTCCAGAATTTCTGGCGCCATACTCCACCTTACACAGGCGTCCGCAGTCTGCGCGGGGAGATCCATGGCCACTTCGGTGGTCGGGGAACGACACCTCTGGTTGTCTTTGACTTCCATGAAAGAGGCAGACAGGACGTCTCTCTTGAACGCCCCCCTCTCTGACGACGGCCTCTTTGGGGTCGCAGTCAAAGAGGCGACGGAGCGTTTTTCAAAGTTGGAGGAGGAGAAGAAGCAGTTGGCCAAGCACCTGCCGTTGGCAGGACGACTCGGCCCCCCTCCTCCCCAAAGGCCATCTACCTCCGCCCCTCTAAGTAGACCGGGATCTACGACGAGGCGGCGTAATCGGCGTCATCCGGCGGCCACGAGCAGCAAGGGAGCGAGCTCGGCCCTCCCAGCAGCTACGGTAGCCCCACTACAGCCGGCGAGGGAGGTGACGAGGACGCCGACCTGGCCCTCCAAGGGAGGCAAGAGGAGGCGTACGTGACGGGACGCGGGGGAGAGGATGGAGGACGCATCGATGGTGTCGAACGCGCCCACTGTTCCCCCCCACCCTTCGGTTGAAGGGACGGGTGCTGATGTAAATGCTTTTGTTGATGTGTTTAATAAAGAGTTGGCTCCACCTGACTTTGTCAAAAAATAGCCTCTTTTCCATAATACGTCAGAGAGCGTTCAAATCTCACCCTCTCTTCCTTACCACTCTAAGAGCCGTTCAGCCCACCGAGGGTGCGTTGCTGAACAGGCACTAAGAGTAGGTATCCAGAAGACCTCAATCAGGTCGTCACATCACACTTCACGTATAAGAAGTGCTTTACATAGAAGGCAGCAGTCCCGGTCAGATTCTGACATGAGGACGCAGCCGCTATTTGGGGATGGCGCACTAGTACAGACTAAGGTCTCCACTAGTACGAGCCAGACCCATGCTGCGTTCACGGAGGGCCCGATTACCGCGGTCACCAAGGTGCCCAGAGTATCGGCGCCCCCAGGCATTGTAACACAGCAGCTATCTGGGGACGGCGCATTATCGCAGACCAAGGTCTCGGTTAATGCGATTCAGACCCATGCTACGTTCACGGAGGGCAGGATTACTAGCGTTATGGGTATAACCAAAGTATCAGCTCCCCTGACAGAACGAGCCAGTACTCACCACACTGAGCGTGAATCAACCCACCAGGGGTGCAGAGTTGAACACACACAGAAGGTGAAAGTTAAGAAGGTATCAAGGCGCCGCCTTGTTTTACCTCATAGAGACCTCATACTACAGACTTCTAGGAGTACTGTAGTGAAGGGCTCTGATAGCGAATTGCAGTCACCTAAAATGACGCAATCGCTTGCTGGGGATGGTGCCCTGCCGCAGGCTGTGGCCTCGGTCAGTGCAATTCAGACCCGCGATGCGTTCAAGGAGGGCAGGAATACGACGGTTACGGGTTTAACCGACGTCCCTACTCCTCTTTCTTTCTCAGAACGCATTTCCTCTCTCTTTCACGGGAGGCCCACCTTGGGCTGTTCCACCACTTCAATGTTGGGGAACAGTGGCGGTAAGGGCCATAGAGGAATACAGGTCCTTCCTACTGGATGCACCACAGCTTCGCGCCCAGCCACTTTCTCAGCATTGCTGGCAGTGGCGAAGAAGCTGCACCCTCTCACGCTGGCTAGAACAGACGTTGCAGAAGGGTTATGCTCTCCAATTCCACCGGACCCCACCCCCGTTCAGGGGAGTGGTGGAGACGGTGATGAAAACGCCAGACAAAGTGGCCGCTCTGATGACAGAGATTACGGAACTTTTGTGAAGGAGGCGGTGACAGTAGTTCCCCGGGAGCAAAGGAACAAAGGGCTATATTCGCCTTATTTCCTAGTGCCCAAAAAGACGGGGGGAGTGAGGCCGATTTTGGATTTACGCATTCTCAACGAGAGCATAACCAAACGGCCCTTCCGAATGCTAACGACAAAACGTCTTCTGGAATGTGTCCAGAGAGGGGACTTTTGTACGAGCATAGACCTAAAGGACGCGTACTTTCATGTGCCGGTTCAGCCGCGTCACAGGACGTTTCTGCGGTTCGCCTTTCAAGGGGTGGCGTACGAATACACGAGGATGCCATTTGCGTACGCCCTGGCACCTCGCACATTTTCCAAGTGTGTGGAGGCGGCATTGGAACCGTTGCGTCGTCAGGGAATACGGCTACTAGCCTACCTGGACGACCTACTGGTTCTCGCCCCGTCAGCAGAGCTGGCGATCACTCACACAACACAGACAGTGATGCATCTCACAAGTCTGGGGTTCGCTGTGAATTGGAAAAAGAGCGCGCCCTGGCCCACTCATCAGATTGTCTACCTGGGGATACAGCTAGACACTGTGAGGATGAGGGCTCGAATCTCGGACCCCCGAAGGGTAGCCTTGTTGCTAGCCCTAAGGAAGTGTCGTCCGAATCACACGGTGACGGCGCTGTCGATCATGTCACTTTTGGGTCTCATGTCGTCAGCCCACTCTGTGGTTCCGCTGGGACTCCTGCACATGCGCAGGACGCAGCGATGGTTCGCCCAACTAAGACTAGACCCATTGCGTCAACGTCATCGGTTGGTGGTGGTTCCCCTCTCGCTCAGTGCAGACCTAAACTATTGGAGAAACTCGCGCATTCTCACGCACGGAGTCCCGATAGGAAAGGTGTCCTCTCACATCCCAGTATTCACGGATGCGTCCCTGACGGGATGGGGAGGGACATGTCAGACACAAGCGATAGGAGGTGTGTGGCCTCAATCAGGTCGTCACATCAACCTCCTGGAGTTGGAAACGGTTCGACTGGTTCTGACCCACTTCACGTCTACCCTTCGGGGTCGCGATGTGCTGGTCTGGTCAGACAACCGGACCACAGTAGCCCACATAAATCGCCAGGGTGGAGTCAGGTCGCCTGCTCTCCATCGGGCGGCAGAGGAATTGTGGCTGTGGGCTCACGAGCACCTTCGCTCATTGAGAGCAGCACACATTCCGGGCTACTTGAACGTAGGAGCAGACCTCATGTCAAGAGGGGGTCCTCGAGACGACGAGTGGTGTCTGCATCCAGACATTGTTCTCCAGATTTGGGAACAATTCGGGAGAGCCGAGGTGGACCTATTCGTGTCACGCGTGAACGCGCAATGTCCTCTGTGGTTCTCTCTGAGGGAACAGGACGAACCGCCACTGGGAAGGGACGCCTTTGCGCACCAACCGTGGCCGAGAGTTCTCCTGTATGCATTCCCTCCGCTGTCCTGCATTCTCCCACTGCTAGCCAGGGTGAGGTCAGGGGGGCTGTCAGTGATACTGATAGCGCCCGATCGCCCGGGGGCTCTGTGGTTTGCGGAGATGAGTCAGATGTTGATTGCGCCACCTTGGCCAATTCCACATCGACGGGACGCGTTGTCTCAGGCGGCTGGCACGATAGGGAAATTGCCCATAATCGGCCAACCACTGAAGGCCTGGCTGCTGAGAGGGACAGGCTAGAGCGCCGTGGGTTATCTGATGCAGTGATCAGGATCATACAGGGTTCACGTGCCAGTTCCACTTCTAAGATGTATGCCAGTAGATGGAACGTGTTTTCACGATGGTGTGTCACACAAGGTGTGGACCCCATGAGCTGTCAGGTGGAGAGTATTCTCTCTTTTCTGCAGCTCATGTTTGATAAGCAAAAATCGCCTGCCACGATTAGAGTGTTTGCAGCAGCGATTTCAGCTTGTCATGAGGGTTTTGGCAGAGACAATGTCTTTAGTCACCCTCTAGTGAAACGCTTCCTATTAGGAACGCGGCGACTCGAAACGCTTCCTATTAGGAACGCGGCGACTTAGGCCAACACCTAGAGTCACGCTTCCTCAGTGGGATTTGGCTTTGGTACTCGAAGCGCTATGTAAGTCGCCGTTCGAGCCATTTAATCAAATACCCCTCAAGATGCTGTCTATCAAGACAGCACTGTTGCTCGCTTTGACTACAGCTAAGCGGGTCAGTGATTTGTGTGCTCTTTCGACGAGACCTGACTGCCTGGCCATCAATGGTGACCTGAGCAGAGCAGTGTTACGTCCTAACCCGGCATTTGTGCCGAAGGTTATTAAGAGTTCATATAGGTCACAGACCGTGGAGCTGTGGGCTTTTTCTCCTCCTCCTCATAGAGAGAGGAGTGAGGAGAAGCTCCATCGCCTGTGCCCGGTACGCGCTTTGGCGTGTTACGTCGAGCGCACAGCAGCGATTAGGTCATCGCCTCAGTTGTTTGTGTGTCACGGTGCGGCTGCACTAGGTAGACCACTTTCAAAACAGAGGCTGTCTCACTGGCTTTGTGAAGGCATTGAGACAGCTTATGAGGTAGCAGGGCGGCAATTGCCTCAGGGTATCAGAGCTCACTCCACTCGTGGAGTAGCGGCTTCTACTGCCCTTTTTAGAGGAACAGGAGTAGAGGATATCTGTAGAGCAGCATCCTGGTCGACGCCGTCTCCATTTATCCGTTTCTATCTCTTAGATATGTCTTCTAATTCTCTGGCTCGATCTGTACTCAGCGTGGCTGAAGGGAGATCTTGAGCAAGAAAGAGAGGAGAAGCAGGACTGTGGACTCAGGTTTCCATCAGGTCCGCTTTGGTTAGGAAGACGTGTTTTTGACAGATGTGTTTTCTAACTCTTTGGCTCGGTCTGTACTCAGCATAGCTGAAGGGAGATCTGGAGCTAGGAAGAGAGGGAAAAGCAGGACTATGGACTGGGTTTCCATCAGGTCCGCTTTGGATAAGAAAACATATTTTGTGACATGAATCCTGACTGACAGGATCAGTACAGTAGAGGCATGCGTTGATTAACAGAATATGAGGTCATCTATCTGCTTGTTCAGTTAGTATGACTCATGTTTTTGTTCCTGCCCACTAATCTCTGGGATTCTATTGAGTGAGTGAGGCGGTCTACCGCGTTCATAATGTAGAGTGACACTTGATGTCATTCCATTAGTGGTCGGTAGTGTTTTCACAGGATATTGAGGCACATCTATCTGCTAGTACAGATTAGTATGGCTTCTATTCTGGTGATCTGCCCACTAGTCATTGGCATTGCCATTGGACTAGGTGGGGCGGGTTTTTTAACCGATGACGCGGTATATTGTGACGCCCGTAGGGTTTTTTAGTTGCAGTACTGCGGGACTCGGTTGCAGCCATTGCTAGGCTTGACTTTCTCGTTTCGATGGGAAGTGTTAGGCTCGGCAGGGAGTACATTTTGGAGCGCTACGCTCCGACCTTAAACCATTAGGAGCAGAGCTCCCCTATGGGGCGGAGCTCCACGATATAGAATGATTAGTTACCGGAGTGTAACTCCAGTTCTATGAGTGGAGCGGAGCCCCATAGGACTTAAGGCCCTGCCGACCCTCTCTAGTCTCGCTGAAGAAAAATATCTCGGGAGGCTGATTGAGGGGAGGCACCCCCTCTTATAGGGACACCTGTACTCCTATTGGCTGTAGGTGTGTGCATAATTTTGTCTCAGGCTGCTGCTGCCTTAGGGCAGAGGGTAAACCATTAGGAGCAGAGCTCCCCTATGGGGCTCCGCTCCACTCATAGAACTGGAGTTACACTCCGGTAACTAATCGTTCCATACGCACAAAAAGCTGTCGTGCACAAATTTGTCGTGCACAAATTTGTTTACATCCCTGTTAGTGAGCATTTCTCCTTTGCCAAGATAATCCATCCACCTGAAAGGTGTGGCATATCAAGAAGCTGATTAAATAGCATGATCATTACACAGGTGCACCTTGTGCTGGGGACAATAAAAGGCAGCTCTAAAATGTGCAGTTTTGTCACACAACACAATGCCACAGATGTCTCACATTTTGAGGGAGCGTGCAATTGGCATGCTGACTGCAGTAATGTCCACCAGAGGTTTTTCCAGAGAATTGAATGTTCAATTCTCTACCATAAGCCACCTCCAACGTCGTTTTAGAGAATTTGGATTTACGTCCAACCGGCCTCACAACCGCAGACCTAGTGTATGGTCTTGTGTGGGCGAGCGGTTTACTGATGTCAACGTTCTGAACAGAGTGCCCCATGGTGGGGTTATGGTGTGGGCAGGCATAAGCTATGGACAACGAACAAAGTGGCATTTTATCGATGGAAATTTGAATGCACACCGATACCGTGACAAGATCCGTGCCATTCATCCGCCGCCATCGCCTCATGTTTCAGCATGATAATGCACTGCCCCATGTCGCAAGGATCTGTACACAATTCCTGGATGCTGAAAATGTCCCAGTTATTCCATGGCTTGCATACTCACCAGACATGTCACCCATTGAGCATGTTTGGGATGCCCTCGATCAACGTGTACGACAGCGTGTTCCAGTTCCCGCCAGTATCCAGCAACTTTGCACAGCCATTGAAGAGGAGTGGGACAACATTCCACAGGCCACAATCAACAGCCTGATCAACTCTATGCGAAGGAGATGTGTCGCGCTACACGAAGCCTAATGAATTTATTTCAATTGACTGATTTCCTTATATGAACTGTAACTCAGTCAAATCGCTGAAATTGTTGCATATTGCGTTTTATATTTTTGTTCCGTATAGATGTGTAATTTAGGGTGGGTTTATAACCCTCATGCAGGGCCTCCTGTAGCTCAGTTTGCATAGCATGGCGCTTGTAACGCCAGTTTTGTTGGTTCGTTTCCCACGGGGGGCCAGTATGAAAAATGTATGCACTCACTTAACTGTAAGTCGCTCTGGATAAGAGCGTCTGCTAAATGACTAAAATGTCATGTCGCAGCATTGTATCAAAATTAATGTTTATTTTAATGTTTATTCTCAGAGTTCATCTCTCACTCCTTCTCTATATTGGAGCTCCAGTTCATATTCCAGCATGTCCTACCAGACCTGACTGGGAGACTAGTGGTGGATGTGGGTTCCAGGCTAGGGGCAGTACTTTATGGGGTAAATTACAATGTGTTTACATGCTGTCTGTCTGTACGGTATTGTTAATGGTTATGTGAAAATATTGCAGGAAAATTGGTGTCATGAATTCTTTGGCACAAAAGTATTTACTCTTCCAGTCATCTGTTTGTGCTTCAGGGGTACCTGTACAGCTCTGCAGCTCGGCTTGTTGGGGTAGAGATCAGTGCAGAGTTTGTCAGGCTTCAGAATATGGCTGTGGAGAAGTATGGCTTCAGTGACCGAATACAGGTAAAGCGATCATAAATATAATTTTAAGTTTATTTCTCTTGGTCTTTGTTTTATGTTTTTAAAGAATGTAAGTGCCACAGCTTTCTCTCATTGTCTCACATTTCTGCAGGTCATCCATGCAGATATAAGTACTCAGGATTCCCTGTTACAGAATGCAGATGTTCTCATCATGAACAATGTGTTTGAGTACTTTCTACAGCCCAATGACCAAATGAAGTAGGTAAACCTGGGACACCACATCAGGGGTGTATTCAATAGCGTTTCTCATTGTAAAAGTCCAAGTAGTCTCTCACTGTTTCAGTTAGTATTTTATTTTTTATACATGACCCAGAACACCATGAACGTGCTCAACTTACAATGTCTCATCATTACCAGATACAATACATGAGGAAGATCTCAAATGCATCCTTGCTCCTCTCTCATCAAAACCCATTGGAGGAGAAGGTCAGAGGGGCGGGACATCTGGCTTTCTCATCCAATGGATTTTGAGAAGGAGACAGGACGTGAGGAGTATGCAATTGAGATATTCCCATGATCACTTACTGCGTCCTATTATGCAGTGTTTCCCAAACTAGGTCCTCGGGAGCCCAAAGGGTGTACGTATTGGTTTTTACCCTAACACTACACAGCTGATTCAAATTATCAAATCTTGATGATTATTTGAATCAGCTGTGTAGTACCAGGACAAAAACCAACACGCGCACCCTTTGGGGTCCCGAGGACCGAGTTTGGGAAACCCTGCTCTAATGTCTCTATCCTCTTTCTTTTATAGAGCCTGGTATTTTATCGTTGACAATTTCCGCAAGAATGGTGCTCTATTGGTTACAGTTCCAAGCCTCCAGGAAGCACTTTCTTCACATCAGGTAAATACTGAAAATGCCTGTAAAAACGGTCTGTTTTACACTTTAAGAATGTAATGTTTCTATGATGTGTAACTTCAAGCGTAATGCACACTTCTAATGCTGTACTGTGCTGCTCCTTCAGGGAGGGCTCAACCTCAGCCAGTGGGTAGAGGAACTACCTCTGGATTACAACGTCTATCTGGGGAAGGACGGTGACCCGGACGCATTCAAAAATGTACACCTGTATAGGGTACTGTAACCATGAGTGAAGTCCAAACATCCGCACAGACTTTCTGGCCCTTGGAAATTGACTTTCTGCTACAATGCAGATGGATTCTCTGATAGGACTGTGCCTTACCATATCATGTTCAAGGTATAACAATCTATAAAGATGACCGAGTGATCTGTTACAAGAAATCCCAATGATATTTGTTATGTACTTTACAGTTCAGTGAATAATCTGGCAGCCTTTTTACAGAAAATGTTTGACCAATGTCTGAAATACTGTAGTAAATGAATGGTTAAAACATTTTCCTGATGGTTCTTGTACAGTCCCCTCACTCACACTACTGAAACACGAAGCATGGGAGGGTAGCATAATTACAGCAGAAAGTGGCTATTAAATGGCACCAGCTCTGATGAACTTTTGTGTTGCCTTCTTTACCAACAGCATGGCATCATGTCTCAATCACTGTAACCCATCCTTTTTGCAGAGCTTTAATAGTGCTTCATTTTGGACTCTGGACATTGTAATTACAACTTCTGATGGATTTTGCACCTCAGTTATGAAGCTCTCAAACTACACCAGACAGGCATCATGCAGCCGTCATGTTAAACTGAACAAGCCGTCAACACCATGTTGAACATTGGCCTTCAGTGACCCTCAATATTCTATTTATTGAAATATGACAGAAGCCGAAGTAAGGCTGCGTTTACACAAGCAGACCAATAAAATTTTTTTTACCAATCAGATCAGCTCTTTTGCAAATATCAGAATTGTGCTGCCTGTGTAAACGCAGCTTAAGAACAAGGCATGTACATATTTGTGATTCATAGCCCCTTATGGCGGACAGACGGGAAGTTGGATGAGTCATGCATGTGGAAAATGATGGGCGCTATAATATGATGTAACTGATTATGATCACTCACTTAGACCTGTACAAAAGTTGTGTATCAGTTGAAAAAGTATGTTTTACCAGAACAGATATATGTTATGTTTTACTTTTCATTTGTACGATGCTCTGATTCAAGTAGTAACAAATCCAATACTGCTTCTCCACTCCGTTGATGTTCAACGAACATAAACATGATTGGTGGTGATGATGCGAGTGGCGGGATAAACAACCAATGGAGATAACGTAGTCTTCACTCAGGCTACGCCCTCCTACGCGCTTCCTCATCTGTGAAATAGAGCGGATCAAATTTATCGTCAACACGCAGTCCGTCGGCTGGAGAAGTGGGAGAGTCCGCTGACTTTTTGTATTTTTCTCCCGCGGATTATTGTTTCAACGTTGCATAACCGAACCGGTAAATCTGTTGAATTCTTCCTCTAGTATGCGAAAATGCTCTCAGGTGGTTTAAACATCGAAGTTTTTAATTGATAATATCAGACTGATTCCCATTCTCTCAGTCATTGAGCACATTTTCATGTGGGTTGGTTGGAAAAGCGTCACTTCTGTGTGTTACTGACTGGGAAGCGTGTGTCATTAACAAAGGCTGGATTTCCTCTTAAATTCTCGTAGATTATCCCGTCCATTTCTAGAATATTCGGGTCACTGTCTTTATGTCTGAGTTTATTGCAGATGAATACTGATTTTAAACTTTATGTAATTACATGGTTTCTGGCTTTCTTTTTCCCTCCTTTTTTTAAAGTCTCAAATAGAAAGAAAGATGCCGCTTCTCCACAGAAAGCCGTTTGTCAGACAGAATCCCCCAGCGGACCTCAAACCAGATGAAGAAGTGTTCCTTTGCAAAGTCACACATGAAATCTTCAGGACATACGAGTACGTGAAGTCCAAACTGATAAATTAATATTTCAGAATGATCAATGTTATAACAAGCTATCAAATGACCATCCGATATTGGCTCAACTCAAATTAGGAAAGTTTAACATGATCTAGCTTGCTAGGAAGCTAAAATCCTCTGCAGTGCTGGAAGATGGACAAAGTACTACTTATTATAAACAATTGTAAATCATTAATAATGTATTGTCTGGTTGACACCTATTTAGCTAGCCATCAGATTAAATGGGTCAGAACAGTTATTTCTATCCAGTTGTCAAACTTATTGTTTGGCAGGTGTAGCAAGTAACGTTAGATCACTGCTAGTTTAGCGGCTAGCTAGCTAGTAGTGTTGAAGCGAGTACCATTACCAGCCGTGTTAGCCAATTATTTGGGCCTGCTAGCCAGCTGGAAGCTAGCGTTGCAAAATATCCAACTTGAGTCAACTTTAATTTGACTAGGTTATCATTATTGCCATAATTTACTGTCATATCCGTCGAATAACTGGTTGGTAAAGCTAGCCAGTCTTGTTAGAAGTTATAGGATGGCTCTTTTCTCAGATCATTTTACATAGTCCTAAGAACCTAAGATTAGAGCAGAGCAGTTCGCGCTCCTCACAACGCGTCTTGCCTCGGTTCGCGAAAGAAACGTGTGTAGGGCTATTGTTGTGTGATTTGTTTATAGCTAGCAAACTAGGAAGCAACATGCTAACTGTGGTGTATTTATTTCAGTAGTTTATAGTTTATTATTTTAGCAAGTTGTAACTCATAGCATAGATAAACTTTTTTTAAATGTAGGACTTGCCTACGAATAACATACTGACTTAGTCCAAGGGGGTCTTGAAAGGTAAACAATTTCACCCTGATCCTCATATTCCAGATAGACCACAACTTCGCATGTTACTGTACATTTAGTAGAGGGACAGTGACAGACATCTTTTAGTTCTGTTAATTATTTTATCACAATTTTGAAGATGGACTATTTTATATTAGATTGTGGTTTTGTTTTAAGGTATCATTTTTTTGGAATTGTATTTAGTCAGCATGTGTGACAGACTGATCAACATGACTTTGGAAAACTTGAGGACTTTGAGGTCCTATCTATGCAGAAACTGTGGAAAAGCATCTCGATGTTAAGTGTACACAGATGAGCAAGGGATACGTCATTGTAAATAAGAATTTGTTCTTAACTGACTTGCCTAGTTAAATAAAGGTAAAATAAAAATGTTGTGCAAGTGAGGTTGTGTGATAATGTTTTTAACGCTGATCTGGGTTAAGCATTTCTTTTCGTTTCCTCCAATGATTGTGTGGGCAGCAGTATTTTGCAAGTGTCCAGTCCAACATTCAAAATTAGTGCGCAATTTCATTTCATGCTCTTACACATTAGGGCCCTTGTCAAAAGTAGTACACTATAGGGAATATGCACTGACCTGTACTGACTAGAACCACCCTGTCTCCCCACAAGTGACTTCTTTGAGAGGACCATCCTGTGCAACAGCCTGGTGTGGAGCTGTGCGGTGACGGGCAAGCCTGGCCTGACCTACCTGGAAGCCCTGGACTGTGAGAAGAGGGGTCGTCAGAGCCTCCAGAGCTTCCCCTCAGCTCTGGTGATCCCCCTGCTGCACCTCACAGCCCTCACATACCGCACCCGGCTCCACGAGATCTGTGATGATGTGTATTCTTACGTCAAGGAGAGGTTCTTCCCCGGGGAGATCGTGGACGTTGTGACCCGCACCGGTACCAGGTAAAGTGTTAATTTAACCACATGACCTCACCTAGCATCAGTTTCACTTTAGATTAGGTCATATGTACAAAATAGTGTAATCAGTTTCACTTCTAACCAGGGGTCTGATATCATTTGGTTTTATACCACCTTCCCGAAGGACTACAATGCCTTTTACGTTCTCTCCCTATGCGTTTGTGCTTTGATAGTTCCCCTATTTAGCCAAAGGAGTATTCATTCAATGTCTGATGTTCTTTATGTTCACTAGCATTACCTCTGACTGTAGATCCCAGCTCTTTGACAGTGGAATCATGTTCTCTGTAGTAAACCGATACATTGATTTTTGACAAGGTTGAGAGTTCGCTATGAGCTGTTGGGAGAGGGGCACCAGAGGACCTCTAATATCAAATTGTATTTGTCACATGCGCCGAACACAACAGGTGAAATGCTTACTTACAAGCCCTTAACCAACAATGCCGTTTTAAAGAAAAAATAAGAGTTAAGAAAATATTTACTAAATAAACGAGCAACAATAAAATAATAACGGGGCTACATACAGGGGGGTACAGAGTCAATGTGCGGGGGTACAGATTAGTCGAGGTAATATGTACAGTACCAGTCAAAAATTTGGACACCTACTCATTCAAGGGTTTTTCTTTATTTTTAGTATTTTCTACATTGTAGAATAATAGTGAAGACATCAACTATGAAATAACATGCATGGAATCATGTAGTAACCAAAAAAGTGTTAAACAAATCTAAATATATTTTAGATTCTTCAAAGTAGCCACCCTTTGCCTTGATGACAGCTTTGCACACTCTTGGCATTCTCTCAACCAGCTTCACCTGGAATGCTTTTCCAAATGTCTTGAAGCAGTTCCCACATATGCTGAGCACTTGTTGGCTGCTTTTCCTTCACTCTGTGGTCCAACTCATCCCAAACCATCTCAATTGGGTTGAGGTCGGGTGATTATGGAGGCCAGGTCATCTGATGCAGCACTCCATCACTCTCCTTCTTGGTCAAATAGCCCTTACACAGCCTGGAGGTGTGTTTTGGGTCATTGTCCTGTTGAAAAACAAAAGGGAGTTCCACTAAGCGCAAACCAGATGGGATGGTGTATCGCTGCAGAATGCGGTGGTAGCCATGCTGGTTAAGTGTGCCTTGAATTCTGAATAAATCAGACGGTGTCACCAGGAAAGCACCATCACACCTCCCCCTCCATGCTTCACGGTGGGAACCACAGATGCAGAGATCATCCGTTAACCTACCCTGCGTCTCTCAAAGACACGGTGGTTGGAACCAAAAATCGCAAATTTGGACTCCTCAGACCAAAGGACAGATTTCCACTGGTCTAATGTCCATTGCGCGTGTTTCTTGGGCCAAGCAAGTCTCTTCTTCTTATTGGTGTCCTTTAGTAGTGGTTTCTTTAAAGCAATTTGACCATGAAGGCCTGATTCACGCAGGTTCCTCTGAACAGTTGATTTTGAGATGTCTGTTACTTGAACTCTGTGAAGCATTTATTTGGGCTGCAATTTCTGAGGCTGGTATTTCTAATGAACTTATCCTCTGCAGCAGAGTTAACTCTGGGTCTTCCTTTCCTGTGGCGGTCCTCATGAGAGCCAGTTTCATCATAGCGCTTGATGGTTTTTGCGACTGCACCCAGACTATTTGCATTGCCCCCCCCCCCCCCCCCCCCCCATCCCCTTTTATGCTGCTGCTACTCTGTTTATTATTTATGCATAGTCACTTTAACTCTACCCACGTGTACATATTACCTCAATTACTTAGACTAACCGGTACCCCCTGTATAAAGCCTCCCTACTGTTATTTTATTTTACTGCTGCGCTTTCATTATTTGCTCTTTTGAATTTTTTACTTACCACTTTTTTTATTTTATTTTTAACTGCATTGTTGGTTAAGGGCTTGTAAGGAAGTTTTCACTGTAATGTCTACACCTGTTGTATTCGGCGCATGTGGCAAATACAATTTGATTTGAAGAAACGTTCAAAGTTCTTCATTTTCCGTATTGACTGACACTTTTTTGCTTACTACATGATTCCATGTGTTATTTCATAGTTTTGGTGTCTTCACTATTATTCTACAATGTAGAAAATAGTAAAAAAAAAAAAAAAACTGGAATAAGTAGGTGTCCAAACTTTTGACTGGTACTGTGGATGGGGGCGTGCTCTTCCCTCTTTCTCTTGTAGTCCTTGGTCCTAGGCCAGTGGTTTAGGTACAGTTGAAGTCAGAAGTTTACATACACTTAGGTTGGAGTCATTAAAACTTGTTTTTCAACCACTCCACAAATTTCTTGTTAACAAACTATAGTTTTGGCAAGTCGGTTAGGACATCTACTTGCATGACACAAGGTATTTTTCCAACAATTATTTACAGACAGATTATTTCACTTATAATTCACTGTATCACAATTCCAGTGGGTCAGAAGTTTACATACACTAAGTTGACTGTGCCTTTCAACAGCTTGGAAAATTCCAGAAAATGATGTCATGGCTTTAGAAGCTTCTGATAGGCTAATTGACATCTTTTGAGTCAATTGGAGGTGTACCTGTGGATGTATTTCAAGGCCTACTTTCAAACTCAGTGCCTCTTTGCTTGACCTCATGGGAAAATGAAAAGAAATCAGCCAAGACCCCAGAAAAAAAATGGTAGACCTCCACAAGTCTGGTTCATCCTTGGGAGCAATTTCCAAATGCCTGAAGGTACCACGTTCATCTGTACAAACAATAGTACGCAAGTATAAACCCAATGGAACCACGCAGCCGTCATACCGCTCAGGAAGGAGACGCGTTCTGTCTCCTAGAGATTAACGTACTTTGGTGTGAAAAGTGCAAATCAATTCCAGAACAACAGCAAAGGGCCTTGTGATGATGCTGGAGGAAACCGGTACAAAAGTATCTATATCCACAGTAAAACGAGTCCTATATCGACATAACCTGAAAGGCCGCTCAGCAAGGAAGAAGCCACTGCTCCAAAACCGCCATAAAAAAGCCAGACTACGGTTTGCAGCTGCACATGGGGACAAATATCGTAATTTTTTGAGAAATGTCCTCTGGTCTGATGAAACAAAAATAGAACTGTTTGGCCATAATGACCATTGTTATGTTTGGAGGAAAAAGGGGGCAGCTTGCAAGCCAAAGAACACCATCCCAACCGTGAAGCACGGGGGTGGCAGCATCATGCTGTTGGGGTGCTTTGCTGCAGGAGGGACTGGTGCACTTCACAAAATAGATGGCATCATGAGGAAGGAAAATTGTGAAATATATTGAAGCAACATCTCAATACATCAGTCAGGAAGTTAAAGCTTGGTCGCAAATCAATGACCCCAAGCATATTTCCAAAGTTGTGGCAAAATGGCTTAAGGACAACAAAGTCAAGGTATTGGAGTGGCCATCACAAAGCCCTGACCTCAATCCTATAGAAAATGTGAGGGCAAAAGGTGTGGGCAGAACTGAAAAAGCGTGTGCGAGCAAGGAGGCCTACAAACCTGACTCGGTTACACCAGCTCTGTCAGGAGGAATAAGCCAAAATTCACCCAACTTATTGTGGGAAGCTTGTGGAAGGCTACCTGAAACGTTTGACCCAAGTTAAACAATTTAAAGGCAATGCTACCAAATACTAATTGAGTGTATGTAAACGTCTGACCCACTGGGAGTGTGATGAAAGAAATAAAAGCTGAAATAAATCATTCTCTCTACTATTATTCTGACATTTCACATTCTTAAAATAAAGTGGTGATCCTAACTGACCTAAGACAGGGAATTTATACCAGGATGAAATGTCAAATTGTGAAGCTGAGTTTAAATGTATTTGGCTAAGGTGTATGTATACTTCCGACTTCAACTGTATTAGTGAAAGCATGTATTAAGTTACAAATATTCTTAAGTCCTGGCTTGAACCAATGACTGTTCTTAACAATTCTGCTACCATGACACTTGTTACAAGTTCAGTTACTAAGTCTGCTCAATGTAGATAAAAGTTTATGAACTGGACCTAGAGCCTTGCACGACATTAATTTTAAGCCCTACCCATGCTCGTGAAGTACAGACCCTACCTAGGCCCGATTGCTTCTGCCAAATTCATGGCTCGGTCCTGCCCAAAATCAGAAATAACTTCCATTAGCTGCTCGTCTGTCCCGCGCTGCATGCACTCCGTGCCTGGCTCTGCTTGTGAGTATCCATAGCAACGCCTCTGCTTGCTGTTCTGCTTGGTGACGAGACTGAGCGCAGTTAACTGTGAACCAGCTACTTTTCATCACTAAACTCAAGGAACATTATTTTCGGTAAAATAATCTATCCTCTGGAGTCGGACAATGTTCTGGTCTTATTTAAAGAGGTTGAAGCACTTCTGACACCATGATATGTACTGCGCAGCAGAGCACAAGCAAATGGCTCAGCTTCAAAATGTTAATGATCAATTTAGTGATACCCGAGCACTAGCTGTACCCTAGTTATTGATGAAAAAACAAGCCCTAACCCACTGTATAATGTTGGGACCTATCGGGGTCGGTAGTAGAGCTCTAACTGGACCTTAGAAGCCCCATGGACTTGTTATACAGGGGTTTTCAGTGATTTACCTTTGTCTTTCCTATTTGCTATCCCCTACGTGACTTACCAATGCATTGGGCAACAAAACAAATATGTATTTCATTCAAGCTTGGCATTGTTTTTCTATAAAAAATGAATAAACTGTAGTTTTTACACCATTTTACCCTCAATGGGCTCGGGAGAGGTGACGGTCGAGACACGCGTCCTCTGAAACATAACCGCCTAGCTGCCTACTTCTAAGACACTGCTCACTTTACCCGGAAGTCAGCGGAGGGCTCCGTATAGCTCCGCATTGACATGATTGATTGACGGTAGGTGGGGGCAGGATGTCCTGTATAAACACAAACTCACCTCCTTGACAACTTCCTTCTCAACAGCTCTGCTCTGCTACACGAAACGCAAGAAGTATAAATGCCCTGACATCTGCAGAGGCCCTATCACCGACATCAGATTGACCCATGCATCACCTTTTAGACCTTGGCAGTGTTTTTCAATCAATTTAAATGTGTTTTGAATGTTTCCTACAGGCAGCTATGTGAAATCCTGAATGTGCAGTCTCCCCACCATTCCAACGGGCCGGTCAACGGGCATGCCAAACTTCAGATGGAGGGGGACTTCATCGTCATCAGTGACAGTGACGAGGACACTCCTAAAAGCCCCAAATCAAAGGCCAATGGGTTAGTCTGTAAGCCAAGCAATTCAAGGCTGCATCTGAAATTGCATCCTAATCCCTATGGTCAAAAGTAGTGCACTTTATAGGGACTAGGTGCCATTGCGGATGCACACAGTCTTTGTCCCTGTCCATTTTCCTTGTTAGCATGGATTCAAACCTTTTTGTTTATTTTTCCCTTGTCATGTCTAAAGCAAGAAAAAGAAATCTGTCAATCCGTCTGTGTTCAAGTACAAAGTACGACCCATCAAGGAAGGCAGTGAGCCCATATTCGCCAAGGCTGGTCAGATGAGGTGAGACTAACCTACTGACTAACAATGTTCTGTTAGCTTGTATTGTTCTTATTCGACAGTTAATCCCCTCTGACTTTTTAAATGTAACCACTAACCGTTTTTCCATCTCTCGCTCCCTTATTTTAGCCGTAAGAAGAACACGTTTTCACGGGACAGACTAAAGCTGCTGCTCAAACAGCACTGTGAACCACAGAATGGAGTCGTCATGATCAAGGTATTATGATTTAACTCTAAAGTATTATAAAATATGTCAGTTGGTGTCTAGTAGGTACGTTGGGGGTAGTATAGTAGGTACGTTGGGGGTAGTATAGTAGGTACGTTGGGGGTAGTATAGTAGGTACGTTGGGGGTAGTATAGTCGGTACGTTGGGGGTAGTCCCGTGTAGCTCAGTTGGTAGAGCATGGCGCTTGCAACGCCAGGGTTGTGGGTTCGATTCCCACGGGGGGCCAGTATGAAAAATGTATGCACTCACTAACTGTAAGTCGCTCTGGATATGAGCGTCTGCTAAATGACTAAAATGTAAAAAATATTTTTTTATTTATTTAAGCAGGTAAGCCAGTTGAGAACAAGTTCTCATTTACAACTGCGAATGTGTCTGTTCCTTTTTAAGCAAAAACTATAAGGATCTTGTGGTCATTTGAATTAAGTAGGGCTGTCCCCGACCTAAAGAAAAGCTTGGTCGTCTGTTCTTTCGACCAATGGATTTGTATAACAAAATTCAACGTGTCTTTTTCCATATATAGTACCCTATGTGTTGTAATAAAATCTACTATATGCATTAAGCTTATCTGATGCTTGAAGCTTACTGTTCGATGAAATAACACACAAATGACTCGAGGGAGCCAGAGATCTAGATAACCAGAAGAAGAAAAAAATTTATCCTGACCCAACCATTTTCCTCCTGCTGGCTTTCGCAGTGCCATTACTCTCCTGAAGTTACTGGTAATAGGGTACACGAGGAGTCTGCAACCTTTCTCATGTGGAATGTCAATTTATCTTGCCATTTCTCCCAATCTGCGTGCCAGTTATGGTTTTCATATAAACATTTTCGTGGAACAGTTTAATTGAATTTATAATAAGTCTTCATATCTCAATCATTGTCATGTGATTTAATACAAATTATATCTAAATGAAAATGATACTTTTTAGGTTTGTAACTTCTATTGCCATTGCCAACTATGTAAAAATAGCCTGCATAAAGCCAACAAATAAAAACCATGCAGCCTGCATGTAGAAGAAAAAAATAATATATACATATACAGTGAGGGGAAAAAGTATTTGATCCCCTGCTGATTTTGTACGTTTGCCCACTGACAAAGAAATGATCAGTCTATCATTTTAATGGTAGGTTTATTTGAACAGTGAGAGACAGAATAACAACAAAATAATCCAGAAAAACGCATGTTAGAAATGTTATAAATTGATTTGCATTTTAATGAGGGAAATAAGTATTTGACCCCCACCTCAATCAGAAAGATTTCTGGCTCCCAGGTGTCTTTTATACAGGCAACGAGCTGAGATTAGGAGCACACTCTTAAAGGGAATGCTCCTAATCTCAGTTTGTTACCTGTATAAAAGACACCTGTCCACAGAAGCAATCAATCAATCAGATTCCAAACTCTCCACCATGGCCAAGACCAAAGAGCTCTCCAAGGATGTCAGGGACAAGATTGTAGACCTACACAAGGCTGGAATGGGCTACAAGACCATCGCCAAGCAGCTTGGTGAGAAGGTGACAACAGTTGGTGCGATTATTCGCAAATGGAAGAAACACAAAAGAACTGTCAATCTCCCTCGGCCTGGGGCTCCATGCAAGATCTCACCTCGTGGAGTTGCAATGATCATGAGAACGGTGAGGAATCAGCCCATAACTACACAGGAGGATCTTGTCAATGATCTCAAGGCAGCTGGGACCATAGTCACCAAGAAAACAATTGGTAACACACTACGCCGTGAAGGACTGAAATCCTGCAGTGCCCGCAAGGTCCCCCAGCTCAAGAAAGCACATATACAGGCCCGTCTGAAGTTTGCCAATGAACTTCTGAATGATTCAGAGGAGAACTGGGTGAAAGTGTTGTGGTCAGATGAGACCAAAATCGAGCTCTTTGGCATCAACTCAACTCGCCGTGTTTGGAGGAGGAGGAATGCTGCCTATGACCCCAAGAACACCATCCCCACCGTCAAACATGGAGGTGGAAACATTATGCTTTGGGGGTGTTTTTCTGCTAAGGGGACAGGACAACTTCGCCGCATCAAAGGGACGATGGACGGGGCCATGTACTGTCAAATCTTGGGTGAGAACCTCCTTCCCTCAGCCAGGGCATTGAAAATGGGTCATGGATGGGTATTCCAGCATGACAATGACCCAAAACACACGGCCAAGGCAACAAAGGAGTGGCTCAAGAAGAAGCACATTAAGGTCCTGGAGTGGCCTAGCCAGTCTCCAGACCTTAATCCCATAGAAAATCTGGAGGGAGCTGAAGGTTCGAGTTGCCAAACGTCAGCCTTGAACCCTTAATGACTTGGAGAAGTTCTGCAAAGAGGAGTGGAACAAAATCCCTCCTGAGATGTGTGCAAACCTGGTGGCCAACTACAAGAAACGTTTGACCTCTGTGATTGCCAACAAGGGTTTTGCCACCAAGTACTAAGTCATGTTTTGCAGAGGGGTCAAATACCTATTTCCCTCATTAAAATGCAAATCAATTTATAACATTTTTGACATGTTTTTTCTGGATTTTTTTTGTTTTTCTATCTCTCACTGTTCAAATAAACCTACCATTTAAAATTATAGACTGATTATGTCTTTGTCAGTGGGCAAACGTACAAAATCAGCAGGGGATCAAATACTTTTTTCCCTCATTGTAATCCTATAAATCACATTGGCTACGCATGGCCTCTGCAACTATTGTTAACTTGGGTCCGGCCTAAAGCTTGTGCTAGGGAACTTGCAACATTGTATAAAATATTCTGGGCCCTCAGTTTCCAGCGCCAATGAGCTTGGGACAGACACAGCTGTAGGCTATTTGCGCGAGGGATAAGAAGCAGCGCTTGACTTGGACAGGAGCTCACCAGAGCAATTCCTCATCAATCTACACATAATACCCATAATTACAAAGCGAAATGTTTCTAGAAATGTTTGCCAATTTATTAAAAATGTTTAACATACCTTTATTTACATAAGTATTCAGCCCCTTTGCTATGAGACTCAGTTGAGCTCAGGTGCATCCTGTTTCCAATGATCATCCTTGAGATGTTTTTACAACTTAATTGGAGTCCACCTGTGGTAAGTTCAATTGATTGGACATGATTTGGAAAGGCATCCACCTGTCTAGATAAAGTCCCACAGTTGAACGTGCATGTCAGAGCAAAAACCAAGCCATGAGGTCGAAGGAATTGTCTTTAGATCTATGAGACAGGGTTGTGTCGAGGTATAGATCTGGGGAAGGGTACCAAAAAATGTCTGCAGCATTGAAGGTCCCCAAGAACACCGTGGCCTCCGTCATTCTTAAATTGAAAAGTTTGGAACCACAAAGACTCTTCCTAGAGCTGACCGCCCAGCCAAACTGAGCAATCGGGGGAGAAGGGCCTTGGTCAAGGAGGTGACCAAGAACCCGATGGTCACTCTGACAGAGCTCTAGAGTTTCTCTGTGGAGATGGTTGTCCTTCTGGAAGATTCTCCCATCTCTGCATCACTCCACAAATCAGGCCTTTATGGTTGAGTGGCCAGACGGAAGCCACTCCTCAGTAAAAGGCGCATGACAGCCCGCTTGGAGTTTGCCAAAAGGCACCTAAAGGACTCTCAGACCATGAGAAACAAGAATCTCTGGTTTGATGAAACCAAGGTTGAACTCTTTGGCCTGAATGCCAAGTGTCATGTCTGGAGGAAACCTGGCACCATCCCTACGATGAAGCATGGTGGTGGCAGCATCATGCTGTAGGGATGTTTTTCAGTGGCAGGGACTGGGAGACTAGTCAGGATCGAGGGGAAAGATGAATGGAGATAAGTACAGAGAGATCCTTGATGAAAACCTGCTCCAGAGCACTCAGGACAGGACAACGACTCTAAGCACACAGCCAAAACAACACAGGAGTGGCTTCGGGACAACTCTCTGAATGACCCTGAGTGGCCCAGCCAGAGCCCGGACTTGAACCTGATCGAACATTTCTGGAGAGACCTAAAAATAGCTGTGCAGCGACGCTCCCCATCCATCCTGACAGAGCTTGAGAGGATCTGCTGAGAAGAATGGGAGAAACTTCCCAAATTCATGTGTGCCAAGGTTGTAGCATCATACCCAAGAAGACTCGAGGCTGTAATCGTTGCCAAAGGTGCTTCAACAAAGTACTGATTAAAGAGTCTGAATACTTATGTAAATGTGATATTTCAGTTTTTCTTTTTAAATAATTTAGCAAAAATGTATAACCTGTTTTAGCTTTGTCATTATGGGTTGTTGTGTGTAGATTGAGGGGGGGGGGGGGGGACTATTGAATCAGTTTTAGAGTAAGGCTGTAACGTAACAAGGTGGAAAAAATCAAGGTGTCTGAATACTTTCCGAATACACTGTGTGTGTGTGTGCTACTGCTCGACTAAAAAAATCTTGGTCGACCAAACAATCGACAAGTCCACTCATTTGAGTCAGCACTACAATCAAGCAACTGTCATTTTGCGCTAGTGTTGTTGCTAACTGTTTCTTGTTTGTTTCATGGTTAGGCATCAACTGTTGCTAAGTACAAGTTGGCAGAACAGCACTTCTCCCAGTTCTTCCCTGACCAGCCGCCTGTGTTTGTCTTCAGTCCTCCTCCTAAAGGGCAGGGCAGGCCCCAGAATGATTCTTCTCCTCGAGAGGTGAGGATTGGCAATGTATGTGTCCCAAATGGCCCTACAGGCCCGGGGCAAGTCGTGCACTATATACGGAATAGGGTGCCATTTGGGGTTCATCCCATATGTACAGCCTTTATGATTACTCAGCGAAGATGTTATTATAACAATGTAATAACCATCTTATTACATTGTAATAATAACTTGTTGGACTTCCACCATGAATTTGGTCAGTACGACTTGTAAAGACCACTGAAATGTAAAGCATCTCGAGACAATTGCATTTTGATTATTTTCTTTAGTTGGGGCACAATTTATTGAAGGCAGCAGAGGAAAAGCTTCGTCTGATACAGCAGAAACAGGAGATGATGGCTACGGGTGAGTCCAGTGGATTAGTTGGATATTAGTAGATAATTGTTAGCATGTTAGTTGGCATCTAAGTGCAAAAAGTAGTGCGCTGTTAGCATGTAAGTGCTAGCGAGACTGCCAAGAGATGTACGAATGATCCCAAGGTTTGGCTGCCATATATATATATATATCCATCCATCCATCCATCCATCCATCCAGAATGGTGACTTTCACAACATTAAAACAATGATGCGTTTTGTTATTATAACAAAAAACCATATGTTCAGCACATGGAAAGGCCAATCAGGAGAGGGAAGATGACCTGGGGGCCAAAAAGAAAGAAAAGGAGGACAGAGAAAAGAAGAGGGAAGAGATGAAGATGTTGTTTGAAGAAGAGAAGCAGAGGAGGAAAGAAGAGAAGGAACGCATGAAAGTGGAAAAGGAAAAAGTAAGCTGATATGATTAACATTATTTTTGATCCATGTCACAGTTTAATTTACATTTGTTCACCAGACAACGTCTCAAATCACTTGATATAGATTATACTGTATGTATCGTTATGCTGTATTGTAGGAGAGGGAGAAGCTTAAGGAGGAGAAGAGGAAATATGCAGAGCGACTAAAGATCTGGAGCAAACCCAGAGAAGACATGGAGTGTGAGGACCTGAAGGTAAGCAGCCCCAAAACCTCCTTAGCTAGTCTTTGTTTGGTTTCATCCTCCGTAGTTGAAACGCTTATATTTTCTATTTGGTACAAGAAAGTTGGTGCTGTATAGGCAACTTCTATGTTCGATATGAGTTGGCTATACAGCACAAACACATCTGGGACCTTGCTAGCTTTTTGTGGTTAAGGACAAAGGTTGTGAAACATTGTCCTAAATGGTATCTCTAAGTTGGTAAATAAAGTTAGCATGTTTAGGCCTCTGACTCTCCTCTATGGAATCATGTCCAGGATCTCCCAGCCCCCATCCTGGTGAAGACCCGTCTGCCTGCAGAGCTGTTTGGAGATGCTCTCATGGTGCTGGAGTTCCTCAAAGCCTTCGGAGAGCTCTTTGACCTCAAGGACGAGTTCCCAGAAGGCCTCACACTCGGTGAGAAACACTGGCAAAACAATGTATTTTTACAATCACTCTTCTACAACTTTAGGTTTATCACCCATGTTTGATATTTGAATGTAGTTCATTGTGTGAAAGTACGCTGGTACAGTGACAGTCTGGTTTAGTGTTTGTGTCAGGAGTTTTCTGACTGTGGGGCCTTGTCTGTGTGTTCCAGATGTGCTGGAGGAGGCCCTGGTGGGTTCGGACCCTGAGGGGCCGCTTTGTGAGCTGCTCTTCTTCTTTCTGTCGGCCATCTTCCAGGCCCTAGCTGAGGAGCAGGAGGAGGTGGCCCGCGACCAGGTGGCTGAGACTGACGCCAAAGGTAGGGACAGAAACGGGCCTCGACAACGCTTGTTTACTGTCAACACCCTGTTTAGTCTACTTAACCCATCGTGGTTGGTCACCAAATATACTTTGGCAGTGAGCAATGCAACGTTATCAATGGCGACATTTCATCCAGGCTGTAGGATTGACTAATGACAAGATTTAGCATATGGCGAAATATCGTAGTTTTGTCAGTGTGTGTAAATCTTCCTTGTTGTCAGATTTGAGTGAGGCCCTGGACGATGATGCCGACCCCACCCAGTCTGCCATCAGTGCTGTGGCTTCTCTGGCTGCTGCCTGGCCTCAGCTCCACCAAGGTGAGAGAAGGACTACAACCTTTTAATATAGTCGATGTTCATATACAACTACTCGCACATTTGTTAATTTTGTACTGCGAGCCTGACTCTTCAATGCATGTCTCTGTAGGCTGCAGTCTGAAGCAGTTGGACCTGGACAGCTGTACTCTGTCAGAGATCCTGAGGCTGCACATCCTGGCATCGGGGCCTGACTGCAACTCTGCCAACGCCAAGTTCCGCTACCAGAAACGTGGAGGATTCGGCTCTACAGACGACCCCTGTGTTGAGCTGAGACTGGCCAACCCTGCGCTGCTCAAGAGGCTGTCCTGCACTGCTGTCTACGACCTGCTGCCAGGTGAGACTGAGAGGCACACACACAGCCTCTTCAGGTTGTTGCCTAACAAAAGAAGCAGAACTGAAGAAGCTATCCCTTTTCCTTTCTTTCTGAGCCCCCAAGTGTTGGGATATAGCCTACTAGTAAAGTTATCAGGCCCGCCAATCAGACAACCAGTAATATGGGTCATATCTTGTGAACTGTTTTGGTCTAGAAACACACCGTTTCCGCTGTAGTAATGGTACAACCACAACGCTAAGGAATATGCACACTTTGTTTTATTTCTCTAGGGCTCTTGGAAACAACGGTAGAGCGACGCTTAATCATTACAACATATCTGGAATTTATTTCTTTTTTCTAGGCACACTGGTGCTACCAAATTAAAATTCCAGTTCTCACTGCAAAATATTTAGCTGCAAATGCAACCAAAATTGTCACACTTTAGAGCCATGCTTGGGAATAAGTAACGTTTATTGAATTGAGTGTAATTTGTCTGGTGTTCTGTCCCAGGTGAGAAGCTGAAGATCCTCCATGCGTTGTGTGGGAAGCTGCTGACTCTAGTGTCTACCAGGGACTTCATAGAGGACAGCGCTGATGAGCAGAGACAGGCCAAGCAGGAGCTCAGGGAACTGAAGGCTGAGCAGCACCGCAGAGAGAGGGAAGAGGCTGCCATCAGAGTTCGCAAGAGGAAGGAGGAGAAGTTGAAGGAACAGGAGATGAAATTGAAAGAGCTGAAAGAGAAACATGAAAAGCTGATGGAAGAGGAAGGAAGAAATGGTGACATGAAGACTGAAGAGATGAACACCAGCACTGAGAGCCTGAAGGACGAACATCAGACCGAAGACGAGGAGGAGCAGACGACCAACAAGAGTAGGAAGGGTAAATAACGCCTTCAGTCCTCTTAGCCTATCTTGGCATACTGCTAGCAATCATAGAAAGCTTTCACATAGTGTGACTCAATCAATTGTAGCGCAGAACAATAGAATGCACATTTTGGAATGAAAATGTTCTATATTCTATAGTCCAGTTCTATGTGCATTGTAAAATATATCCCCCTCTGGTTAGTCCCATATTGCCATTCTAACGCAATCGTTTGATTTCACCCTTAGAGAACGGCAGCAATCCCAAGGAGAAGCAGCCTAAAGAGGAGGTGAGCCCAGGCCTGACCCCAGAGGAGCTCCCTGAGCAGCAGCCGAGGGAGAAGGATCTCCAGGAGCGCATCCAGAAGGCTGCAGCCTGCACTTATATCCTCCCCCTAGGGCGCGACCGCCTCTACCGCCGCTACTGGCTCTTCCCCTCCACACCTGCCCTCTTCGTGGAGGACGACTACTTCGGCCTGACGGAGGACATGCTGGAACCCCAGGAGCCAGCCAAAGCTGAGGAGATGGAGGTGTCTCGGAACGAGGCCGGAGAACCAGAGGACCTCTCCCAGACAAGCCCCGTCTCCAAACCCATCCTCCCAGCCCCCGTCCAGAGCAGCTCTGCTCCCCCAGTGAACCGTCCTAACCAGTGGGCCTTCTACAGCAGTCCCCAGGAGGTGGAGGCACTGATCGAGGCCCTAAACCCGCGGGGTCACAGGGAGAGCAGCCTGAAGGAGGTCCTGGTGCAGGAGAAGGAACGTATCGCACAGCTCCTCGGTACAGCAGCCGCTGACCGCTACCACCACACAGGTACTGACTACTGCAGTCTACCAGACTGTAGAGGAGAGGCCTCTGGCTAGACTAGAGCAACCTGATCCAAATGGCAAATCAATCCAATGTATTTATAAATCCCTTTTTTAAATCAACAATTGTCATCGAGTCCACTGGTTGGTTTGTCTCACTGCACTTCAGCTGACAATTGCTTCAGGAGTGAATGATTGACTGCGTGAGTGGAATATCCTGAAATACTGGACGTTTGGGATATTCACTGTTTTGCCTGTCTTTCTTTCCCTCCAGATATTAAAGCAGAGGCTGGTGGTAACAAAGCTGTCTCAGCCAAGTCCAAGGCTGCCCCTGCTCCTCTCCCAGAGGGCACAGCGGCTCCTGCTGAGGACTTCATGGGCAATAGGCTGAGAGACCTGCTGCTAGATATAGAGGACCGCATCTACCAGGGTACACTGGGACAAGTCAAGGTACACTGGCTTTGATTGGTCAATAGCGCTTTCTGATTTAATATTGTTTTATTTCACATGGTAATAACGTTGAGATGCAACCGCATTACATTGACATTTTAGTCATTTAGCATACTATCTTATCCAGAGCGACTTAAGTTAGTGCAAATCAGTTCTTTTTTAAAGTAATGATTAGGTATTTACACTTCGGTAAGATGAGGAATGAGCTGGTATGCGGAAGTGCTGTATGTTGTTGAGTTATGAATTGCATCTGAATGCATAAAAAGTGAGAACATTGGTAATTATTGTCTGACGTCTTGTATCGTAGGTGATGGAGAGGAGTGCATGGAGGAAAGCACTTGAGGAAGGCCACTATGAACTACTGAGCCCTGAGCTGAAGGAGAATGGTGTCACTAAAGGAGAGAACTGTGATGTGGAGAACATGGAAATGAATGATAACAACTTGAAAAAAGAAAGGTAAGTACTGTAAATGCACAGCATCATAGTACTGTCTGTCATATATGCACCGAGGTTAGCTAGCTATAATGAATATGGTTTAGGGGTGTAAACATGAAAACGAAGTTGGGATCCTTAACGTTAAGAAAAATCCCTAACCGAAAAAAGAAATAAAATCCCCCCCACATAATTAAAATCAGTGCCGTTATCACAAAACATAATGTTCTGTGTTATAGCCTAACTAGACTATATGGCTATAAAGGCCTGGGGAAAGTTGGGTAATTTAAGGAGAACCAGAGGAAGAGGAACTTAAAGCTACATGGTGAATTTGCGAGGCATGCAAGACAATTAAGAAATTGCGAGATGTTGATTACCAAGACCGCCCCTCTCTCTCCTTCGAGCTGCCCTGCCTGCTTTTTAATCTTTGCTACTGACAGGAGTGTTCAGTCTTTGGTCTGTTGCATGTAGAATATTCTAGCTTAGGGTATTTATGGGACCGAGATACAGAGGTACAGTATCTTCGGGCCAGTCTTGCAAGCACGGGGTAGGCTATTCTTCGTTGCTGAGTGGGTGGGAGTGTGTTTGTCTTATATGAAATTACAGTAGGCTACCGGTGTAGTCTGTATCGATTAGGCCTACCCTTTTCAGATATAAAGATATGTGGCCCTTTGAAAGCGCTATGGCTTGTCTGTTAGGCTAGGCTACACTAAGGCTTTTTAAACACTGACACGAAACCTTCTCTGGCGATATGGGCGGTATTTTACTTGTCTGTAAAGTAATGCTGCTTCTGAAGCGGGACTGACTTCCATCACTAGGCGACCAGAATTGTAAATTCTAGCCAGCCTGCTGCCCTCCGCGCAGACCACTCTTCCGTTTAAAAAAGTACTTTAAAGTTTGTTAAATGTCGCGACTTACCGAGACATTTAGTAGAAAGAAAGCACATCTAGCTACCATACCATAAATTAAAATAAACACAGCAGGACATCAATCAGCAACACTTATTGTTGTCAGGGAAACAATAGAACATTTATATGCTGGCACTGTCTGAAAAGGTACCAAAAAAAAAAGTCTGAAATGTTATCAGTTGTTGATGTGTTACTGTAGCTGCGTTCTATATCTTTTTAAGGGTTGCGGTAGATATAACTTCATTGCCCGGCCCTAGCGGTCATACATACGCAATTGGACCATTAAAGACTCTGCATGGTCAGTCTGACATCTGCAGTGGCCGTACAGCATTTACTGTGATACAGTCTCTGCAGAAGTCAGGGCATTCATCATTCTTGCACTTCGCAGAGCTGTTGTGAGGAAGTTGTCAAGGAAGTGAGTTTGTTATACAGGACCTCCCGCCCCCACCTACTGTCAACCAATCATGACAATGCGGCGCTATATGGAGCCCTCCGCATTGTTATAACATTTGTGAGGCGCATGGTGATGCAGTACGGAGCTCGATTTGGCCTCTGCAGGCTCCACAATTGTCACACCTTCCGTACGGAGCCTCAGATCGCATTGCGGGAGCAAGCAGAATTCTATGATTTTTTCCCTTATCGTTTTAACGGAGAACCAATTTTTAAATGGCAGTTTAAACGTTAACATTTTTCCATTTGTCACATCCCTAATATGGTTACATTGAGATTAATTATGGTTACGTCTGAGAAAAAGCCATAGCCACCAAATATTTTTATTCCCAATGTATCTTTATTGACTCTCCGGGGTGAGACTGCACAGGATCAGTAAAAAGCATGCATCTTTTTTTAATTTTTTATGTTGTGCAGGTTACAGGTTTCACTGGTCATGTTACAGGAGCTGAAGGGGGAGACCAAGAGGTTAGCTAGATATTCACTATCAGTCAAAAGTTTGGACACACCTACTTATTCATAGGTTTTTCTTTATTTTACTATTTTTTTATGTTGTAGAATAATAGTGAAGACATCAAAACTATGAAATAACACATATGGAATCATGTAGTAACCAAAAAAGTGTTAAACAAATCAAAATATTTTATATTTTTTAATAAAATATATTATTTTATATGATTCTTCAAATAGCCACCCTTTGCCTTGATGACAGCTTTGCACATTCTTGGCATTCTCTCAACCAGCTTCATGAGGTAGTCACCTGGAATGCATTTCAATTAACAGGTGTGCCTTGTTAAAAGTTAATTTGTGGAATTTCTTTCCTTCTTAATGCGTTTGAGCCAATCAGTTGTGTTGTGACAAGGTAGGGGTGGTATACAGAAGATAGCCCTATTTGGTAAAAGACCAGGTCCATATTAAGGCAAGAACAGCTCAAATAAGCAAAGAGAAACGACAGTCCATCATTACTTTAAGACATGAAGGTCAGTCAATACGGAAAATTTCAAGAACTTTGAAAGTTTCTTCAAGTGCAGTCGCAAAAACCATCAAGCACTATGATGAATCTGTCTCATGAGGACTGTCACAGGAATGGAAGACCCAGAGTTACCTCTGCTGCAGAGGATAAGTTAATGAGAGTTACCAGCCTCAGAAATTGCAGCCCAAATAAATACTTCAAGAGTTCAAGTCACAGACACCTCAACATCAACTGTTCAGAGGAGACTGCGTGAATCAGGCCTTTGTGGTTGAATTGCTGCAAAGAAACCTCTACTAAAGGACACCAATAATAAGAAGAGACCTGCTTGGGCCAAGAAACACAAGCAATGGACATTAGACCGGTGGAAAATGTGTCCTTAGGTCTGGAGTCCAAATTGGTGATTTTTGGTTCCAACCGCTGTGTCTTTGTGAGACGCGGTGTGGGTGAACGGATGATCTCTGCATGTGTAGTTCCCACCGTAAAGCATGGAGGAGGAGATGTTATGGTGTGGGGGTGCTTTGCTGGTGACACTGTCTGTGATTTATTTAGAATTCAAGGCACACTTAACCAGCATGGCTACCACAGCATTCTGCAGCGATACGCCATCCCATCTGGTTTGGGCTTAGTCCCACTATCATTTGTTTTTCAACAGGACAATGACCCAACACACCTCCAGGCTGTGTAAGGGCTATTTTACCAAGAAGGAGAGTGATGGAGTGCTGCATCAGATGACCTGGCCTCCACAATCCCCCGACCTCAACTCAATTGAGATGGTTTGGGATAAGTCGGACCGCAGAGTGAAGGAAAAGCAGCCAACGTGCTCGGCTTATTTGGGAGCTCCTTCAAGACTGTTGGAAAAGCATTCCAGGTGAAGCTGGTTGAGAGAATGCCAAGAGTGTGCAAAGCTGTCATCAAGGCAAAGGGTGGCTACTTTGAAGAATCTCAAATATAAAATATATTTAAATTTGTTTAACACTTTTTTGGTTACTACATGATTCCATATGTGTTATTTCATAGTATTGATGTCTTCACTATTATTCTACAATGTAGAAAATAGTAAAATAAAGAAAAGGCCTTGAATGAGTAGGTGTGTCCAAACTTTTGACTGGTACTGTATGGTTACAGTGTGAGTTAGTTGAGAAAAAGCATAGGTACCAGACTTGTAAAAATGTGGTGTTGAACTTGTTTGTCATAATGTTTAATGGGGAAACTCATGACCCCAAGAACGAGCAACATCTGGTGCAATACGTCTTTTAAATTCCACATACCTTTCTATTTTCTTTACTCCCCATAGTATCTTTGACTCCCGAGGAAGCACAGTCTTAAGTTTAACACAATCTCTCTCGTTCTTGTCCTTGTTGTTCAGGTTACAGGTGTCATTGTTCAGGGTACAGGAGCTGAAGAGGGAGAGCATGAGCGCAGCTTCCACCAGCACCCCTCAGCTGGTCAACAACACTGTCCGCTACCTGGCTCAGGCCCTGGCCCACATCCAGCAGGGAATCGAGAGAAAGTTCCTCAAGGCTCCACTGGGTAGGCCATCTACTCCTCCTTCTCACATCATAACGCCTTCCTGCAAAGAAAATAAATTGTCCCAATTGGCACCCTAGTCCCTTTTATAGTGCACTGCTTTTGACTAGGGCCTATAGGGAATAGGGTGCCATTTAGACGCAGAGTGTGCACACTTAGATCAATGCTAATTGTAGTAATTTTGATATCCAGATTGAGACTATTCCTGGATTTAAAAAATTGCAATTGAGAATCTCTTGAAATGCTTTTTAGGCCAAGCTTTTAGTCACAGACAATGTTCCCTGTAAGCCCACATAGAGAAGCACGAGATTGAACTTCACTCAACTTTCTAGAGCAGTGGTCACCAACCGGTCGATCGCGAACGACTGGTCGATCTCCAAGGCATTCCTAGTTAATCGTCAAACATTTCTGTAACAAACGGTCTGTTGGCGGTAGGTGCAGCTGCCTTGCGTGCCGGGAAGGCGAACTGTTGCCATTTTGAACCATTTCATGTGTCTAAAGGTACAAACTCTACCTTCCCGGTGGGCCAAGAGAGCAAATTAAGTGCACTATTGGCCTACCCTTGGCCAATCGGATGGCTCAGATGACCCTGTCTGCAGTAACGTAGCAGGCATAAAAGAAAGATACAGCAAAGTTGATACTATGAGACTTCAAAACGTTTAAAACCATGACTAGAGAGACTGTCAATGAATACAGTGAAGAGCTGCTGTTTTTATTAGTGAGTTTAAGTTCTTACTCAACACTGTCAACACCTTTTTATAAGCCATAAAATGCGTGTTCTTCCTGTTTCCACTCAGCGCTACAACAAGCACTACAGATGTAATTAATGAGTAGGAAAGTGTATCGATAAGCTTGTGTTATTATTAGCGGCTTGGTCTTTTTTAATATTGAGGATATTTCACTTTCTCTGTTCATAGGAGTAACAACATGAATTTGTGCCTGAGGCAGAAATAATGCGGTGCGACTCAAGGTTCGCCATCAGTTGGAAGATGGTGTCCCTTTTTAGTCAGTGGAGGAAAGGGAGAGCGGAGGGATGTTGAGAGGCGGACCCTCCGTCTGCTGCTCTCTCCCTCCGCTGAGACTGACCATCAGATGCAGGCACAGTAAAATAAAAAGCACATTATTTAAATGTATGCTCACTCGGTTGTGCTTCACAAGTAATACAACAATGGATCTATTACCGGTGTGATAATATAGCCTACCGCAAACGTTTTAATATACATTTGAAAAATGGCCCGAACAACAATGCATTAATTGGCAGGGCAATTCAAGCAAAGACAATATGCGGTGGTAATGTATTGGGCCTATAGCTTACTGCACAAACCCATTGCTAAAGTACTGTTTTTAAATTGGTTAACCTCTTAAGGATCTGACTCTTTTTTTTTAAAAATTCGCCTAGAATGACATACCCAGATCTAATTGCCTGTAGCTCAGGACCTGAAGCATGAATATGCATATTCTTGATACCATTTTAAAGGAAACACTTTGAAATTTGTGGAAATGTGTAATGAATGTAGGAGAAATAACAACTTAGATCTGGTAAAAGATAATACAAACAAAAAAACATGCTTTAAAATTTTTAAATGTGATCTTTGAAATGCAAGAAAAAGGCCACAATATGATATTGCAGATTAGGCGCAATTTAGATTCTGGCAACTAGATGACAGCAGTGTGTGTAGATTGATCCAGTGAAGCATTGCAATACTGGACTATTTTGTATCAAGTCTGCCCAAATGTGCCGAATTGGTCAATTGATACATTTTCAAGTACATAACTATAGAGAACATACAAAAATGATATGGTAATACAAAATGTAAGTTTACACACTCCCAGGAATGTCATACATGATGGATCATTAGCTTATACACTAACTTTCACACATCTACAGTTGAAGTCGGAAGTTTACATACACCTTAGCCAAATACATTTAAACCCAGTTTTTCACAATTCCTGACATTTAATCCTAGTAAAAATGCCCTGTTTTAGATCAGTTAGGATCACCACTTTTATATTAAGAATGTGAAATGTCAGAATAATAGTAGAGAGAGTATTTAAGCTTTTATTTCATCACATTCCCAGTGGGTCAGAAGTTTACATACACTCAATTAGTATTTGGTAGCATTGCCTTTAAATTGTTTAACTTGGGTCAAAGGTTTCGGGTAGCCTTCCACAAGCTTCCCACAATAAGTTGGGTGAATTTTGGCCCATTCCTCCTGACAGAGCTGGTGTAACTGAGTCAGGTTTGTAGGCCTCCTTGCTCGCACACGCTTTTTCAGTTCTGCCCACACATTTTCAATAGGATTGAGGTCAGGGCTTTGTGATGGTCACTCCAATACCTTGACTTTGTTGTCCTTAAGACATTTTGCCACAACTTTGGTAGTATGCTTGGGGTCATTGTCCATTTGGAAGACCCATTTGCGATCAAGCTTTAACTTCCTGACTGATGTCTTGAGATGTTGCTTCAATATATCCACATAATTTTCCTTCCTCATGATACCATCTATTTTGTGAAGTGCACCAGTCCCTCCTGCAGCAAAGCACCCCCACAGCATGATGCTGCCACCCCACGTGTTTCACAGGTGGCTCTGTCGTAGCCGGCCGCGACCGGGAAACCAATGGGGCGGCGCACAATTGGCCCAGCGTCGTCCAGGGTAGGGGAGGGAATGGCCGGCAGGGATGTAGCTCAGTTGGTAGAGCATGGCGTTTGCAACGCCAGGGTTGTGGGTTCGATTCCCACGGGGGGCCAGTATGAAAAATAATGTATGCACTCAATCTGCTAAATGACTAAAATGTACAATGTAAAATGTGTTCTTCGGCTTGCAAGCAACCCCCTTTTTTTCCTCCAAACATAACGATGGTCATTATGGCCAAACAGTTCTATTTTTGTTTCATCAGACCAGAGGCCATTTCTCCAAAAAGTACGATCTTTGTCCCCATGTGCAGTTGTAAACCGTAGTCTGGCTTTTTTATGGCGGTTTTGGAGCAGTGGCTTCTTCCTTGCTGAGCGGCCTTTCAGGTTATGTCGATATAGGACTCGTTTTACTGTGGATATAGATACTTTTGTACCTGTTTCCTCCAGCATCTTCACAAGGTCCTTTGCTGCTGTTCTGGGATTGATTTGCACTTTTCGCACCAAAGTACATTAATCTCTAGGAGACAGAACGCGTCTCCTTCCTGAGCGGTATGACGGCTGTGTGGTCCCATGGTGTTTATACTTGCGTACTATTGTTTGTACAGATTAACGTGGTACCTTCAGGTGTTTGGAAATTGCTCCCAAGGATGAACCAGACTTGTGGAGGTCTACCATTTTTTTTCTGAGGTCTTGGCTGATTTCTTTTGATTTTCCCATGATGTCAAGCAAAGAGGCACTGAGTTTGAAAGTAGGCCTTGAAATACATCCACAGGTACACCTCCAATTGACTCAAATTATGTCAATTAGCCTATCAGAAGCTTCTAAAGCATGACATCATTTTCTGGAATTTTCCAAGCTGTTTAAAGGCACAGTCAACTTAGTGTATGTAAACTTCTGCCCCACTGGAATTGTGATACAGTGAAATTATAAGGGAAATAATCTGCCTGTAAACAATTGTTGGAAAAATTACTTGTGTCATGCACGAAGTAGATGTCCTAACCGACTTGCCAAAACTATAGTTTGTTAACAAGAAATTTGTGGCGTGGTTGAAAAACAAGTTTTAATGACTCCAACCCAAGTGTATGTAAACTTCCAACTTCAACTGTAGATGGCCGGGCGGGGTGGGTGTGGAGCCAGAGACAGCAGGAGTTCAAACTGTAGGACCCAGTTCCTACATTTGAATATAAAAATGGATTTTATCAAATAAAACTATGCTACATTTTATCTCTGGGACCCTCAGGATGACAAATCAGAGCAAGATTACTGAATACATTATTTACCTTCAGAGCTGAATGTATCAAACCAGTTGCTGTGATATGTTTTTTATTGTTGTGCACTCTCCTCAAACAATAGCATGGTATTTTTTCACAGTAATAGCTACTGTAAATTGGACAGTGAAGTTACAGTGGGGGAAAAAAGTATTTAGTCAGCCACCAATTGTGCAAGTTCTCCCACTTAAAAAGATGAGAGAGGCCTGTAATTTTCATCATAGGTACACGTCAACTATGACAGACAAAATGAGAGAAGAGAAATCCAGAAAATCACATTGTAGGATTTTTTATGAATTTATTTGCAAATTATGGTGGAAAATAAGTATTTGGTCAATAACAAAAGTTTCTCAATACTTTGTTATATACCCTTTGTTGGCAATGACACAGGTCAAACGTTTTCTGTAAGTCTTCACAAGGTTTTCACACACTGTTGCTGGTATTTTGGCCCATTATTCCATGCAGATCTCATCTAGAGCAGTGATGTTTTGGGGCTGTCGCTGGGCAACACAGACTTTCAACTCCCTCCAAAGATTTTCTATGGGGTTGAGATCTGGAGACTGGCTAGGCCACTCCAGGACCTTGAAATGCTTCTTACGAAGCCACTCCTTCGTTGCCCGGGCGGTGTGTTTGGGATCATTGTCATGCTGAAAGACACAGCCACGTTTCATCTTCAATGCCCTTGCTGATGGAAGGAGGTTTTCACTCAAAATCTCACGATACATGGCCCCATTCATTCTTTCCTTTACACGGATCAGTCGTCCTGGTCCCTTTGCAGAAAAACAGCCCCAAAGCATGATGTTTCCACCCCCATGCTTCACAGTAGGTATTGTGTTCTTTGGAGGACAAAGAATGCTGAGTTGCATCCAAACACGACGAGTTGAGTTTTTACCAAAAAGTTATATTTTGGTTTCATCTGACCATATGACATTCTCCCAATCCTCTTCTGGATCATCCAAATGCACTCTAGCAAACTTCAGACGGGCCTGGACATGTACTGGCTTAAGCAGGGGGACATGTCTGGCACTGCAGGATTTGAGTCCCTGGCGGCGTAGTGTGTTACTGATGGTAGGCTTTGTTACTTTGGTCCCAGCTCTCTGCAGGTCATTCACTAGGTCCCCCCGTGTGGTTCTGGGATTTTTGCTCACCGTTCTTGTGATCATTTTGACCCCACGGGGTG